TCACGGTCTTAGCGACGCGGACGAACATGTAGGCAGCACTGTTAATGGACTGAGCGGGACCGAAGACGAGGTGAGCCGCCGTCTTTTGGCGCTGGAGAGCTGATTGGTCCTGGATGTTGGCCAGGATCTCAGAACTATCGTGGAGGTCATTGACCACTTGCTTGACAAAGGTCAAAGGTCGGTTGGGAACTTGAAGCCAGGCATTAAGTGCGGAAACCAGCTCCAGTTGCACCTCATTAGCCGAGATAGACCCGATGTAATTTGTTGGTGCTAGTAAGGGTGTGGCATCCAGGTGCACTGCGGCGTGTTCTTCCCCGTTGACGAGAGGGGTCCACACTGGTACTTCCTCGGGCTCATCGCCACCCTCTACATGGTCAACAATGCCGTTGGAAACGCCGTTGGAAACGCCATTGGCGCGCACCTCCTCCTCTTCATTTTCTTCCTCTTCTTCTTCTTCTTCGTCTTCATCCTCGGACTCGTCCTCGTCGCTAGAGCTCTCCTCGTCCGACTCCTCATCACTTTCCTCATCGGCAGTTTCCGGCACCACGTACCGTGGTGCATTCGTGCACCAGTAGTGAATTCCACCAAGGGCAGCTTCTAGTACCTCCATCCATTTTCGCAGCTTTGGGGCGAGGTCTGGGTGAGCTTGGTACAATGCCTCGCGTCTCTTGACGAACTCTTTTTCATTTTCCAGAATGAGCTCTTTGGTCTTCGCACGGGCGTCATCCTCCGACATGTTCTGGTGCTGCATGAGGAACAATATCACATTCGCAACGCGACGTTTCTTGACCTCGCGCTTTTCTTTCGGCCAGCTATAGTAGTCGTTGGTGAAGAACATGGTTCGCTCAGCTGCGTCCAGCGCATCCTTGACGATTGCCTGGTCCTCCTTTCCAAGTCGGGTTCCGTGGGCAAATCCCATCAGGGTCCAGTAAACACTGTTGTACCAGTCAGACTCTGTCTCACCATATCGAACACGGAGGCATGTGGTAAACCTACTCAATTCCTGCATTAAGACGCCGACGAGCCACGTAGTCGTCGAGATTGGCGCAATTATCAGCGGTGGGGACATCCGGGGTGACAAGCCAGTTGCTTCGGTAGCAGTCGATAATGTCAAGTCCATCTTTGTCGGTCAGTTCTCCCGTTACTTTCTCCAGGAGTCTCTTCCTGGCTTCGGCTCGGGGCGATTCAACAAGCTCCTCCGGCTTGTCTGTCACGGGTGTGTTCTTGCTATCGGCATGGTCTGGATGAATGATTAGATACAGACTCGCGTTTGGTAGCCGGGTCAACATACCGTCATGGACATTTCCGAGTTCGGTCAAGTAGGCGACGAGTTCCAACCTTTCGGGCATGCACTCTGGATACAGAAAGCTAGCGTAGTTGCCCACCGGGGAGGTTAGATAGCTGCTTTTCGACTTGGCCTCTTCGCTATCGAGGGTGGCCGTCAAGTCTTCCAAGAAACGATCACTACCTCTTTGGGCCACATGATCGTATTTGTGGATCCGTGCAGTCAGAGTGGTGAAACAGTCATTCTGTTGCTGGATGGCAGCATCTATGGGCTGCGAGTGAGTCCAAATCTCAATCGGCTCATTTACTGTCGGTGCATCTGAGGCCGCTTCGGACTGGGCAACGGACAGGACCCGGGAAGTGCTTTTGCTTCTTCTCCTCTTGTGGGATATGAAGTTGGAGTATTGTCTGAACATTGGTCGATGTGTTATGGAAGAAGATCAAAAAACAAAGCAAGAAAAAGGGAGATGCAATTAGAAGTACAATGCGAAGCTGGCAACAACGTGCAAGTTCTTTAGGAAGACTAAGAGAGAAAGAAGAATTCGGGGTTTCTCTGGTATCCTACGGCCGGCTCTTTATAGGCAACGAGTCGTCGCAATTGGCGTGGAGGATTGAGCAAAGGCCATGGTGCATGTAACTGCAAGAAAAAATTTTCGCCTATCAACACAGCATGGACCAAGTATTAGCCCATTAGGGAGCTAAACAGTCAGCTCGAGGACCTAGTACTTGCCGCAAGTAAAGTATGATATTAGGTCTAATATGCATGCTGCACGCTGATTGGGGGTTGCAGCGATTGTTTTGCTGGCGGATACTTTTTTCTCCATAGCTCATGTGGAGCCACGCAACGCTCACCGCTTCATCAGTTCGCAGCTGGTGGGTTTCGCCCAGCCGCCTCGTACACAGTACTAGTAGATGCGAGGCCGTTTGGTGGTGGTGGTGGTTGTTGTTGTTGTTATTGTTGTTGTTTGGTTGTTGTTGGCTCGCCTTCCTCGTCGCCTTACACCCCGGCCCAGTCAGTCAGTGGTGATGCTTCTCGCTCAGTTATGAGGCGAGCTTGGCTCTGTACAATCCCGGCAGACGATCCTTCGCACTTGGCAACCTCACAACCACGACACTAGGGCATATTGACCCTCTCACCCCAAAGGCATCAATGGAAGATAGCCATCTCGCGCTAATCTCGGAGAGTTTGATCACGATACCGCATGTCATATGAGCAGTTGATATGGTAACAAACGGAATGAATGGGGCATGCTTTTTTAGTCACACTACGAGAATGTCCGAATGAAGCGTTAGCGTGGAAAAAGTGGGCCCCCTCGCTTCTTAAGCAACGTTTTCTTCTCTTGATTTGTCCCAAAATGGTTAATTCCTACTACCCTGTCTGTCTGGCGTCCTGTGCTGAATCGCCAGGTTTCACGCCTCTCTTCGATTCCTCGATCGCGATCCGACGTCATAGGCCATTCCTTCCAACATTTTTCGGATCATTCTCAATACCCCGGGTTTGGGGTCAATCAATGGACATTCCAACGACAGCGATTGTATCAAATGGAGAGGGGTGTGCAGCATGATGGCTCATCATGCTAACCACCAGGATCACAGTGCAGTACAGCAGTGTATGATCGACATCCCCCTCATGCGATAAGCCCATAACGGAAATCCAGCGAGGCTAATGCGCGCGTCAAAGTCAATTTTTCGCCCTCTCACCCGAGCGCTATGACGTAGCAGGTATAGTCGGCAGTACGAAGGAGTTCAAAGGCGACCCCTCCTGTGATAACACCGTTCACATCTCAGTGTATGGAGATTACTCTCCTTGAGTACCCCGAGAGAGAGAGAGAGAGAGAGGCGCTGCGCATCTCAATCCACCATCCCAACCTCATATGCGGCTATTGCGGCTCCGGAACTACTAATATACTACCTCGTCCCTTCATTAGGGGCTAATCAGACGACGATACGATACCTTCGAATCCTGCTATTCGGCCGAGTCGAGTAGCTTGAGTACTAACTACTACTAGCACGCATATTCTGAGTTGTCCAAAACCACCGGATCTTGCAAAAAATAAAATAAAATAAAATAATACAGAATATAGGATTCGAACAAGATGATAAAGAAAGTGGCGGGGGAGGGGTCACTTTTGCTTTCCTTAACATAACCTTTTATAGAACCGATAATGCTTCAAAGAAAAAAAAAATATCAAATCAAATCAAATACCGATTATAGATAGTACGAACTCCAGAGTGTAGGTGGGCGTTAATGCGCGGACATCCAACGGGTCCGCCGATCAACGAACGATCGGCATTCGGCTCTGGGATATAAAGTTTTCCTGGGATGGACTTTTACCATCCCCTCCAGTACATAGTTGACAAGAGTTACATACAACAAGGCAGCGATGAAGAAAGTCTAATCCCCCTACGTGAATATTAAACCCTTTTTTTGGTCTTGGGGCGGCTTAGCAGCCCGTTTCGCCGTACACCCACACATATATCCATTGCGCAATCTGAGACAGGTTGGCGCTGATTTGTACGACGGTGAGGAGCCAAGATTGTCGGGTGGCGGTTTTGGTGCAACCTAGTCAGCCCTCTTTTGGTGTTACTATTGGGTTTTATCTTGTTTTTCTTTTTCTTTTTCTTTCTTCGGCTCTGGGGGGGAAGAGAGAAGGTTATGTGAGTTTTGTGGCTGGGAGCTCTCTCCCTTACTTTTGGGGATGCATTGGTACTTGGGGATTTTCGAGGGTTTGGCAATTGGTAGTCTGTATTTAAGACTTGTCTGTTATTGGCGGTTAATCGCGGCTTTGTTACTCCCACGTGTTGTTTGGGTTTTACTATATATACTCTTGGTGCGTCTCGTATATCTGAATAGTTAGGTAGTAGTCGGCTGGGTACACTACTAGTACTAGTAGTATGCAGCCTTATATTTTATTATGAAAGCAGACCCTGTCCAATCACGAGAACTGATGGTGAAAACTTATAACATCGAATATTTCCTCAAGTATCTTGTCCACACCACTTCCCTTTAGACAGCAGGGATATAGTTCGACATGTAGATAATAATAAAAAAAAACCGAAAGTGATGAGATTAGGCATGTTGAAGTACCTTAAACGACAAAGAAACAGCAACCAGTCACTACCACCGCAAAACGACGTGTATACCACTCCTCATTGAAGGAACCAAGCACAGCACACTTCCCTGCAAACAACTTTCTGGCCTGATAACAACAAAATAATTCTCCCTACCCCCCTTCAGCCCCTCAAAATCACATTACGGAACCACTCACGGAATACCAGTTGACAGTACCCAAAGACCAGTCTAATAGGAACAGCGGCAATTAGCAACTTCCTACCAACGCTGTATCCATCCCATTTTGACCGATCTCGCGCACGTCGTGTCTTCAGATGCCCCACAGGCCGTCAGGGTTCTCCATGCGCCCTTGCCGTAGGTTATAAAAGCAACTAAAGGGCGCTTACACCGCCGTGCATAGTGAGATCCAGATAATACTACAAGCATCAGATAGTATGAAATGGATGTCACTGCTGGACGATCGTGCAGGCGGTCCCCTAGCTGCAGAGATACCCCACGACAGAATCCGGGGAGCTCCCTGGCGGTATGTATTTCGTACTCCTGAAGTCACATTAATTTGCACGGCGTGTTTTCCATGCTCTCATGAATAGAAGAAAGGGCGGGGTTAATGAAAACGTTACCACACATAAAAGACTAGAAAGCTCTATGCATGCCAGGCGAGACCCAACTCCGCCACAACAGATCGCACGGCTTGGATGTTCTCACCGCTGTCGATGTAGACGGCGCCCAAGATGGCTTCAACAGTTGTGGCCATGACTTTGTCGGAGACGGCACCGCCCTGCGAGGGGTTGACGTAGAGGTAGCGGTCGAGGCCCTTCTGGAAGCCTGTTCTTGCTAGGAAGCGTTGCCGGCTTTGCCACTGTGGGTGTCGTTTATTTGCCCTGGTGGATTTGTGAGTTATTTTTGTTGATATGAAATGCGGGCTAATGAGTAACGTACCTCTTGTTGCATGGGCCTGGTAGCCATCCTTCACAAGAACTAGGCGTAAGACTGCGTCGCCGAGTTGGGCGAGATCTTTGTGTCCATCTAACCGGTGGGGGGCGATGATTGGCGTGGAGCCTGGGGTGCGGAGAGCTTCATAGCAATTTGCGGGGTTGATGAATAGATAGTTGATTATTTGCTGGATGGGTTGGATTCGGGCGTCGGTTGGGATGAGAAGTCTGGACATGGCGGCGGTTATTTGGTGGTGAGTGATGGCTAGAGTCTGAGGTGATTGTTGCAGATGGAATGCTAAAAGAGGAAGAGGGGTTCATTGTTGTTGGGCCTATTTATCTTTTGTATCTTACCCCTCATGTGGGTGGAATCATGTGATGGTCGGTCAGGGGGTTACGTGAAAGAGACAACCGGGAAAGAAACACGTTATGGATCTTATGAGCTATATTTTTATGTGGTTTCGGAAGAGACTGTATATACTCAACATACAATTGTTTCACTAAGGACAATACTTTGACTCGGTACGCCGCCATGAGTAAGTAACAAAAGGGGATATAAAGAAACATCCAAAACGATATAACCAACATAGTCCATGTCCATGTTAACCCTTAGCCAAGGGATACTTCTAACACCCCAATCATCAAGTCGAGAAATATAAACAACCCATGACGCCCAAGCGTTCCATTCCGCATGTTCAAAATAAACGTAAAAAGCACGCTAAAAGAAACAGCAAACAAGAGAGCAGTATTTTAGTGGCTGTATGGGTAGGTGCAAATTACATAAGATAAGGTGAGAGGGTACAAAGAAAAGGAGAAGGAAAAATGAAAGAAAGTAGAAGGCATGGTTCGAGGCATTTAAGAAGCCTGGTGCCGAAACCTGATAGCATGACGTTCGCGACGCCGCCATATACAGTGGGACGATCATCCAGGTGGAGGTATGTCAGGTAGTATGTACAGCAGATCGGAAGGAGCGATGAGGCGGGAAGAGCGTCTAGGCAAGTGAAGAATGCATTGAAGATTTGTAGTGATGTTCGGTGACGGTTGTTGAATGTTCTAATTCCAGGGCGGTTGGTTTTGCGACGTCTGATGGGTGACGATGCTGAAGCTTGGAAAGGGTGTTGCCGGCTGTATCATCAAAAGTGTGGTCAGTGTCTTCGGTTTTCGAGGGATTAGTGTCGGTGGCCGAAGAATCTTTGGCACTGAAGCCCCCATCCGACGCCGAATCAGATGTGCCGACGGTCGAGATAGAATGAAATTCATCCTTGTCGATATTGCCATTGTGATGGAGGTGGGAATCCTCAGTCGATGAAATACTAGACGCGTCAATCTTTACGTCCAGAGGCAGCTCTGCGAAGCTGTTCAGCTCCGTCATTCCCAAGCTCGATACCACAGACCGCTTGCTAGGGGACGGAGGTGCAATGGTAGGCGAGACTGGGGTTGACATTGAGCCATAACCCCGATAGGGATTTCGCGGCGGCAGCGCAGGAGGAGTCCTCTTTGGGATTGTCACTAGTCGTGCACGAGTGAAGGTAGGTGACTGACGCTTTGGGCTCGTTGAGGTCAAGTCTTCCACAGGCGAAGTAGGAAAACTGTCGCATTTCGTGACGGTAGCACTGCTGACCTCGTGTATTTCAACGTCATCGTCCACTAGGTCATCGTCGCCGCCATGGGTGGCATTGCGAGAGCGCTCCACTGGGTGCTCTGGGATGATAGTTTCCCATCCACGCTCCTCGTGATCCCATGGATTTTTCTCCGCGCGTTCCGTAAAATCTCGATTACTCCGGGAAGAGGCGCGGCTGATAGAAGTCGGGGCCGTCAGTGGGGGTTCGTCGGTTTGAGTACCTCTGTCGATGCTGGAGTAGCTCTGTACACTAGCCCGCCAACTGTTGCGCGGTGAACTATCAACGCTGTGGCGGAAGGTCGAATAGATAGGACTGGTAGGGCTGGGTCGGAATTCAAAGCTATCCACATGTGGACGAGTTTTGGTGCCTGCTTCGCGAATAAAGAGGCCCTCGGCCTCCAAAGCTTTGACGCCGAAAGGATCGGGGTCATCCGGAGCCGGAATTCCAAACTTGGTAGGAGGAGAAGAACTACCAGAGGTCGGTAATACTTCTACATCCCCAGGAGTTGGTTCTCCCGGAGCAGGCACCAGGCTTTCATCAACATCCTTATCGCCCTGGGCCGCCTTGACAGTCTGGATGAGGGTTTTAATCGACGTCGGAGGATGTTTTGCTTTGCCAGCCAAGATATCCGTCACTGATATGCGCTCACCATAGAAACGCTCGTTCTCGTCGGTGCGCTCAATAATTATCGTCCCATCTACCTGGACGCCTGCATACAGACCTCGACTTTTCATGTAGGTCCATATGGGAGATTGGCGCTTGTGAACCTCAGAGTCAAGTACACCTCCCATACCCACTGGGCCTGCGGATGCGCTAACTTCCCCGCCCAGTGTACAGCGAACCTTCTTAAATGCTTCTAGCGCCTCAGACGTATTGATCACGACCACGCAGTCATAGATATCAACGCCCGCTAGAAAGCCAATGCCGGCGGTATGAAGCATGATACCTGAGGGAGGACTCCATTCACCGGTCTCGGGGATTCTAGCCAGGAGGACGCCACTCCCACCCGAGCCGCTGAGCCAGAGACCCGTACGCATCGTGGTAAAGATGGCGAGACCTTTAGCGCGCTGAATGACCTCCGTGGGGATCTTCTTTATAACTCGTTGCTTGCCCTTAGGGCGATCGATCTTGCCATTCTTCACACTATCTGTGCTTTGTTTTTCGGCCTCCTCGTCAGCGTAGAAACCATCTTTGCAAAAGCTTCGTAAAATGCGAGCTGCCTTGTCGCTTTCTCTGTCCAGGGTCATCGGCCAGAAGGCTTCGGCACCAACTTTATTGGACAAACGATTCACAGGGTCGCCCAATTTGTCGAGAGTATGCCATGCCTTATCAAAGCCCTTTTTGGAGGTCCCTTTGGTCTTTTCCCAGAGTGAGGGCGCCATTGTGACGATTTGGATTTCGCCTACCGTCTATGCGCCACACATAAAGAAAGAGGGCAAGTGAGGTGGACAGGGCTGCGTTTTGAAAAGGGACAGTACAGCAAGGAACTACCTCTATAACTCGAATGCGGATATCTCAGGAGAACTCAATGCGTCGAATGCAGTTCAACATGTAATGCGATTGGCTGCCCTTGATTTCCTAATGCGACATGAAAAATGTATGACGAGACAGTAGACGGGAACAGTGCGTCGCTGACACAGCCGCGGAATGCGTGGCAGAAAGGCTCCGGAATGTCGCTCGACAGGAACCGGGACGTTGAATATAAATCAAAAGAAATCTGGCAAAAGTGAAGTTTTGCGTCGAGAACTACATGGTGCAGCAGAGGAGGATAAAAGTCAGTTTTGACGTTCTTGCTCCGTCCGATCCGTGTGTTCCAGACCCGTCGGTCAATGAGGTGGGTGGCGACGAGTCGTACGCATGAAAGGGAGAGGAACCATGGATCTTACACGCCAAGGGACCATGGGAGAAGGGTCCAGCTTACCTCGGACGAACTCGTGAACAATAATCCAGGGCAACCCACGTCAATCAATAATCAATAGATCCCGACAGGCACCAAAGGTTTTGATCGTCAGCTCCCCAAGGGATATGTTGGAAGTATAATCGATATAGCAACTGAGCAAGGAAGTATGCGGGAAGGGGACCAAGGGACATATATTTATTAATCTAGCTTCACGGTACACCCTAGGAAGTCCAGGAGACTGGGAGAAAGGATATCAAGGCGTAATAGTATAGATATGTGCGGATGGGAGAAGTCGTGATGATATAATTATATTCCAAAAGATATAGAAATTTTTATTAGAAGAGAAAAATGAAAAATCGGAAATAGACGGGTGTTAAGTAAAGTAATTCGGATCGTAACTATGAATCGGTGCCCAAGACCAGCAAGACAATGCTGGATCGAAGACGCATCGTTCAAGGAAGAGTCAATGCGAGTGGCGCCGTGGCTTAGAGCTGAGGATGAGTAAATAATCGGGTGGATGGGAAGGGACGGATATATATTGAAGAGTATAGAAGTACTAGTAGTCCGGCAGCTCCGGACAGATATTACTACCCAGGAACCGTCCAGAATCGTGGCAATGTAAATTATTCAGAAGAAAATAAAAAGGAAAGAGGAAAAATGAAAACAAAATAAGCAGAAGCATCGGATAGATGGCAACGACGAGGGAAAAAGAGGAAAGGACGCAGTAGAAAGAGGAGAATGTCATCATAGGCGTGACTCCGCCATCGTCATCGGTTGATAAGCAAGAGATCGATTGAGTAGTTGCAGCGGCTCCATTTCAAGAGTGGAGCCGTGCCTCATCATCTTTTTTCTTTTTCTTTTTTTTTTTTCCCCCTACCTTTTCGACTTTACATAGCGATATTTAGGTTAGATCGACTAGGGATTTTATCCTTTTTTTTTTTTTTTTTTCTTTTTATTCCCCCCCCCCTGTACTACTTCTTTTTTGACCTACCATCAAACTAGGTACTACTAGTAGTCCGTGACAAGATGAAAAAAACTGATTCGATAGATTGACTCGATCCTTCGGGAGCCTTATAATCTTCCCTTGGCCAATGGTCTAGCCGTTCGTCAATGCCTTTGTTCATAGATCGATTCCATGGTTCTTCTGGGAAATTTCTTCTCGATTCTCACTATTCTCTGTACAGTGTATGCAAGTGTAGTACGTAGTCTATCCTCCGTATCTGTGGCTTTAATTTCCCTCTGTAACACAGGCAGCTCCATTTTCATCAACGGAACCAAAGATGGACAGCCACTTTCCGCTCCCGATTAATAACTATAATGAATCCGGATGTACCCAAGGCACCCATCCGTGCCTTTTCGTGCCAGGATTCCTGCCTAACAATCAAGAAAATTGACTCGATTATCGCTACCGGCGTCAGAATAATCCCTTCAAACAAATATCTCCCGGTAGTTACCTTAGAAACCCAAGGGGGGGAAAGAAAGGGAAAGCAGAGAGCCAAAGTCGCTGATCGCTCTCAACCGCTACATATGACAGCTCCGATTCTTCTTCCCATCCCTTTCAGCCCCCAGCCACACCATGATATTTTAGATTTGGGCTCCTGTCTTCTCCCTTTCGGCCCGCTTGTCAATTCCCCGGGCCCATGAAACCCTAGCCAAGGGATTGTCCTGTAAACCTTCCTTTTTGCCCCGTCGTTTCATGACAGGTCTGATTGCGCTTCCAGATGCGCCCTGGAAGGGATGCAGTAGTCGTTTCGATAGTTTCGGGAATTTTCTGCCCGTCGGATATTGCCCTTGTTTTTTCGTGTCGGTTTTTATTTTTCATTTATTTTTTTTTTTCTTTTCCCCTGCCCAAAAACCGGCTGAGTACCATTGTAGCGAACAACCCGATTCATGGTACTTTGGCTACCACCCTGACCTGATGGATGAACAGGGTTATTGTTCCAAAGTGAGGTTACTGTATTTTCTTTTTTCCTCGCTCTTCCCAGCTACCTGGTCGATATCCCAGTCTCCCATGAGGACGATCCATCCACCTCTATCCACGAACCCAGATCCTTCCCCAAAAGGAACTACTCAGATCGCCATCAGATCCCGAGATCCGGCTGCGTTACTTTTTAAGACACGCATGACTGGGCCTCATTCTCCACATAGGGTAGGAGTATCCATGAGATTGACATGAACCCAATGCGCTATGTGCTGTAGTTCTGAGTGACAGCCCCGGGCTAACGCTTCGTGGTATGGCTAGTGTTTATAGTCGGAGTGGTAGAGCACCTAGGATGGATTTGCTGCAGTAGTTAGCGGTAGCGCGTACTCTTTCTACACAGCATCCTTTTCTGATGCCGACACCCGATCTATTTGATTTGATTATGTATTCCTTCCCTTTTCTATTTTCAATTTTATCTTTTTGTTTTTTTCTTTTTGCTCTCTTCCACTGCCCTTTTTTTTTTTACCGACCTTTAACGGTCCCACATACTTTCGCCCTCTAGGGTCTAGCCCCCAAGTCCTGACTCGATATCCGGACATCACTGGCCTAACTCCTGAACATCGGAGGGTGATAAGTCATGAAACTTGTCCGTATTAGAATATCACTTCGATTTCACGTGTGAGCCAGGATATGTTGTCACGAACTCAACTCATCAGGACGCCAGACCCACCGAACAGGTGAAAAACAAAAAGGTCCACTGTTCCTTCATCCACGCGCTCTGAAACGGAACGATCACAGGAGCACTCCACACAGGCTCGGCTGGACTCAGGGTCTCGACCGATGACCCAAGAAACCTCACTCGTAGGAAGCCTCATCTGTGAAAAAAGTATGGAATGTGCAGAATCCATCTGGCACCTGGACGAACGACCCGTGACCGTGACAGAGGGTGCGGTAAACGGGCCTAGCTTCGGTATACTCAGACGAAGCATACATATATGTACATACATACGTCTGATGTGCACGTCCGATCGCAGTAATCGGACCCGACAGCTCGAGTCCATCTAGTTTAGTGGTGATTAGTTTAATCTTACTATCCTTTTTTTTCTTTCTTCTTCTTCTTCTTCTTCTTCTCAATACTACTAACTACTCCCCCTGATCAATTGAAGATCAGTTGGTGAAATCTTAGTCGCCACTTAGTACTCGATCGGTGATAACTTAGCCCATCCTAATTTCAAATAGCCTCATGTCTTCATTTCCATTTCCTCCAAGGCCATAATTGGAACTACGGGAGTACTTCCTGCACCGAAATAGAAAAGTAATCTATATGACACAGACCAGCTGCACACATCTCCCTAACACCAATTCGAATGGGGAGGGAGGGTGACACCAGCACTTGCATACAGCTACATAACACTAAGACCCGTCAGTTACAGATATCCCCCTCCCCCCGCCGACTAAAGATAGTAGCGAGTATGTCTCAGAAAGCACAGGACAATATTTTCTCCCCTCGACCACACTCGCGTCGACGCATTCACGATACAAATTAACTACCGAGAGTTTGTTTTTCTTTTGGGTTGGGGACTCGCTTCCACGAGACTTGCCAGCAGCGCCACACCCATGCTTGGTGTCTGTTCGCGGGTGAGTCTGATGTATCATTTCATCGACGGCTTTAGCGGGATCACCCTGGGTCTTTTGGATGTATCGAGTTTTATACGTTATCGACTGTACTCCGTACACCATTTTACTTTACTGGGGTACGGTCCGTTTAGCTTGGGGCTAGTGGGCCGCTAGAACGGCTTTGGAATTTATTCGCTAGAGATGATCTATCTTGGGTTCGTGTGTCGATATGTAAGGGTGGGTTGTCTTTTTGTTGGGAGGGAACTTCGTGGTGACGGGACATCACGAGGTCGGTTTATCTAGAATTTTTATGAAAGTCTGATCGGTGCAGTAGCGGATTCCGACATGTCAGGAAAATTATAATTTTTTACTAGGAAATTGAACTTGGTGAAATATGGAGGTCTACTGGCTCAGAGGTAGACGAAGTCTAGGCAATCATAAACATACACTAACCGACTATACGATTTACAGAGCACCCAGCTCCTTCAGCTTTCCGATCAATCCATCGACGTCCTCAACCTTACCGCCACCCTGGCGGGCCGGGGGTTCTGCACAAAAGTTAGTACACAGGCTTAGCCCTGACGCAAAGAAAGAAGATAGAGAACTCACCAGTGACCTTCAGCGTCTTCAACCGCTTCTTGTCCTCCACACCAAAGTCCGCCAGCGTCTTCTTCTCCAGCGGCTTCTTCTTGGCCTTCATGATGTTCGGCAGAGTAGCATACCTCGGCTCGTTGAGTCGCAAATCGGTAGTAATGATGAGAGGCAACTTAGCCCGAAGAGTCTCAACACCGCCATCAACTTCGTGAGTGACCTCCACCGTTCCCTGGTCGTCCTTGATATCCACCTTGCTAGCCTGCGTTGCCTGAGGCCAGCCCAACAGGCCCGCGAGCATCTGACCGGTTTGACCCTGGTCACCATCGATAGCCTGCTTCCCGAGCAGCACTAGGTTGATGTTCTCCTTGTTCACAACCTCCTTCAGCATCTTCGCGATGGTAAGAGGCTCCAGGCCCCCATCGTTGGAGTCGGGGACGTCGACGTGGAACGCGCGGTCGGCGCCCATGGCCATCGCCGTGCGGAGGGTGTCAGCGCATTTGGCTCCGCCCGCGGAGAGAGCGAGAATGTTCTCGACTTTAAGGGGACCCTTGCGCTCACGGAGACGGACGGCCTCCTCGATCGAGAGTTCGTCGAACGGGTTGAGCGAGTGCTTGACGCCGGCGGTTTCGACGCCAGTCTGGGCCTTGTTGATACGGGGTTTGATCTATTTTATTTTATTTTTAGAATGTTAGTGTCTGACATCAGTTGTCACATTGGACTCGGTAGCATTGAAAAGACAGCGTGAGCGTAGACCCCTCCAGCATGCTGGTCGTGGGTTTGCGGCCGGAGGTGACTCTTTCACCGAAGACGGAGAGCACGAACGAACAAAAAACTCACCGCGTAGTCGATCACCCGCTTGACGGGTACCAAGATTCGCAAACCACTGGCCATTCTGGGCGATACTGTGAAGCTCTTTTAATCTGTCAAGCCAATGGAGGGCGAGAGCCGTTTGAGAGTAGAAAGTGAGGTAGAAGAGGGTAGTGAACTGAGGACCGATGCGTCGGAGCAGATCCGGGGCAGAACAGAAGCAGGTGACTTGACTTTCCAGGGCGGAGAGCTGCTGTTACGCCGACGCGGCCCGACACTCTCTTCCCTTTCCGCCTCAACCCCTCCGCTTCCAACCGAGGTTACGGCGACATTCCCAAGGCTTAAACGTACGAATGGATTGGAGGTCGAATTGTTCTTGGAGAGATATAGGACTACGGGAAATGGTTCATTCTCATTGTGCGTAGCTGTTTCTCTATTTTGTTCATTGAATCGTTGCCCTCGTTCGGTGGGGTCTATCCACCCACTCACACACTCTTCTCTATAGTCATGTCCATAGCATGTGATTCCTAGATCTATTTATTACCATGTCTCCTGCTTGTACCGCCCAGACTTCTCCATGCCAAGCAAATATTCTTCTGCCTCTTCTCTGCTGAATCGCTCTGCGTCGGTTGCCCCACCGTTCTGGAATGCCTCAACCAGTGCCTCCCGGACAGCTTGTGGCATCCGTCCTGACGAGCCGCACACATACACCGACCCAGCCATCTCATGCAAGAGTCTAAAGAATAGTCCAAAGTTATCCCGGATAACGTCCTGCACGTAGACCTTCTGTTTCTGGTCCCTGGAGAACGCCGCAAAGACCTCCAATCTAATCATCTTACTAAGCTGCTGCCACTCTTCGTCAAAGTAGAAATCGGCATTGCGGTTACGCCCTCCAAAGAGAAGAATGGTAGGCCCAATGGTCGGCTCAGCCCCACCATTCTCCTCCTTATACGCCTTGACAAAGGCAGCTTTCTCCCAAATCATAGACCGCAACGGCGCGACTCCGGTGCCCGGACCAACCAAAACCGTTGGTCCGGACAATTGACCTAACGACGAATTCAGGCCTCCGCGCTGCAGGTGGACTTTTAGGGTACTCCCCGGTTGGAGTGCCGAGATATACTTTGTGCAGACACCCTCTCTGATTCTCTTGATTATGGTCTTGTATTTGACGATGGCGATCAACAGTTCGAACTTGGCCCCGCCTTCGGGTGTCCGCTTTAGTTCGCCTCCGCTAGCAATGCTGAATTGTCGCCCTCTGAGAACGGGGAAGACCGACGTGGCATGCTGCCATGGGATCTTCACCGTATCGAACTCGTGTAAAACCTCCAAGATACTGCGTCTCGGTCGTGAGGTATAATCCCAGAGCTCGTCCAGGAATTCGGGGTTAGTAAATTCAAGTAGTCGCTCCTTCTGCATATCATCGTTGGTGTAATGAGATATCTCCGAGAAGAATCTCCGGCGAGGGATGGCTCGGATATCTAAGTAGTCCGTGATGAGTGCGCGTAGCGTCAGCTTCGGATACGACTCCAGGTTAGGGATGGGTGGTAAAGGTAGGTCTTCGACGGAGTGCTGGCTATTAGCAGGGATCAGCGAGATCAACTGATCGGCCTGTTCTTCCCAGCCCATCATCTGAATCAGGGCTTGGACGTCCTCAGTGAAGTTCTTTGGCATAATGGAGATCATGTCGCCGGGGACATAGGTGACGGAGTCGGGGACCGTCAGGGAGACGTGTCGTACATCTTGCCAGTGCTTTGGGGGTGTCACCCTTTTATTTTGGATTAGTGTCGCAGTCAGTGTATCTGGGATTGGGCGGTGGTCATGCTCTAGTCGGGACTTTGAATCCTCGACTGAAGTACTCTGAATCCCTGTTCCTTGAGCAGCTGGCTCCGCGCTGGAGCCTGGAGTTTGATCCTGTAATTGCAGCACCCATTTCGGTGGTAATTGAACATCATCCGGTATCGGATCCTCTCCTTCAGGAAGAGGGCAAGTGTCCAGCAAGTGCTTGCGGAAATCCGTTATCCAAGGAATAAATGTTCCTTCCAGTCTGTAAGATCATCAATACGACGGTTTAGAAAACATAGGGTAGTTGAATATCGACCTACCCTTCAGGATGCTGTTGATCCGCCTCTCCACTAAGATAGGCTTCACTTGCGCCCAACTGAACCAATCTCTTACACAGCTTGCGCGAAGCCCAATTGAACCTTTCCACACGTTAGGAACCAAATCAAACCCAAACGGCCACCACCGACAGAAACGTAACTCACTTAGGATAAGAACTATCGCCCAGCCCAAACGACGTAAAACTAACGCCCTGCAAAAACGTCGGCGGAAGCCTCTTTAAAAGCAAAGATCTCCAAAACGTCCGTGCATTAGCAGGTAGATCACCTTGCCCCGTCGTCGAGATCGCAAAGACAACAATAGTATACGAGCTCAATGTCTCCTGGATACCACCATTAGCCCTGACTCTATTTGACCGCCCTGGCTATAGATGGGAGGGGGGGAAGACCGCACTGGTTTGACATGGTTCATCTCCAAAACCTGAGTCATGAAATGTAGGCGCTCAGCCAGAGATCCTAGCTCTTCGGCCACCTCTTGGGCATTGCCGGTTTCCGAGCCATACAGAATGAGAGCGGACCGCTTACGAGGTCCTGGGCCCTGATCCTTGCTCATCATGCAGGTGCTTTTACCGCGCTGCTTCGTCTTGTTCTTGGGGTTTGATAACCCCTCCTTTTTTGCGGTTTTCGCTGGCGGGACGGAATGACGTCAGGCCGAAGTCGCTACATTATTTATGGATTTTCATAAAAAGCGGATTATGTGATTATGTATTACTTGTGTACTCTTACCCATTTCTATACTATGCTCCATAACCATGGCATGGCCATCAAAAACTGATGCACAACACCATCAACTACTAAGAGCGAGATCAGTGTAAGAACTTCATGGCTAGTTAGTCCTTGAGCTAATCAATTTCGTCCGCTTGTTCAAGTATTCCTGATGTAAAAAACCTTTTGGATCATCTGCTCAGCATCCTCCCACATCTCATATTCAACGGTTCCCCCATTTCTAGCTGGTCTAAGAAACTAACATTTGGCTGGAATTTACTACGCTTCTCTCTTTCTATGCTTGGAGCTTCATATAAGTACGGGAAGAGGAGAGCAAACCTAGAAAGTGGAAAGGACTACGAGTAGTACGCATAAAATACTACGGAATTTTATGAATTGTTGAGAATAAGCCTGAAAACAGTGTCTTGAATGCTTTTTGGAGAGGAGTATAAGCCTGTTGCTTATTATTATGATACTTGTTTTTCTTGAGGTAATATATACTTCGAGACACTCTGAGGCAGCGTCTTTCCCAGGATGATGTTTCTCCGAGTTGTATATATCTACTTCTAAGATACGCTGTAGGCGTTTATTGTACAAACCTTGGAATGAACAAATGAAAAGCACTTGGTAGATAGGTCTCATGCTGAGGTGAAGATAATTATCTTATAAAAGCTTTCTATTAGTTACCAATAGTCTACAAAAGCATAACACTTGGAAGAGTCACTTGAGCATTGATAGTGCGTGCGAGTTACAAGATACAAAAGACCAGTGGGATAAAATATTAAGACCCCTTGCATTCGCACTAAGGCATAGGGAAACCTAAAAGATGGACAAAACCTATACCAGGGCCGGATTACTTTGACTAAGTCACAAATGCCTCATATCTTTTGTCCAGTTGCAGGCCCGTCTCCAGCAGTACCCACTCAATCGAACAAGAATATCCCCTTTTTGTTTATTTACCACACGTACTTCACCCAGGCACCGCTCGGCTCGTAGCAGTAGATATAATCAAGTTGTCGGGGTGGGATGATGACATTTGAGCCCCTCTTAGCCTGATAGTCGGGAGGGTGGTTAGGGTGATGGCTAAAACATAGTATAAGTAAACAATCCAAACAGAAGAATGTACTATAGGTGTAAACTTACCGCCACAAAACACAGTTAGCTGTATTTTGGAGATCAGTCAACACTCCTCTGTAAGACCAAATCGTTAGTATACAGAAACACAGTAGATATGAGAACTTACGGATGCTCTAATTTTACGAGCTTTTCCGCTTCGATCTCCTCCGTGTAGAACTCGCCATTGGAGGTATAGGCAAGCTAGTCAATAGAGAGTCAGCTCTGAGAGCAAAGATGAGACGTGATAGGGGAGGTTGATTTATACTTTAACCGTTTCTCCAAGAACAGCGGAAGCGTAGAGCGCAACGGTGGTTGCGATGAGCGACTTGGTGATCTGCATGTCGAGTATTGCTGTATTAGAATTAGATATTATTAGAGAAGAATGGGACGGTTGAGTTGAGAAGTGAGTAACGACGATTGAAGAGCACTGTAGCCCTTAAATATCTTCTTCTTAACATGATCTTCCCAGTCAAGTCGCCTATTGTGATATCATCAAGATAGTAAAGTTTAATGGGTTTCCGTTTGCATTCATGATATCCTACTTTCGGAGAACCCAAGGTCCAGGCCTTGTATAAATCCCATTGAGCTTGTCAAAATATCCAATGTCGACATCACAATAACAAGGTCTATACAATGACGTGAAGACAGTTGGACTCCATGGTGGTACTGGGCAATCAAGGATCATATACACACCAATAAAGTTTATTTACTATCTGGCCAGACTTGGTCAGTTGGAGTAGGCTTTGAGTTTTGGTCAAATAGGATGAGGTTACATTGACAGCACCGTTCCAGCTCCGATGTTATCTGTCATGGACTCGTGGTGGAGCTGAGGAGCCCGATCCACAAAAGTTATACCAAAATAACCTTTTTATTCCATCGGAGCTTGTTTATACCCATTTGCCACGGCGTAATCGATTCCACGGTGCAAAATGGCCAGAGCTGAACATCTCATGCATGATGCGTCGCACGGTCCCGGGGCTTCGTCCGAAGACTCTATAATCAGTCAGTTAGCTTGGTTAGAGGCGAACTTGGTGACGGGATCTACGGATTGTTGGCGACGATTAGGTGACCACATAGGTTTGAGGGCAATCCAATACTATCCATGAAGTACTAGTCCGAGGTTGGTCTATCAAGTAAGTGTACTCAATAATATAGTGCGAACGAGGTGAGCTGGTAACAAAGGCACTATTGGAGTAACATTCTGTATCGATGATGAATAACGTGAATAAGTATATGAATGAGCATCCATGCATATTCCTATTCCTTCCTATCCTGGCTATGTTTTTTGTGATGTCCTGGATATACTCGCATGGATATATGGAGTCACGTGGCACCTTTTCTAGTATGCGATAGTCCTAGAATATTAGTATATGCTTACCTTTGACAACCTATATTATATATAGCATGGCAGAATAAGGAGCACGAAATTATGTCAGGTCATAATCCAATGTCCATAAACATCACTCAGAAGAAAACCAGCATGCAATCCCGCTCCATCATGCAAATGCACATACACACACATATATGATATATCAAAACACCGCTTATAGAAAAGAAACCACATTCGAAAGAAAGAAAAGGGTATCTCAGAAAGTGCAAGCGCTCTCCCGCTTTAATAAGTATCCTCATCACCGCCACCGCCACCATCCCCGAATCCATCGTCCCCATATTCATCATCACCGCCATCAAAGTACTGCTCAGCGTTGTAGTCGCCACCCATCTCATCATCGTCATCCTCAAAGTCATCGTCCATAATCTCCTCCTCACCCTGCTCATCATCCGGTTCCAGGAGATCATCATTCTCCCCACCCTCATCATCCTCATCGCCTGTCTTCCGCCGCTTCCCGATATCTTCCTCTTCCTCTTCATCATCATCCTCGAATCCACGCTTAAGCGGCGGCCGCACCATCCGCGCAACGAACCCATCCACCGCCGCACCGGCCTTGAAGTTCGGCTGAATGACCTCCCAAAGATCGTCGCGGGGGAAGTACTTCATAACTAATTCAAGCATCATTAGCAACCACTCTCACCCTCCTTCATTTATACTTTGAAGGAAAGCAAAAAAGGGAAAAGAAACTCACTATAAGGCCGCCCACTCAATTTCGGAATAGCCCTCTTCTTCTTCTGATACTTCCCCGAATAAGACTGCATACCGTGAAACGGATCGAAATGCTGTCTCGCCGCCTTCGTTTTCCTGCCCGACAACCCCGGATCAAGAACAGAGTAGTAGGGACCGTCGTGGATCTGCTCGCGAAGAGCCCGGTACAGATCGACTTGCTTTTGTTCGCGCTCGTTTAGGGATCGGGCTTGCGGGACGGCGTATTTCTGGGAAATAGAAGAAAGGTCCGTATAAGCATCTTGCCCTCCTTCTTGTTCTCTTGTAGTGGCTTTGTTTGCACTTCAGTTGTGCAAGGACAAGTTAGAGGGACCTACAGGGTAGAGGGGTGTAGGCGCAGTGTCTGGTTCCCCGTTTGGGTCATTGTCCCAGGTAAATTCTGCGCCGGGCAGCTTTCTGCCCTTTTTCGCTCCGAATCGGGACATGGGTGAAACTTTAAAGGCGAAGCCGTGTTATAGATATGCTGGAATGCCCTGGGTGTTCGAAATGATATTCTGGAGTCAAGGTTTCTTTTGCGGCAGAAATGATGGATGAGGAGTAGTTTGCGGCGATCAGAAAAAAAGTTACGGCGGAGACTCGACTCACCGCCTTCCCGGATGGGTCTCCAGAGGGCAATCAGGGCTTACGAGATATAACCCTATCGTTATTCAAGTGAATTGAAGGATAAGTAGCGGGATATAGTTATGCTCAAATTGATTATAATCTTAATTGGTAGGCTTTGGTGTAGTAATGAGAAGAACTCTTCCGAGCGCTGGCATAGCGGTACAGTTCTGGTGATGCATCGCTTGGGCAATACAGACTTTATAGTCCAACGGTCTCAACTTGGCTTCCACCCTGTGTTACTGGTCCCCATGGTCCTTCGCTTACCCTCTGCTGCAGTGTGCGCATGATATCTTCGAATCCTGCTATCTCACCGCCCGTTTCTTTGAGATGATCGTGCAGCGCCACTAGCACCTCATATTTCGCTGTTGCAACTTTCCAAACTGCGTTTTGTGAATCACCTGCGCCACCCGCAACAAACTCGGCATACGAGCGGGGTGCCTTGAAAAGATAAGGTAAAAGGACAGTCAAAGCCGGTGGGGTGAGAGCTGCCCAGGCCCCCGATGAAGGAAGGACTCCTTGAGAAGCTGGGGATAGACTGCCCAACCCCTGTTCAGAGGGAAGCTGGTACCGGGATGTGCCTGGAACAGAAGAAGTCACTTCCCTGGAGAGCTTCTCCCAGTTCGCTGTGATAGTAGCTCTCATGAAGGAGATAGCTGCTAGAGAGACGTCCTTCATGGCCAAAATGTCAGCTGCAGCGACGACATCCGTCCAGAAAGTGCTGTGCTGGTTCAAGTACATAAAGTAGAGTATCCGAGCTGCTGCTGCCTCTTTATGCCAATCTGTGGCTGTCTGACCAGATGTATTGAGCTCCATTGTATCGGCAAGGTATAGTTTCGAAGGGCCATGAAGAATTTTGCTCAATACATCTAATGCCTCCTTGTTGGGTGGGCTCGTGGGAAGAGCAAGAACAGCGTTTAAACCCTGTTTAGTAGCTTCCACAAGCAAAACTCGGGGAATGCAGGAAAGCACATTGAGTTGACCGCTTGGAACAGGCCCATGTGCCCACTGAGCGGATGAGATCGTCACCGATGCGGAAATCCGTGATAGAATTCGATCTAATAGATGTTTGGGGTTCTGTAGAAAATGATTAGGATACAACTCCGCATACTGCGCAACGTAAGCCATGATTGGACCACATAGATAGTTCAGATCCACAGGATCCAACTTCGACTCATCCAAGTAGTAGCCCAGAAGAGAGGAATGTATATCGTGCGAAATAAGGAAGTCAAGAGCGGGGGACGAGAAGGTAGATGCTGCTTGGACAAAGGACCGAGCAGTAAGGCTCGGGGCTTGGATCTCGAGGAGGTCATGGAAGAAGTTCAACAAAGTCATATGCATTAAAACATCAGTTTTGTCGACCATTTCACAAGCCGCGAACTGCAGAAGGCTGCTACTATTGTATCTAGTCTCAATATCCGGTATTTGTGAGCTTGAGATAATGTCCCAGCGCAGGTTGCCAGCCTTCGTAAGAAAGCCCATCAGACGGCCTTGGGCTACGGTTTTGTCGCGTTTCGAAAGGCTTCCAGGGCCGTTCTCGGTGAGACTGCACATTGAAAATAAGCGTCCGTAAACGTCTCTGTCCGTGAAAATCCTTCTCCACACGAGACCCTGCCCGCCAGTAGCCTCTTGGCCTTCATTGGCACCTTCCCCATTCTCTAGAGGACTTGTCAGATCAACTTCTAGCAGTGCCCAGATAGCATCGAAAGCAGCCTGAGCGACCGCAGTTGAAGAAGTCGAGAGCCAGAGTTCCACCAAGGAAGCAACCAGCTCGGAGTCGCCGGCAACTATGGCGGCGTCGCTGGGCGTCTGCCCCGCCTTGCTCAGTAAAGCTAAAGCTAGTGAATTGATAGGTGGCGACGGTGCCTTGAAGCCCGCAATGAAATCGATCGGAGGATCAACCGAACAGAGATCAGTAAAGCTAGTATATGCTGTAGCCTTGATAGCAAGAGAAGTGATAGGGGTGGGATCCTCTTGGAGCACAGGGAGCAGCTGTGAGATCAGCGGCAAGAGAGTTGCAGGGACACTGCTGTCCGTACTCTCTGTAAGCTGTAGCTTCAATTTGTCAATGATGGGAATGTCTAAGCGGACAGAGGGGTCGCGTTGAACTTGTTGCAGGTGAAGTTTCACCTCATCATACGTCGACGGTACTGCCATTTTGTCTGAAATATTTGACTCACTAGCGACCCTCTCCCACAGCTGATGGATAGACAGAAGATGGTTGCTCAGGAACGCCGCAGCTATCCTTTGTGATAGTGGGGAAGCTCCATGCAAACACAACAAACAGCGACGATAGCTCCGCACTCTCCATGCTTTAGTTCCTTTGCCAGTCAACCTCCAACTATCTACAGTTCCAAGAAAAGCCATTTTGTTTTCCCCTCAGTTGTTTCTCGCCGACTTCCAAGATGACAGAACAATTAAGTTCACTCGTATCCCAAAAGTCATCCGACTCGGGCCTCCATATTCAACTTCACCCTTTGATCCTCCTCACAATCTCGGACCACATTACTAGACATGCCGCAAGATCGCAGCAAGGCCCAATCCTCGGAGCTCTGCTCGGGCAACAAAACGGGCGCGAGATAACACTAGAGCACGCTTTCGAATGTATTGTGGAAGAAGGTCCAAACGGCGAGCCCCAACTACCAAATGAATGGTTTAATGAACGAGTCAAACAATGTAAGGCCAGCATACGTCACACTCCCATCGGATCTACGCAGGCTGACAACGAATGCCATAGTCAAGGATGTACTTAAAGTCCCCGCCCTTGATATTGTCGGATGGTGGTCAACGGCTCCCCCATCCGGTCCAGACGCAACTCATCTCCCGATTCATCGCCAAATCCTCCAAGATTATAACGAATCCGCAGTATTTCTCGCATTCCACCCCTCTCAAGTGAAGGGCGCGTCAGCAAACGGCGGTAAACTACCATTAACAGTCTACGAGAGTGTGTATGAGGCGAAAATGCCACAGAAAGCGAGAAAACGATGCAAGTAGATGGCGAGGAACAGTCGTTGAGCATACGATTCCGGGAACTTCCATATTTCGTCGAAACCGGGGAGGCCGAGATGATTGGTATCGATACTGTCGCTAGAACTGCGAGGAATGCAGCCGTTGAAGGCCCGAGCGCACTCTCCGCAGCAAAAGAGGTGCTGAAGAAGAAAACCGACAACAAGGAACAGTCGGCAGATACTGTGGTGCTCTCACCAGAGGAAGAAGAGCGTGAGTTTATCTCGTGCGCTGAACCAACGGCCAATCACTAATATGATATACCCTCGCAGTGATCGCCAGTCTCAACACCCGACTCAATGCCATCCGGACACTAGAATCCCGAATCTCGTTGATAAAATCATACGTTGCTAGTATATCTCCAACATCTAAAGGTGGTAACCAAGATAAAACAACACCATCCACGGCGACTCTATCTCACCCGATCCTCCGCAATATCAACTCCCTCCTCTCACACTTATCCCTCCTCTCTCCTCAAGAGCAGAGTGCATTCTCAGCTGAGGTCCTCGCTCAGAGCAACGATGTTCATCTAGTCGCACTGCTCGGCCAACTGAGCAGCAGCATCAACAGCATGCGCGAGCTAGGAAAGAGGACCGCTATTCTAAACAATGTAAGAAGAACTAATGCGTCCCGAAAGACACAAATGTCCCTGCAGAGCCGGTTCGAGGAAGAACTTTTCGCCCGTGATGATATTGCCCACGGATAAGCGATGGCTAGACTTAGAATAAGGCTGTTGGCCTTAGGGCTTATGATGATTATCAACTCAATTCCTAGGTAGTTTATAGTGGCGGCGTTTGGTCTTATTAGAACAGCATATCATGAGGAATGAAGACAATATCTTACGAGGTAGATTTCTATTTTCCTGTACGCCTTTCTTCCGAATGTAGAGGTTAGCATTATAGATAGCGGTCTGTCTATTGGACTCGTCTCCATTATATCCTCGAGGTATCTAGGTATAATCATGTACAATTGAATCTTGAAGCCAAAGAGTATCATATACAAAAAAAGGCCAAAAAGCCATGGTCGCGAGACTTTGTCCCATGGCCAAGTGTACTCCGTGGAAATGAAGCAAATAGTAAAACATAAATAGGGTATTTTGAACTTAAATCAAGCCATGCATGGAATCAACGCCAAACATGTGACTTCATTACACATGATATGAGATCAACACAGAGCGCTCAAAAGCCTACTGTTGGCTACACATCCCGGGTTTCCCGGCCCCCTCCATGAGACGGAGGGTGATACGACTCAGGCATAGGCATCGGTGGTTGCTCCTGTAGGGCATCCGGTGGGTAAGGAGCGTTGTGATGAGTTGTGGGACTCGTATGGTGATGGTCAGATTCCGAGTCGGATGGGACAATATAAGGATTGCTGAAAGGATTATCATACGGCGAGTACGGGCGTGGTGAGTGGGTCGCTGGATCCAGTAAGGCCGAGCTGCTCATTCTATTGTGAGACGGGTAGTAGTGCCCATGATCAACATCGTCGTAGGATGGAGGATTCAATCCCGGATCGCCTTCAGGTCGCGCTGTTGGATTCGGCTGTGCATTTGAAAGGAGAATCTCCCCTTCCTCATCGGGAGTATAGCGCCCTTGTCGCCCACTATTCATCATCGCACCTGCGCCTTGGTAGGCTGTCGCATTGGTTTCACCAGCGCCATCAAGTCCAATCGCTTCGTTGTGAGTTCGATAGCTAGGGTCGAGCATTCGCTTCTTGCGACCAACGAAAAGCCAGCGCATGCTGCGGCTAACAGCCTTCACGAGGTCCCAAGGATTAAGACAGTCGACAAGGGCCTTCATGCCCCAACGGCCACCTTGGTAAGTTGCTTTGCCGTTTCCGTAGAAGTCGGTCACCTCGACTGCGGTATTTCCGATTGAGTAGGGTTTCCACGAGAAGGCCCATAGGTGCAGAACGGCAAAGATAGCCATCTCAATCGAGATAAGCAAATTGGGAAGTCCGACCTTGAGATCCTGTTCTGCCATCTTTTTAGTAGCCTTGATTGCCCCCGCGGAGAATAGGAAGCTAATGCATATCTGAATACCAAATTAGACAGTGTGGACGAGGGGCCGGCAAAAGGTATGCACTCACACTTTGCCAGAAAGAAAGGAAAATCACAAGTTTAATCGAAAGAATCTTCAAGAAAGGGCTGTACTGGCTAATGTCATCTTTGACCTGGATATAGAACTGAATCAGGCAGTACATTGCAATAGTGACGGCAACACACTCCACAGCTATGACCTGTTGAGCCTAATTAGCTTGGAATCAAAAGGCTACCAGTTTCTTGGCCCATACCCAGATGTGAGAAAATGCTGGATTAAGGGATTCCTCGCAGTATACATTGAAATGCTGCGTGATGACTGCGACGATAGTCATGAGGACACGCAGTAGGCAGTACTGAAAGACAGACACCCAAACGATCTAAGTGAAACGGCCTGGTTAGTATAGATAGCCCTATTCAAAAACCACCATCCATAAAGGTGCCGTAAGCGCCTTACATTGAACCAAGTCAATCCGCTTCGAGGGGTCCTCCATATCCCCCGCTCCCCGCCGCAACACCTTTTCAACCAGGTCAGTGGCCAGACCCATGGCTTTGGGTCGATTCCGCGAAAATATTCTTTCTGACTCCGCAAGTCTGGCGCAATGTAGTGGCAGAGTAGGGCGAAGAAAGCCGATATTGTGAACGCTTCGTAGCAATCGCCGATCACAGAGAAGTAAACGGAGTTTCTGTAGAAATAGATGCTGAGCCATGCGACGAGGGAATAAACCGGGACCATGAGGAGGATGCGAATAATACTATGCCACAAGAAATGCCGTTAGTGTCTACTATCACGAAAAACTAAGGGGAGGAGGGCGATAATAGAGATGTGGGCCATACTGTCGTTGCTCGATAGGTTTGCTGTAATGCGTCGCATGGCACATAATCAAGAAAAAGGAGACCCCTGCGGCTATGAGCGCGAAAACGCCGCCAACAATCTCGCAGAGACGGTGGAAGGTAATGCCGCCATTCCACAACTCTATCTCTTCAACTGTGGTTCGAATCTCCTGTTCAGCTGGTGATCTTGAAGGGGTCAGGAATTGAGAGCGTACTGGTTCCCTCTTCCAGTGTCGAGTTACACACTGGCCAGCCCATTTTAGTGCCAGATAGTGAGACCTGTAACAGAAAAATACAGGTCTCGGTTGGTTGGAGAAAGGAAAAGGTGGTGAGGAAGTTAGATCGGAACGAAGAATACTTTTTGAGATGTTTATCCGCGGGCAGCACCAGCAGGCAGCGCTATCTTATCCGCCCGTCGGTTTTGTTCCGAAGTGGCCGACCCCCTGGGCGCCTTGGGACTAAGGTTCTGTCTTCTTTGTCGGTTTCGCAACGTCACCGGGCGTTTATGTCGCGACAATGTCCCTGGGAGAAATGACAAGAATGTCGCATCGGGGATTTCATTCAGATAGTAGAAAGAGAAGGAAGGAACAACGCACGCCAACAAAAAAGAAAAATCATCGAGGGATCGGCAAGAACTAATCTATAGCCAGAAAACAAAGAGGACTGTCCACAGGGTTTGATCACTTGGCTCTCCGAAAATAGTTGTCCCTATTAGCCCTCATTTTCGGCCCTCAATGTGTGGAGCATACATCGTGGCGGTGATCATTCCCAAGAATTATTTTGGTATCAAACTGCGCCTCGGGACACGAAGGATTGGCTCCCAATCAAGAATGAGGCCCAGCAGGCACAAGAAACGCTAAGCTTTTCCCAAGCCCCGATGACTAAGGCTATATCAAGCCAATTCTCTTCAGAATGTACTAGTGCGTGAAGGACAAGATGGCAGGAGGATAATGGTGCAGGGAAACGAGAACGAGCATCCACAATTGTCATCATAATTTCTCCGTTTTTCTCAGTAATATACATTCCTAAAGCGCCCATCCGGCAGTTTTCAGCCCTATGTTGTACACGTCATAAACCCTAGCGAACATCACAAGAAAGTAAGCCATAGCCTGGTCAGATTGTTAATCCGAGAACAGAGCACATATGACACATGACATCATCACCGGTTCAAGAACTCAAGAACCTTCTTCTTCTTCAATGACGACCTTTTCGATCGCCCCTCCAGGAATCCCCAAAGCCACCTCGACCTCGCCCCCGACCACCTCGTCGCCGATTCCGACCGGCAAATTCAGGGCCATTGTCCACAAATACGTCGCCGTCCTCGAATGATATCCGGCGAGTTTCGTCGCCGCCGGGACGTGGAAACGATCCCTTTCGCAGCAGATCATCGAATCGGTCTAAACGTCGGTCCGCCACGTCGCGAGGGACCGGAAGATAGTACAGTTTAGGCTTGGTGGTAGTAGACATGAATAGCTCATCGAGTGGTTTGAACCCTTGTCCAGGTCGAGAACTGGACTCTGCTTGCGAAGGGCCACTAGGGCGTCGGTCTTTCTTCTCCATATCCGCTCGTGGACCCAATGGTGGGGGCCGAGAAAAGTCACCGGGCGCCGGTCCGCGGGCTGGACGGGATCCCGCATTCTTCGCGTCAATCTCCTCCAAGACAGCCTCCACTCCGTCGTCAGTTCGGTCGTACTTTACCTCCCAGCGAGCTGGAGGACCGCTACGACCACGAGAATTCTCTTCGGTATCAATCCATTGTTGCAACTTTGGTTCGGGGATGAAGTCCACAAACAAAGTTTTGCGGTTCCGCTCATTAGGCCAAACAGTGTTGTGAAGAGCAGCACGGGCACGAGACGCTGCTGTAACGTTTGTAAAGTTGACGAAACAATGTGTCTTGATGGAATCCAGGTAGAAATCAACAACGATGTCGGGATCAGGTGAAGCACCAGGGGGTGATGCAATATTAATAAGGTGACTTTTAAGAGCAGCTGGTTGAAGCGGGCGCATCAGACCACCCACATACAGTGCTGCTGTCGCAACATGCAAGGCCGGCTCAACTTCTGTATCTTCAGTTATTGTATCAGCGGGGGGAGATACAGGGCGGGTCTGTTCCGTCTCGCCAGCTGCAAAGAGGCCCTTGAAACGAACGTCTTGTTTCGGCGCAGTACTCTTCTTGCTTCGTGAGTTATCGGAGCTGGAAGGGGGATGTGAGGTATCACGAGGCACGGTAGCTTGTTCATCAGGTTGATTGACATTGACATGCTCTTCTGAAGTCTCTTGCGAGACTGGAACAGTTTCGTCCGGTTTGGTGACCCCATCGATATCCATCGCGCCGCTGTCCTCCGACAAGAGAACCTTGGGGGCTTCTGCTGGAAGCTTCGCCTTTTTGTTCGCCAGCGCCTCAGGTGTAGGAACAGGGCTTTGGCTGCGACGCTTCCTTTTTCGAAAATCTTCAATAAGCTCCTCGGCGGGGAGTGGTGTAGACACTCCAGTAGCCAATTCTGAGGGGGGTGCAGCAGCTGGCGCAACCTTTTCAGCAGACTCAGTCTGGCCTGTACTTTCTTCCTTTGTAGGTGTAGGTTCCTTCTCTTCCGCATTGCCGGGAGCCTGCTCAACCGGTTGCGTCGAGGTGTCAGTTTCAGGTTTGGCTTCTGCTAGTTCTGCCGGCTCCGATTTGAATGGTTGCTCCCGTTCCTTCTCAGTAGGCGCGTCGTCATCCTGTGTCACATCTGCAGTCTTCTGTTCGGCTTGCGTTTCACCAATATCAGTACCTGACACTTCTTGATCCTGCTGTTGTTCCTGCACTTGTTCTTCAGGCTCGGGGTTGTGTGACTCTGCGGCGGCATCCACGGGAGGCGGCGTAGGTTGTTTCTCCTCGGCGGGTTGTGATTCCTCAACAGCATTCTCTGTCGCGGTAGAATCTTCATTCACGGCTGGGCTCTCGTCTCCCTTAGCGTCTTCCTCCACGAGTCTGTCAATAAATTGCTGTTTGACCCTGAGGCCAGTCTGCGCAATGCCGCGCCGCTTCAGTTCCGCCTTCAGTTCAGTCACTTTCCATGTCGAGTAATCGGTCATATTGGCGGATATCGCGCGCGGTTAAGAATGGGGTCATGTAAAATAACAGGTAAGGATATATTCACGGAGCGGATGTCCTGTGGATTGTCAGAGCCATAGTAGTTTGCGATGCGATTGCCCCTGCGGTCGGACTCCAGGCCGAGTTGGGTGTTTCAAAGCTTTGGGCGGAATGATGTAGCGCGCTAACCAGATACGGATTAATGTCATCAATGACCATTTCCTTCGGGTTTAGCGCCTTTCCAGATTGACTTCGAATATGCTTCCATTCTGTTAGTTCTTTAAACGAACGATACGCCCCGTTGATCAGGTATGTTCTGCTTAGATAGTTACCAATAGATCAAAAATGATTGTTGAGACTATCTATCTTCCTACTTGTTTTTCTCTATTCATACCGATAGTCTTATTCACCCCCATATTGAAATATCAAGACAATCAAAATATATCTTGATACCAGTCGCAATATTTCATTTGATGCAAACCTAAGCAACTATGCAACTACTGATGCTTGGGATCCGTTAAATAACCCCAAGTCGGTAGAAAGTGGCATTCATTAACCTTGCAACGAATCTCTGAAACTACAGAATATTTCTTGCAGCACTAAGTAAGGGAATACGGGAATCCTGATGCATCACTTCACTGTGATTGGTTACTTCGAGAGCAACAATCATGTATATACTACTAGTACTGCTTCGTACTAAAGCCTGAGTACGAGCAGTGACTCAACTCACCTATTATAAAACCACCCATCATCTTCAGGTCTAATTTCCTTATCTCAATTATACTAAATCTGCTATTCCTGTTTACCTTCAAATCTAACCCTTCCCCCCAACAACTAGTACTCTAACCATGGCAATCAAAACCGCCCAAAACAACCAAGCCATCCACTTCCGCAACCTCCACGCCCCAGGCCACCCAATCCTCCTCACAAACGTCTATGACGCAGCAACAGCCTCTTTAATCGCAAACCACCCCTCCACAAAAGCAATCGCAACCGCAAGCTACGCCATCGCCGCCTCCCAAGGTATCCCCGATGACGCTCTAACCCTACCGCGAAACATAGCCTCTGTTCGCTCCATAGCAGCTATCTTAAAGCCCAACACACTTCCAGACAACAAAGACTCGGCTGAAAACACAACAACGCTTCCCCTAACAGTCGACGTCCAAGACGGCTATGCCGACGTCGCCGAAACGATCAGGGAGGTCATCAGTCTGGGCGCAGTCGGATGCAACATTGAAGATCTAGATGGTGCTACGGGACAGTTACGACCTTTGTCGGAGGCCGTGGCGCGGATTGAACTGGCGGTTCGGACTGCTGCGGAGCTCGGCGTTCCTGATTTTGTGGTCAATGCGAGGACAGATGTCCTGGCGGATAACCCCGGTGGCAAACCGGGAAGTATTCAAAATGCTATTGAGAGGGGGCGGGCTTTTTTGAAGGCCGGGGCTTGTACTGTGTTTGTTTGGGGTGGGGCGGGTGGAAGGGGAGTGTCGAAGGAGGAGATTAAGGAGTTGGTTGTCGCTTTTCAGGGGAGATTGAATGTGAAGCTGGTGCTGCGAGATGGGTTTTTGACAGTACCGGAGGTGAAGGAGCTGGGTGTCGCGAGGATTAGTTTGGGGCCGGAGCTGTATCGAGCTGCGATGAGCGGGTTTATGCAGAAGGCGGATGGGGTGTTGGCTTCGTATAGTTGAGCATTATATCAAGGGTGTTTGTTTAGTGTACGAACTCCTTTCATTTGAACCGTGTACATTCAAAGGGAAGAGAGATACGAGAGTATAAGCCAGAAATGATAAGTAGAATGCGGCATTGTTAGGTTGGAATGATAGTAGGGAGCCCATTCGCAAGCTTAGGTGAGAGAACCCCGCATCAGTAGCACGTCTTATCACTCCAGCATAGAAGAGGTCTTTAGTCCGATAAGCCTTGGACATCGGTGTTCGGTGTTCGTATACTACTCCGTACTTAACAATCAAGTGCTCTGATATGAGAGCATAAAAGGAGCAGTAGGAACTGACAGAAATTTACACCCTCCAAGTTACCTCTAGAACATGGGGTCCCGACAACCTCTTCCCTCCTTCCTGCCAGTTGATAGTCCTACTAGGCCGTTCTGGCGCACAGAACCTCACCCACTAGATGAACTCCGAAGTACAGAAACTCTTCCAAACCAGAGTGATATCGTCATTATAGGAGCCGGTTATTCTGGTATTAGCATTGCATATCACCTTCTGAAACATTTGAAAGACCACAATAGGTCTCACCCCGCTATTACTATTCTTGAAGCGAGGCAGATTTGCTCTGGTGCAACTGGTCGAAATGGTAAGTTGCTTAGAATATCATTCTCCGGCTAGCTATCCTGACTATGACTCTAGGTGGTCACCTACGACCCGACTTGTATGACCGTATCCCTATCTATATTAAGAGGCATGGTGTGGATGCTGCCGCCGAGGTGGCCAACTTTGAACTCAGCCATATAAAAGCATTCAAGGATCTCCTTGTGGAAGAGAACATTGACTGTGATTTCAATATCACTCGGTGTTTGAACGTTTACTTGGATGAAGCAGCAGGAGACAAGGCAAGAAAGAAATATGAAGACCTAGTGTCACGAGGCCTAGCTTTTGCAGACGACATACACTATACACCATCAAAGAATGCAGAAGGGGTAAGGGCATTTCACATTTCTCGTCGCCCAAAGAAAGCTATTCAGCTAAGACGCATATTCTACACAGATTTCTGGAATCAAAGATGCCAAAGCATGTCTCTCATACACGTCAGGCACCTTGTGGCCCTACAAGCTTATATTGGGTCTCCTTTCAAAGATTGCGGACTCGCCTGCCGTTAATGTCCAAGCATTTACCCCGGTTATTTCCGTAGTATCTGACAATTCCGGTCATGTTATCCATACTCCGCGGGGAACTGTCCGCACGTCTAAAGTTGTCTACGCCTCAAATGCATACACATCCGGTCTGCTGCCCGAGTATTCAGCTAGCATAGTTCCCTGTCGTGGAATATGTTGCCATATTGGGATTCCGGAAGGTAAGACCGCGCCATTCTTGCCATACTCTTATGCCATTGGCACCAAGACTGGCGAAAGCGGCGGCAGCTACCTGATCTCGAGGCCGGATGGAAGTATTATCGTTGGGGGTGCCCAGCGCACATTCATAGACCGGAAAGACCAGTGGTATGGGGTGATTGATGACAGCACGCTGATAGAACCAGCTAAGGACTATTACAATGACTTTATGCAGCGTACATTCAAAGGCTGGGAGGATAGTGGGGCCTACGTAAAGGAGATCTGGACAGGCAGTGAGTGTTTCCTAGCTGGATGAGATCCATTGGGATGAGCCTAGTACTGACAAACCACCTTCTGCAACAGTTATGGGGTATTCGTATGATACTAGCCCTCATGTGGGTGAAGTTCCCGGTAAGCCCGGGCAATACATTTGTGCCGGATTCGATGGTCATGGCATGCCAGTGATCTTCCTGACCGCAAAAGGACTTGCTGACATGATCCATCATGGTAAGAGCTTCGAGAATGTTCACTTGCCTCGACTCTACAAGACAACGGCGGCGAGGATAACGAACGCACAAGATGGACCGGAAGGAGGTGACATATTCAGTTTGAATTGATGATAATAGCTATTGGTAGAATTCGGTGCAAGATTAGTCTTTGGTACGTACAATTGGAGGCTGCATAGAGTAGTATATTCCGGAGTAAATATGTAGGCAATCTCGGCATATCGAAGTGCACCACAGCTCCGAGTGGCAATCCCGCGGGATAAATTTACCAGGGACGGAAAAACAATGGAGCCGCCGAGGTCGGGGTCATAAGGAATTTCCAGTGTTCCTATTGGCCTCGTATGACGAATACGCATCTTCAGTGGGTCAGGCTCCAAAGAGTCATAATGTGAGGTCGGTCTGCACATCTCTTCTTCTGGTTTTCTTCCTCTCCCATCTCGTTTGTTTGTCAAAAAGTTCTTTTATCTCAAATAACATTCCTTTTTGTTTGGCCTTGATTGTGTTTCTTTTTACCTGAACGAATTGTTCGAAATGGCCACTCAATCGGACAGTGCGCCTGCACAACCCCGTCAGTAATTCCCATGCCCCACTATGACTTATGAAAATGAACAGCTACTAAATCCCGTAGAGAGACTCGACTCTCAACCTGAGAACCCCTTCTCAAACCTCATCACGGATCAGTTATTTATTTCGATCCCCTCGTTCACCTTGGAATCGGGCGTTACGTTGTACAATGTGCCAGTGGCCTACACTACGCGGGGGCAGCTGTCCGAGACCGGAGACAATGCCTTGGTGATCTGTCACGCTCTGAGTGGTAGTGCGGATGTCGCAGATTGGTGGGGTCCACTTCTGGGTGGCCCCGGACAAGCCTTTGACACATCTCGATTTTTCGTGATCTGCTTGAATAGTCTGGGTAGTCCGTACGGAAGCGCCAGTGCCGTGACTTACAAGGATGGAAACCCAGAAAAGGGACTGTATGGCCCGGAGTTTCCACTGACTACAGTTCGTGATGATGTGAGGTAGGTGATTGGCTATGTGGGGAATTGCGAAGTGTGCAAAGCAACTCACACAAAGTACAGGATCCACAAGATCGTTCTGGATTATCTGGGTATCCGACAGATTGCTGCAGTTGTGGGCGGCTCCATGGGCGGTATGCTCACTCTGGAATATGCCTATTTCGGTAAAGATTATGTACGAGCGATTGTACCGATTGCCACGTCTCCGCGGCATTCCGCATGGTGCATCAGTTGGGGAGAGGCCCAGCGTCAAAGCATCTATAGCGACCCTAAATACGAGGACGGCTATTATTCTTTCGATGATCCTCCTGCTACTGGTCTTGGCGCAGCTCGCATGTCCGCTCTTCTTACCTACCGGAGCCGCAACTCGTTCGAATCTCGGTTTGGGCGAAATGTTCCGGACCCTAGCAAGCAACAAAACATCAAGGGTACTGAAAAGCTGCCTACACCCCCGAATGAACACTGGGCTATCCATAATGATGGGCACAAAGGCGGTCGTTCGACGCCTAGTGGGCGCAACTCTCCCACCGCTCCCACCGCTCCCACAGCACAACAGACTGAGGTTCAGTACATGGACCCCCAGTTCTCCGGGACCAAAACCTTCAGTAAAACCATCGATACCGCACTGAAGAGCGGTCAGAAACGTCCGCCAACCTATTTCTCCGCCCAGTCGTATCTTCGTTACCAGGGCGAGAAGTTTGTGAAACGGTTCGATGCTAACTGTTACATTGCTATCACACGCAAACTGGACACCCATGACGTGTCAAGGCAACGGGCGAGCCCCACGTCGAGCGATCCAGTCCGCGAGGCTCTCGCGCAAATTCAACAACCAGCCTTGGTTTTGGGAATTGAGAGTGACGGCCTGTTCACTTTTGAGGAGCAGAAAGAGATTGCAGCTGGCATTCCGGACTCCCGCCTCAAACGTATCGAAAGCCCCGAAGGCCATGATGCTTTCCTTCTCCAGTTTGAGCAAGTCAACCGCTACATTCTGGAGTTCTTCCGCGAAGTCTTGCCGGACATCATGTCCAAAGCTCCAGCGGATGGGGCTGTGGAAGTGGACGGTGTGAATAAGCTAACCAAGAGCAGCACATTCGGAGAGGCGGAGGTGGAAGATATCACCGCCTGGTAAAGCGATAAGAATGGGTTCTTGCCTTTTTTTTGGCGCATACGTTGCAGCCTTAGTCTTATCGATCGATGCTCCATGGGTCACCAAGGGTCTCCGTACCTTCTCTCGTTTTAACAACCGAGAGAGAGGGTACGCCGCGGGCTCTCATCCCGCTCGCATCGAGTTTTCCGGGGAAGTAGCGGTGCGGTCTTTGTTATTTTCTTTCTTAGCCAGTCAGAGAGTTGAGCATCCAACTGCCTCTCTCGTACCTCACTAACAGGTAAGGCTGTAAAAGAAGCATCCAACTGCTCTCCATCATTAGCCCTTTCCAAAGTGATCTCGCTCAACTAGGGAGTCCTTCTTAGGGTGGTGGGCGATCTTTCAACATAATCAATAGATCTTCCATTAGCATAGTAGATAGATGTCAACCATCAATGCTAGAAAACATGCGAATTGAGTTATTTGATTTAGGATTTAGTATGATCATGGGTAAAAAATAACAGCAATACCTTGTGAAGATTGCGTCTGTTTAGGACAAGCCGTAGGCGTTACTCCCAACTCCTTTCGATGTTCAAGAAGAGGCCTCGCTTGGCATGTACGTAAAGCACAACAGTGATTTGGGGTTTTGATTAGTCTTTTGGAGAAGGCAACTAAAAGGTAAAAAAAAAAAAACAAAAAAGTATGAGAGACTTCCAGAAAGTATAAAAACAAAAAAGAATGTATCAGTGCATCATCCGTGAATCGAACACGGGCCTCATCGATGGCAACGATGAATTCTACCACTAGACCAATGATGCCTATTTGATGTAAGGCAGCTTATTTTAAAAAGCTATGACTAAACGGAGTGCCAGCACTAGTTTCAGAAACAACAGAGAAGCTCAGGGCTGCTGTGAAGTCAATGTTGCAAACCAACCTCAAGGACCAAGTAGTCATTGGACGATCTTGAACGCCGAGTTCTAGATATCTTGAAAGAGCTAAACAGCCGCATGTTCCTTGGTAGGATCTGCAATAAAGCACAGATCACGCATATTCCTCAAGTACTATGACGGCGGCTCCGTCAAGCAATCCAGTCGCATCCTCTCAACGGATGAACACACACACATATGATACCAGATGCAGATTCCTGGACTTGTGCCTTGATGATGACTTGAGTGGTGATGTCAGGAACCCTGAACATACTAGTGACAAGTCATAATATGCACCGTGATGCTGGTCAGCACATCTTTTAGTTTTGTGGGGAAGCACATCGTTGACTATCTCATTTCTAGCTTTCCACCGAAGGTCACGCCGTTTGTCGGTCCACGCAAAATGGCGGCAAGCATCACGCTAGAAGTTGCCTCTCACGAGGCCCGAGCCCATGTCGAAGCGCTCTCTGCCTTCGCCTCTGGTCAGTGACCAGAACTCAATTCTTCATGAAAAACATGGGGAACGCATGACCCCAATTGAAAGTTGAAGCTAAAGTGCGGGGTATTATCCTGAGGATTTCTGAAGATGGGGATTCCGTGCGCAAGTCGCGGGAACAGTTGGGGAAGCCAGACTGAGATCGGCGGCTCCTTCCGTGCGTTTGCCGGCGACCTCGGACATGTGATACGTGTAATACTAACAGGCTTTCTGCCAATGCTCGCCTCTTTTCTTTTTCTCCTTCATTTGGCTTTTCTGGGCTAACATGGGGCCACACGACGTAGTATCCAAGGTGCATGGGCCCATCCGGCCTGGTCATTTTCCTTTGACCGCGGCATTTGCAGACAAAAGGGACATACATCTATTGATTGTCTTCCACGGACTTAAATTTGACCCGTCGAATACAAGTAGTACGATTGGAGCTGGAGTCATGCAGGGGACCGTATGTTTGTATGTGTTTATAATGCCTTTGGATCGGGATTGCTATGTGACTACTACTACTACTACTGTAACTCCGGGAGGCCGCTCGAGACATTTGATGCACACATAGAGTAACATTGGTCAAGACGCTTCCTCCTTTAAAAAGGTTAAAAGAAAAATTTTTCATGCAGGAAATGGATCCAGAGTTGATAGTCTCCCTGCAGAACCAATGGGGTGACTGGGTCTGGAATTGAGGTCGTCGGGCAATGATTTGGAAGTGCCCGATTGGGAGGATAATTGACGATCTCTATCTCGGGCGTTCATCGGTCTACCCCTTGATTCCGCCCTTTTGCCTCCTGGCTTGCGAACAGAAGAAGGGACGCAAGAAGAGAAAATGTACTGTGCGACTGTGAGGCACGGCAGAAAACCAATTCCCTTCTCAGCCCGAACACTGATGGTGCTATGAGATGTAAGGTGGTGAATATGAGCTATCTATCCCCGGGCATATTGATCCAGATGATCTCCCGGCCCACCCCATGTAATGTGGAGAAAGCCGTTCCTTGTTTCATTTGAAGATCATTGAACTAATTCCCCAGTTTGGAGTTAATGCACCTTCAGGAGGGTCCGGATTCGGTTTTCATGCTAAAAGTCAGTCAGTCAGTCAGTGCACGGGAGGTGGCATCCCTTGGGCGCCCCCTAGGCAATGACTCTAACAGTGCGAAGTCGTTATTATGACTTTCATAGTTTGAGGGACGCAAAGTGTACTCAGGGTTCCACTGTCCCGTGATAATGTTGTTCACCCATTGTTAACCGTGTTGCTTTCGCTTCCTGCTCCTGGCGATACACTCCACCTGCGCGGCAGCCACTCTTTTGGCCATGTCCTCGGAAAACATTTGATGTCTCATGTGTTAACCGAGCTTGTGATTCTCCTTCCATCCTCCACTGGGGCTGCGGTATCCATGTGCCCTGTCGCCTTGTATTGATACCGGAATTCCCTCATGCATCGCTGGCGACCCGGCGCTTTCTTGACACCAAGCGCTCTCCGTGTTACTATTCAATTTCTTTCGTCATAGGATGGTTCTCATCTTGACCACAGATCTGGATCTGGAATCTTTCTTTTAGCCACATTCCTTCAATATAAGCCTAGTTGGGCTGCCCCCCCACATTCCAGGCCATCGCTCCCGACGACTTCGACTTGCATTCTGGAACACCTTCCGTGAACGATTTATTTTCTACCATTTTCATTTGTGATCGGCTTGTGGTTCTTTTGACCATTGTTGGGACTGGTTGCCCAACGCTTGGTTGCACTGTCGAATTGAATTGGGAAGGCTACCTGGTCAAAGACCATACCTATAGTCGAATAAAACGACATCGGCCGGTAAATAGTGATCACGGTCCTCTCCTTTCCTGTCCACTCGGACAATTTCACTACTCTCTTTCAAATAAAGCGTGTTTCATTCCTCTCGTGACCGTATTCTTATTCTGTGTTTCGGTCACCCAAAATGGAATCTATTCTCAGGAGAAAAGGCACAACTATGAATAGGCGTGGATCTATTTCTCAGCTGTTACATATACAAGTGAGTATATCCTAGACCATCGTTTCCTTCATGACTGAGGCTCATAAACACTCCCTAGAAGCCCACATTCTCAGTATTCCAGGAACAACCGACTCGACATTATGATTTTGTGGATACCCCCGGCTATAATGAGCCATCGTCGCCTTCAACCCATCGTCAATACATTAGCCCGGAGCTAGAGTCGGACATTCGATATGCTTGCTCATTACTTGTATACCGAATTGAACGCGGCGTGCCGTCACCACCGGCCACCCAATCATCTAAGCCGTCGACACGTATGGGAAACGAGAAAGGAGAACAGTCTAGCGCCGGACAAGATCGAACCGTACCGCAAATTGACTCGAAATACTTTTCGCCAAAGGTTGGCGCCGAGGTTGCTGCCTTGAAAGATAAGCTTGACTCGGGTGTTGGGTTAACCCAGCAACCAAGCAGACAGACAATGCGATTATTGAAGTCATCTCATTCCGATGCACGCCCCGACTCCGACGAGCGCACAGCGGGATCTTTGTTCAGCCAGGTAAGGAGCACTACCTCTGGCTCCGATACCAGCTATACAGAAAATCCGAATAGTCAATCACTAGCCAAGGATCCCCCACAGGATAGAATACAATCTATGATGGGCAATCCCATAGAAGATACTCAAACGAAAGACCAGGATACGATGTCATTCCTCGCTGGGACATGCAACTCGGGTCGAAGTACAGATGAGGCATTGGAAGACTTGGAAGTATTTCTCAATCCTGACGTTGGCTTGGACTCGAACGGAATTCCGAGCTTCACCTCACCTTCAACATTCCTTAGTAGCACTTCGCCAAATACTGGAGTCTCTAGTGGCCTCACTCAAAGTCAACAGCCCGGGCTAATTGCCCAATCGAGGCTCCTTGAAGAGAGGCCAGGGGCTATGGCAGGACTAGACCCATCACAATCTGGCAAGGGTGAAAACGAGCCCGGAGTTATCATCGATGGCAATGGCTTTGCGCATATTCTAACAGTTGCCGAAGAGGCGCAGCGTAACTTCAATCTGCAACAAGCAGTCATGGCAAAGATGAAAGCTAACACGGTTGAATCTAACTCGAATGCATTGCCCCAGACACCGAAACAAGTCTTGCTGCGCAAAGATCCACAGTCAGAGCACCAAGAAATCCCTTCCAGACTCCAAACGTCCTGGTCACATAGGAGCAAAGCAACTACGCTGAAGTGGAAGCCTCGCACAGAAACACCTTCATCCTCCAATGATAAACCCAACCTTTTCCAGAAGATTGCAGGCTTTTTCAAAACACGAAGGGCCCCTGGCCAAGCAAACCATGCTCTGGTGGAGCAGCCCTTTGGTATTACCCACTGACAATGCGTTTATTATCATTGCGCGTCGGAATTCCCCGTCCTATTTTCGTTCTATACGTCTTCTGGCATTGATCGCCATGTATCTGCGAAGCGATCCTATTGGATTTATTAGCGATAGTATTTGTATTGGTGATTATGTATGGGAACTTTTGTTCTGATTGCGTGTTTTAATAGCGAAGCAAGGTGCACCTGCTTTAGTATTGCGCCTTTCTTTTCCCTCCCCTCCCCTCTCTTACCTTCCTTTTCACCAGATCACATCGGGCCACAGTCCATATGACTTTTTTTTTTTTTTTTCTTTTTTTTTCAAGATACCAATATTGACTGAACTACGCCTTTCCCGATTTTTCACGGTTCTGCCATATTCGGACATACGGGCATATTGACATGTTCATCTGTATCCCGCCTCCCAATCAGAAAGTTCAAAAGATTTGGTGTGTCCTGAGCATCATGAAACTAGTCCAGTGATCAAATGCCACAGTGTAGCATAGTATGCCTGACGTGGCATAGCCCTCGGCTTCTATCGTCTTTATATGGTCTTCAGGTAGAGGGACAAGGTCCAATCAATGCTCCTTCCTGCCAGACTTCCAAATCCTCCGGTTCGCCTTCCAAGGTTCCTTATGACTACGCCCTAGCTTGGAAAGTGGGGTAGTAGAAGCCAGCAACTTGGAATAGAAGTGGCGTGCCGCATGTCCAGCGTGGCATTCCAAGAACCCCATGCAAGTGAAAGGGCTGTGATCTGCCGGCGGCACGTGCAGTGATAGTCTGCAAGAGCGGGTAAGGCATTTATTTGTTTACGGGCTCAACCTCAGAATACTTCCCGGTTCGTTTGTACATATATCGTCGACAAGTGCGGGTGGATTTAGTTAACTTATGCCTGCTACATGCACTGATGCTGCGAGCCTTCAAGTGGACCCTATCTATATTCAACTACATTACGCCGAATGTATTCTTGCGCGATTTGTGGGGGTTGAATCGATCAATTGTCGAATGCCGTCCTGGTGTTGCTTGGATGCATATGATGTTGCCTAGTCATTGGCGGGGCACAGGACGAGGCACATCCACTTTTGACAGATTGCAGGGGGGTAGGGCTTGCCTTACGTCGACAAGCAGAGTAAAACCCCTCAACATGCCAATATTCTCATTGATTGGTCTTATTGGGGTTCCTATCGTCCATCTTCGCACCCTGCTCCGTATTCTCGCCCAACCGTCCCTCGGAAAGAATACCATAACTTGGTCATTTTATCCCATCGCTCTATATTTTGGGTGAATACTATGGTCATCTACAGAGCTGTCTGTATCTGCTAAGGCATTGATACATCCCAGATGTTCCAGATGGGCCACTTGAAATTCACACCACAAGATTATTGTCGGGGAAAATGGATGATTTGTCCATTGGTGGCGCCGCCGTGGTAGAGAAAGACAAATAACATACAGAGTGCTCGCCTCCAACACTAGGTATCAACGGAGAATGGGCACTAGGCGATCTGACTCGCAGGCCAAATCATCTCTCGAGGGGTATAAATCTGACGTATCGCAAGTATCGTCCCTGGTAATCCGGTCGCTCATGATCAGAATATGCAGGGAAATGGCTTCCTTTACTGTATTTGGAATGCTTTTATCTTCCATAGCGTTATGTCTTTTGGAACGTGCATTCGACTCTGGATAGTGTCACTTGTCTAGGAAGCTTTCAGGCATCTGCGCATACGGTATACATGCTTGACGACCTGCGACGGCAGGGATTATCTCTTGATTCCCATTCAACACAGCCTACGGTGTCGAAGTTGTCTTTGGTATACGTGGCACCACCGTTGTTACGATCCAAGCTGGTAAAGGGACAGAATGATGGGCTGACGCAATGCGTACTTGGTCGACTATTCCAAGCATATAAACCCAGGTGCCGCCGGCCCTGAGCAGTTAATCTATCCAAGCTCAAGTTCAAGTTCACCCAATTAGCTCCCATAGCTCCCATAGCTCCCATAGCTCCCAAGGGTCCTCAATCTACTCAAAGGTCTGCTACTGTCCTCGGATACATTCTCATCACAATTGCTTAACCCCTCTAGCTTCTACAGGTTCTTTCATATTAAACCCTTCCAACTCTTCAAAAATGCATCCCAACGCCAACATGATCCACCCGGAAGGCCCGGTGGTCATCTCCATCCCGGACGGTGCAAAAATCCATATTGCCGGCAAGACAAACGCAGACTTCCGCCAAAGAGTCACCATCGAGGAGATTGGCAGAGGCAAGTACATTTTCGAAGGCAGCGGTGAAGACAAGGCCATGACCCTCGAGGGGGGGGACGAGAGTGTCGACCTTGAGCCTATCCAAGGCTGTGGATTCCGCACCTGGACAATCAACTTCCAGAACTCGAGCTCCGGTGCAGAGTATAGAATGTCGAAGGTGCTGCGTCCGGTCTACAACACCGTTTACGATGCCGACTATAAGGTTCGAAAAATGGAGTGGGAGATTGCGAGCGAGGATAACGTCGATGATGACTACAACGATGCAATCATCCGTTTCAGCGCCGACATCTAAGTGACCTTGATTTGGATTCGGTGAAGCTCTCGGGAATTACCGGTTGAGCTCTAGAGTCTTGGACTGGCCTTGTATTTAGCATTCGCTCATCCAGGTGACCCTGATGTATGGCTTTCCTGGATGAGAACGCTTCAAAGAACAGCGTTTGTGGATATGATGTGACGTCATATAAATACTCAGTTATATATATTCATTGTCTCTTGCTTTTGATCCCTAGAATCCGAATTTCCACCGTTTTGCTTCACCCTCATGGATTGGCGTACGCTTTGACAGGAAACTTCCTTGATTGAGCAACTAAATGTATATAGTACGTACTAGAGTACGCGCACCTACTAGTATTCCAGAAGGGGCTGAAGTCAAGTGTAATGATGGATATACATTTCACTTTCCTAGACGAGTACTACTAGTAGTAGGTAAGTGCAAGTCAGTCTTCCAGTATCAGTGACTGTAATCCAAGTGGACACAACAAGGCTTGGCGGGGATCCACAACGGTTGTGTTTCCAATCCGGACTTAGAAATGCAGATCCAACCAATCAAGGGCTGTGTCGACAATGGATCAGCCACATGGGGGAGCTTAGCAAATCTTCACTGGTCATACTAGTAATCCAATTGTTTAGTGGATGTAGAGCTTTTCATTATGTCTATGTTTGTATTAACGATCGTTGTCAAGAAGAGGTATAGATGTAAGCTCATGTCAATATCAGCTGTGAACTGGCCGTGGAGATCACCCCCGTTAGCGCTTCAGTAGGAATGGGGCTATGCCACCAAAAAGAATTCGGGTACACCGGCATCTGGAGCCAAATCTCCACACGCGCCTTTTTTTTCTTTTTTTTTTTTGGAATGGAGTTCCGAGCTTCCCCCACGTCGAGCACAAAATATGAAGCCTTTTCAGCTTCTTCATCCCCAACCCCAGTACCCTATAGTACATAGTGTACATATCCAATTCCCAATCGAAGATGATCCGGTAAAATGAGACGCAAATTTCAAAAATCCCTCATCCAACTCACCGTCTTCGGGTGCATCCTATTCCTCATCCTCTACCTGAACTGCCCGCCCTCGCTATCTCCCGTTAAGAAAAACCCCCAAACATACCCATGGACTAGGGTCACCTACCAGACCAACTCAGAGGTCCTCCCACTGGCCCGCGGCCTCTGCCCGGGCCTCAAAGAATCCTCGAAACCGGCGCTCGTCATATCCCGAGTCGAAGCTGACGGCGATCCCTCGTGGCTCGATGCGCTCAGCAAGAAGTACCACATCTGCGTATACACCGTCGACGCACCCGAGGACCCGAAGTCCAAATCGCTCCGAGTCCCGGCCAACCGCGGCCATGAAGCGATGACCTACCTGACCTTCATCATCGACAACTACGATCAGATCCCGACGCGCGGCGCCGTCTTCGCGCACGGCTCCCGCTTCGCCTGGCACAACGACCACCCGGTATACGACAACGCCGACCTCCTCGCCGCGCTCAACATCCCCGCTGCCCTGGAACCATGGGGCTACCACAACCTCCGTTGTGACTGGAGTCTCAGCACCTGTCCCTCCCATGTGGCGCCACAGGGCAGCCTCGAAAACACCTTCACGGCCATCCTCCAGCCCTGGAGCGCGCGCGCCGTGTCTGACATCGCGCTCCCCAAAGCCCTCGATGCCCTATTCGGTACCGGCGCGGGGAGCCATGCCAAGCTGGGCCGCACACACACCGTCCGCTCGCAATGCTGCGCGCAATTCGTCGTTGCGCGAGACAACATCCGTCGCCATGCCAGGGACGAGTTTGTCGCGTTACGACAGTGGCTGTTGGACGCGGGGACTCATCGCAACGCGGCGCCCTTGGATGACCGGACCTCCGGCCGTATCCTGTCCTACATCTGGCACATCCTATTTATCAAGCAGAATCCGGTGCCGGGGGTCTCGGAGGGGGTTGACCTAGAAGCGTTGAATCACCAAGCTTGCCCCTCTGCGAAGGATTGCTATTGTCGGTTGTATGGACGGTGTGGGCTGGAGAAGTGCAAGTCGCCCGGTTCTTGCTTTGGGCAGTATCGTCTGCCGAAGGATTTGAGGTTGCCTGATGATTGGGCTGCTACGCATTGAGGATTGGGGGGTTTGGATGGTGTTTTCGTTTGGAATGTGTTGCTGGGCGGGAGAAGGCCGTTACTGGAGTCTGGAAACGGGGTATACACACCATTAATTGTCTCATTAGAAGCCACAGTCATGGCATGATAGGAAGGTCTGTACGATTAGATGAATATAATGTCTCATGTTTCTTGAATGTGTGTAGCGTACCTGTGTTATCGAAAGGTTCATAGCACTTTGTTATACTACAGAGTTTGATACCGGGTTCAGTCCAACTGGAGAGATTTACTATGTTTCCAAATAGAACCGACTCGGGAGCTCCTGCTTCTACTATTTATGTAGATTTCCCAAACGGCCAGTTAGGGCTTCGAACGGCCGTGTCTTGGCTCTAGATCGGCTGCTTCAAGTCTGTGTAAGCTTATCGTCCATCGTCATCTCTGTTTATTATCCTTCTTGGATGGAGAACCACCTTCATTTCTTGTTTCTGCGTTTGATTGCCCTTAAGAGCTCTGCATCAATGGACACTCGGGTAGGTCAGCTACGAACAGTATAGAAAGTCCGGTACCTATCTATGTATAGAATCATATAGACATCATAAAGCATATAATTCAAATCTCCGCGTCTACTCATACCCATAAAGCGTATTTAACAAAAGGAAGAGTCGTCCAGCGACTTCATGCACATCCCCCGATTTCTAATTAGAACTCACAGACCCAGCCAGTAGCGAGTCTTCTCGACCTGGAAGGACGACTTGAGAACACCCTCGCCAGTACCGGTAACAAGAACCTCATACTCGCCCTTCTCGGACGCCCACTTCTCGCGCATCTCGTCGAACCAGCTGGTTGCCAGCTTCTTCTCCACGACGATCTCGACCTTCTTCTGCTCGCCGGGCTGCAGGAAGACCTTGGCGAAGCCCTTGAGTTCGCGGACGGGGCGGTTCACTTCGGTTGCCGGAGGGGTGACCCAGAGCTGGACGATCTCGGCACCGGCGACCTTGCCGGTGTTGGTCACCGTGACGGTTGCGGTGATGGGCTCGCCGCTTTCTTCGTACTGGGCCTTCTCGGGGGTGGTGCTGAGGGTCAGGTCGGAGCGGGTGAACGTCGTGTAGGAGAGACCGTGGCCGAAGGGGAAGAGAGGGGCCAGCTCGGTCTTCTCGTAGTAGCGGTATCCGACGTAGACGTCCTCGCCGTAGAGCACACGGCCGCGCTCGGACCGGAAGTTGACGTAGCTGGGGTTGTCCTGCAGACGCACGGGGAAGGTGATGGGCAGCTTGCCGGAGGGGTTGACGTCGCCGTAGAGCACGTCCGCGATGCCGTTGCCACACTCGTTGCCGCCGAACCAGGCGTGCAGGAGCGCCTTGGTCTTGTTGGCCCAGGGCATGGTCACCGGAGTGCCGCTCTGGATCACCACGACTGCGTTCGGGTTGACCTCCAGCACGCGCGAGATCATCTCGTCGCTGCCGGGGGGCAGGTCCATGTGGTCGCGGTCGTAGCCCTCGGTCTCCCACTCGCTGGTCAGACCGGCGAAGATGACCACCTGTTCAGCCTCGGAGGCGAGCTTGACGGCGTTGGCGATGAGCTCTTCCTGGCCGACGCGACGGCTGGCCCCAAAGCGGAAGCCACCGGGTCCGAAGGCTACCACCCCGCGGGTGTCGAGGTCGGAGGTAGGTGCTGTGCCGAACTGGAAGAGGATCTTGTACGTTTGGCCGGCCTTGAGTTCCTTCGAGCCCTTCTCTTCGACGGTAGCGGAGCCGAAGAAGGCAGAGCCCTGGCGTTGGTTCTTGGTGTTGTCCACGACGAGCTCGCCGTCGATGAACAGTTGACCCGTACCGACGACCGTGACGCCGAAGTCGTAGACGCCGTCTTCCTCGGGGGTAAAGAGACCCTCCATATCGACGTAGTAAGTGAAAGACTTGATCTTGGGATTGACGTAGTCCATGAGGAAACCGCTCGACGAGACCAGGTGCAGCTCCTCGATCAGTTCGCGGTTAGATTCGGTAGGGTGTTCGTTGTACACCTTGAATGAGAAGCCAGTCTTGCCGTCGGCAGTCTTCAGCAAGGGCCCAAGGAGAGGAAGGTCCTTGTGCGAGTAGGTACCTTGAGCGTACTTGACCTCACCCTTGCTCTGAGCCGAGACACCCTCGAACGGAGTGACAGTGTAATACGCATCCAAAGACGCGGAGCCACCGCCGCAGTACGCCGCAACCTTGGAGTTGGGACCAATCACCAGAATAGACTTGTCCTTCTGCAGAGGCAAAATGTTCTCCTCGTTCTTCATGAGCACGACGGACTCCGCCGCAGCACGGCGGAGGAGAGCCTGGTCCTGTGGGCGGTTGAGAGCTTTCTCCGGGGCATTCTCCGGAATGTTCAAGCCATCCACAAAGTTAACCAGATTTAACACATTGCGGACACGCTCATCCATGACAAACTCAGGGACCTTGTTCGACGAAACGGCATGCGCCAAGGCAGTTCCACGCCAGCGTGTCTTGCCCGGCATCTCTAGGTCCAAACCAGCCTTGATTGCATCACTGGTGCTGTACGTACCGAACCAATCACTCATAACCAAACCATCCCATCCCCACTCCTTCCGCAAAATATCCGTGATGATATCCTTATTCTCACTGACATGAGTCCCATTCACCTTATTATAAGCCGTCATGACACAAGCCGTTCTGCAAATCCTCATAGCCAGTTGGAACGGCAACAGATAAATCTCGCGCAGAGCCCGCTGCGTCACAATGCTATCAACAGCCATACGCTGATGTTCCTGATCATTGCACACAAAGTGCTTCAGGGTCGCCGCAACGCCCTTCTCCTGAATACCCTTGGAGAAGTGACCGGCCAGGTGGCCCGAGAGCACACCGTCCTCAGCAAAGGACTCGAATCCACGCCCTCCGAGCGGAGACCGCTGGGTGTTGATCGTGGGACCCAAAATGATGTGCGAGCCCTTGGCAATGGACTCCTCGCCCATTAATTGACCGACTTCATGCAGCAGCTCAGTGTCCCATGTGGCGCCCAGCGCCGTAGCACAAGGGAAACATGCGGCTGGGACGCCATTGAAGAAGCGAGTTCCGCGCACGCCGTTGGGGCCATCGGACATGCGGAGAGTTGGGATGTTGAGACGAGGCACGGAGGCTGTGTGCCAGAAGTCGATTCCTGGGGGGTTGTTAGTATATACTTGTCTTGCGATCGTGGGGTTTTGGCTTACCGGCCGTCAAGGCGACCTTCTCCCCTAGGGAGAGTTCTTCGATGGTTTTTTCCACATCTAGACGAGGCATTTTGGGTGTACTGTGTGGGTATATCTATGCTTCTTTTGATCAAGTGAAGATAAAGAAGCAAAAACGAAAGAAGGAAATGAATGGTAGGAGTAAAATGATAACTATCCCGACAGAACTATGGGTGGAATAGTTATGATAACGGTAGATGGAGGGGGTAGGAAGGAGTATAGAGGATAGAAAAATAAGAGAGACCGATCAAGAAGGACTATGAGGCATGCAAATATATATCCCAACTACCTACTCCACCACCACGGGCCAAGGATGATTGACCATGCAGCGTGTCAGTAACAATAGCGAGTCTGGAGAGTTCGTCCCGAACTCCCCGCTTGATGTCGCAAGCACGGATCATCTATCCATTGGTGGATCTCGGTTGGTGGTCATTCTTCCCCGGTTGGGATGAGATTCTGCGGTGAAACTACGAGGTTCTCATCGCAACCTCTGACCGTGGATCCGAAACACGTAGCGATAAGGGTCGATTGCGAAGTATTGCCCATCACGGCGCGATGAAAAGGGAACGGGGAGACTACCGAAGTTTAGCCGACGCGGAGTATCGGTCCGTCGTGCCTACACTATCCTTTTCCTCCCATAAATAATCCACATAACCCAACTGATTTCTCCATTTAATGATGGGGATTAGTCACTAGACTGCTGGTTAATTTTCCCTTTCCGGAGAAATTGGCCCGATGAATCGCGTCTGTCTGGCAAAGCGATAGAGTATCATCATCCTCTATCCTGGTGCTTTTGTTAAGGGCTTCTTGGATCACCTGGTGGTCACGACTTTTATAAAAACCCTTTCGTCAAAACTATGATCTCCATCTTTCTCCTTCTCGTTCCTTCATTCTTGTCCTTCTCTTCTTTCGTCTTCTGTTATGGGTGTTATGAAGCAAGAGGCATACTGCCGAACGGTTTTTCTGCGGAAACTTTGGGGCTTTCCTTCTCCACAATACTAGAGCATAGGGCAAAGCAGAAGTACGTGTGCTGAGCGCTCCATGAGCATTGAGAAAAGGCGTTCAAGCAATCCTGGAGCAATCCATAGTCACCCAGCTCAGATGCCTGCCAAGCTGACTACTCTTACTGGCAAAAGTTACGCGAGCCCAAGTCCAGCTGTAGCACTGTACCCATAGACTCATAGCTAATACACTGTAATATTAGACTTTTAAGTGAGAGTTAAAAGATTATACATGTACTTAAGCCTTGAGCTTCTGATGGGAATTGAGAGACTAGCACTGCTTTACAGTTTGTTCTGCAGCGGAAGTGTGAAGAGCTACTGAGGCTAATGGTTTAAGAAGTCAATCTCATTCAAGACCTTCAGCATATTGCCACAGGCGAACAACAGTGTCATACACCAAGAATTGCACCACCCCCCCATTTTGACTGATCTGGATGAACGCAAAAGCCCTCGCGGCACGGAGTCTTTCAGAGTCTGGAAGGTGCTCCGATTTGCATTTTTCGGCTGCTTTGTCTTTGACAAGGCCACCAAACAAAGTATCCTGACCTCCGTATCGGTGCCAATTCGATCGTAGCCCATACTTCGTCATGAAGTCTCGGTATTTCCCCAGTCTAAAATCAAAGTCATTGCCAAACCCCGCAACCATTAGTCTCATTAGATCTCTCAAATCACTCCGAAACGAGTCTCCTCGGGAGACCAGCACCTTGTCAATATCGTTGGCATGTACCAGACCTATCCAACACCGCGTCGCATGTTGGTTTCGAGGTGTAACGTCAACGCTAGGTGACTTTTGCTGAGAGGCCCCAAAATTGGCGACTCCAGGGCTAGGCTTGGTTACGGGGAGGACCCCAGGTATGGTGGCCGCTGGATCTGTGGCTGCTATATCTTTGGGGGGTATTACCCTTAGAAGGTCCTTAGCATATGCCCCCGCTGCAACGGCAGCATATTGTTGCCAACCATCGTTTTTATGGCTGTCCGAGTAGTCTGAAATGCCTCTAATAACCAAGCAGGGGAAACTATCCATCAAGCCCGCAGCCTCCATCTCAAAGCACTTAATCTTCTCGCTTTCCCGAAGCGTATCACGATATTTGGCAGACTTCACAACAACATTGGCCGATCCTATAGTACCATAATGAATTTGCGGTTCGTCACACTCTCGGGCTAGACGTTTTACGGCGCAAGATGCATCGCAGTTCGAACACGTTTTACCGCCAGCGTGGGAGTAATCTGACCGGAAAAGCTGGTCATTCCCTCTTCCTGGAAAAGAGGAATATCGTTTGAGTTTCTTTCGGGACGCGAAAGCATCCAGTACATGTTTAATGTAGTCGTTGATTTTTCCTGTTTCATCATTATGCTCGATTTGCAACTTCGCTGTCGCTTTGAGTAGCACTTTGGGAGGCTTGTTAAGATGTGATGTCCTTTCGAATTCATCATGATCGTGCCATTTTCCCTTGTCATACTGGACCACGCCGCCTAGGAGAGCTCAATAACCTGTTCTGTATCTATGTCGCAGACACACATATGCACATACCGTGGTTTTGGTGCGGCTTGCTGACAACAACATCACCAAGCCTAATATCCTCCAGGGGATCGTCAAGCGCAGGGACGTCGGGCACCCCTCCTCCGATCCCAACCATCAACCCAAATCGGATGTTGGAGAACGTTCGAAGCATGTTAGTGACCGTTTCGGCAGCTGCGTTAGTTCCGTCGGAGCCGGTAGATGCTATGACAACATTATGCCCCTCCATGCTGCCAAGGATGTAGTTGTTATCGTCCCCAGTTGGCTGGTGCGATTGGTGTATTTCATCAAGCAATTCCTTTGATGCCTGAGTTTCGCAGGGGAGTGCGCACACCCACCCTACTTGATAGTCGTCAAGTCTGTTGTTGTTGTTGTTGAACTGCATTAGTGATCACGGTATTACCTGAAAGCTGAGATAGAGAAACACATCATACTTCAACTGCTTATCAGTTCTAGTCATTTTGTCGAAGCGATATAGGTTCTGGGTGGTAATGTTAGATCAAGATGTCAAAGCAGACCGGGAATATTCGACGTTCATTCAATCCAATGAATGAGAAGCAATCACCGAAGTCCGCCGGGCAACATGAAAGAGATATCAGAGCTTTAGAAGAAGAGCTTTTTGGCGTGAGATTGTTGGGATCCTGTATGCAGCCCTTGCCGGAACGCCTAGCAGCAATGGGGAAGTAGACTGAGGGGAAGATGCGTCATGGCGTGCCAGCGATCTGCTGGCTGCCTGACGTGGCTGCCCCAACGGCCTATCGATATGCTTTCTATACATCATGTATGAACTATCTCTTCAATAAAGATAACTTCCCCCGCCCTCACCACATTGAGATTCGGTTTGTTTTCCAAGGCTGTAGACCATATTCAATTTAATCTTTCCCCGAACAGCCCATCCCTGGCCTCGCCACCATGGTTTACTACGCATATGCCAAAAACGTGAGTATTGATACAGCCTGCTCATTGTCGACTAAATCCTAACGTATGTGGACAGTCCCAAGATGATTGGTCGTGGCGTTATCTTATAATTGCCCCTACGTTCGACATCCTAGATGACTGGTATAACACGGTCAAGAGCAAAGTCCCAGACGATATCTGGCGTGTTTCGGATGATTTCTATGTCTTCAATAGAAACAAGCTCCGTCTTGGAAAAAGTACTGCACCTGGCAAGGAAGCCCCGCAGTTCATGAACAAAATGATTTTCCAACTGCTCAGTGACAATGAGAATAGGAATATTCCTACTTTTGTCAATGCAACCGCAAATCCTGGAACGGCTGCCCCACCGTCAACCCTCTTCTGATATTTACCTGTATGTATGTAGTCGCTCTTTTATAACATCTTGTTATGTTTCTCTGGAACACTGGAATTGAGGCGCTTGTCGGTTTGACTTTGTGCTCTGATATCGTGTTGAGCCAGCCCATGAAAGGCATGCGTAAGAGGCCCAAATTGGATAGGTTCGCGCAAGTGCTCCATGTTCGTATGGAGCTTATTTGAATATTCAAACATGGCGGGGGCAATAGTGTGTCCTACTTCTTCGTGGGATCTTTTACATACAGCGATAAGGAAAAATGGATGTTTGCATATGGATCATCCTTCATGCCATGGACCTGGCTCAATGTATGAATCCAACTCTATCCACTTGATAATTAGGGCAGAGAGCTCGGCCTGTTCCCCTCACCAAGTCCAGTAGTTTGTCAGCCTGTGTGTCTATCCATACGCCGGCCCTTCGCCTTTACTTCTTCACAACCCACCACGTATGGGATCGTATCCTAGTCTAGTGGTAAGCAATGTGCTTGTTTGCAAGGGGGCCATGATAAATGAAGTTGTCCATCCATCCAGCCTGTATAGTGAGAATACTTAAAACGCAGGTGCTGTGAGCATCCTTACCGCGGTGCTCTCGCCATCGGTTAAGTCCTCGTGAGTTGCGTCATGGTTCACTGACAGGAACGACAACATGGAATGCTTTGCCTGGGATTGACTGCCCGGATATGTACATACTCATTCGCCATGCTTGCTGCCGGTCTCTGACGATAGGTAGTCAAACTTGATAATTCTGCAAGACATAGCTCGTGTTTGACCGGGATATGAGGCAGGAGCTGCTCTACTCGGCGAAGTCGAATGTTTGGATGAGATTATATGGACATGCTGCTCAAGATACGACTTCTCGCTGAAGCTCTGTGTATCTGTCCCATACTTATCACAGGGCCTGAGATTACCGATACAGTTTTTGCTGTTTAAAATAGAAGGGATAAGGCTATGGGGGTCTACTGTCAAGTCTGGCAGTGCCGCTTTGATTAATTTCTTCGTCTTTTTTTTTTTACCGACGCCGGCTGGTAGATTGAGGATGAGAAAGGGTTATTAGTCTCTTTGGATAGACTATTGATATTGAGAAGAATGCAGAGTATAATACTGAATGAGAACGATAATGAATATCTAAATCTTCATGTGCATTGAAAATAGTGAACACACGGTATAAATCCACAGCTAGTTCATATGTCGTTATATTCCCACCACGGGCAGGGTACACAAGCGGACAACCAAAGTAAACACCACTGAGCAGATGACATGCTCACGAGCAAAGACACGCTCACTGGATGGCGATATCGGCACAAGAGAGGTAAATCTGGCCGGTCTGGAACGAGTTCCACTTGAACGAAATCAAGGTGTGGTTGGAAGTGTACTCCGGAAGCTTGACCTTCTTGGTCACCGTGTAGCCACCGGCAATGCTGGTGTAGCAAGAGTTCAACTCCGCATTGTCAACTCCCTGGCACTTAGGCCGGTCCGAAGCCTCGAAGCCGTTGCACGTAAACCAATCGTTACGCCAGCAGGCCTGGCCCTCGGAGCAATCCGCGCTGTATCCACACTCCTGGCCACTGACATCCGTGCAGGGCAGCAGACCGGCGTCAAAGCAATCCTCAGCAGCCTGCTTCTCGTCCTCAGTGGGGAGGTAATCCGGGTCGAGAAACTTGTCGACAATAGTCTGGTCTTGACAGATCCGGTAGGTGAACATGCCACCGTGGTCACCGTTGTGGTCGACACACCATTGCACTTCAATCTCTTCGCCGGCACTGTAGGTTTGCACAGCATCGGAACCCCAGTTGGTGGTTGGCTGGTTGTAGTCGATACCGTCACGGGCGTTGTAGCCACAGGGTCCGCTGCGGCCGACTGCTGCGGCATCGAGGTCGGGCCAGGAGGAGACAGGTTCGAGGATTGCGCATTCAGGGCACGAATCGACACCGGCCTGGGGTCGTTAGTCAGGTTTGAGCTAGAAGGTGGGAGTAGGAAGAGGGGGCAAATACCTCATTGCCGAGACGGGTTCGGCTGGAAGGGATGTACATGTAACCATGGCCTGCCACGGAGGTAGCTAAGCCGAGGGAGAGTAATGGGGCGAACGCCTTCATTTTGATAAATTGTTTAATGCGAAGAAAGCTAGAAAGGTAGTATCCAGTCTTTCAGAGCAAGTCGTGATTCATGCGCTTAATGCATTCAACAAACCCCCTTCATCCGGGTCCTATTGTCCAATATATATACATGACTCGACATGCGATCGACGTCATTTCTGGACAATGCCCGCCTGACTCGAAACATGCCCGAACAGGGGGCGGACATTTAATCCCAGTCCGATCTGTCCCTGGGGAATCAACCTGCCCTGGAAGTTGCAGAGTCGGCACTCTGCCGGAACGGCGCGTATACCAGATTAACGCTCTTCAGGGCCGGCGACGTTGAAGATCATAGCTCAATGAAGTTTAGTCCGTGCCAAGAGTCATAATTCCTCCGTGATCGATAGAGTAGACTCTCGGACGCTTGACATCTAAGCGACCTTGGCATGAAGACGGAGTGGACGAGAAGGTCCGGTAAATTTCCGATGGGCATGGACTCATGCAGGAAATGCCAATTACTCTCGGGCCGGTGACTTGCATCCTGTTGATCGTGCATTAGGTTGAGACATGGAGGCAATGTGTGAGGTATGCTCTCCGTGGTTGGTTGGAGGAAGCTCGGATAGGATTCATTTCTTTTTGTCGACTTACTTTAGAGCCAGAGGCGACGGAAGGCTCGGCTGAAGAAACACTAAGGGCGGGTTGAAGGAGAAACGTATTTTCTTTCTCTGTCTCCGGCTGTATTTTGTAGCTGGTTACAAAATAGTGCAAGCATTTATATTCTGAGCTTTCACTCTGAAGTCCTAGATCTAACCTGTAACTGAAGAAGATGCATGACAAGGTACATCATCCGCGTATTCTCTATGTATGTACATACTTCTGATATGATGCAGTACTGTGAGTAGACAGCAGGCCATGCGTACTTATAACCAAGAAATTGCAGGGCAGCCTTCGGTATCCACTTATGTGCCCATATCGCAGTAGTGGTGCACTGGTGCATTGGATGTCCGAAGGCGAAAGCTGGCCAATAAATTCTATATTCCCTTCTGCTGAGCGTTGCCATTATTGGCTCAGAAGCCGAGGCAGTACTGACGACACTACGAACGCTGCAAACACTGTGTATACCCTCGGTCAAGAACAGCAACTGCACTTGGGTGTACTTGCCCTGAAGAAGTAGTGTTGTGCGACTGGACATGCTGCCTACAGGGGAACGATGCTTGTACTGTGGTATAGTGATCATACTTCAGATATAAAATTAGATGCCGGCTTTTCCTTGCACGGATACCTGTGACGGAGCATTAAATGGTAAGGACAAAATAGCTTCACCCATTCGGGCAAGAGCCTTCTGAGGGCAAAGGCTGGGGCAGATGCCTAATATAACTGTTGTACTCCATCACCTTCGTTGCCGATGTGTACGTGTTGAGCCCAAGGCAGATCGTGCCGGTCTTAAACAATCGGATACACTATCAGTTTCAAAACAGCCTACAATAACATTTGTCGCAAGGTGGACACAATGGCTGCCCATAGATGTATGCCACCAAGTTATCAACACATCGTGGCCTGGTCCTCACTACCCACGCACGCCGTCCTATTCCACCGAGAGTCTAGTCTTCTCGAATATGCCTTTACTTTGTCTTTATCTCCGCTATGGAGAGGACCTCATTCTCCCAGGAATATCAACACGGACTAGAGCGGAAATGCTTTTTGTGCTTTTATAAAGGGCGCCGAGAAGCCGTTGGAGAGGACTTTTGGCAGTCACGGAACAGAATATTTCATTCAGAGATAGAATTTAGGTGTTCGTGCGTGCATATTTAGCTTTTACGATTGATGGATCATGTATACCAAGGGGTGTATGCGATGATCTGATGATGATTGCTCCGAGTCCCTGGGTGCTGCCACCAAAGGGCGATGGGGAGATAAGTCTTTTTGAGCGAGTGCGGAGCGTTCGGAAGTGTATGGTCTTGAATTATTGGCCGTTGTCTTCAAGAGAGCTGGCTTTATACTTGCACAGCTTTAAGCTTGCGCTTGGCGACAAGCGTGATAGCTATGCCAGCTTGATGTCATTTTTGTTATGAGTGGTCCAGGATGTCATGGAAAACATGGGTCGTGACGGAGGGGCGAGACCTAGTAAATGAGATTTGCTTTCTCCGATAGGAACAATTGCTGTACTCGATTCGTACTTTGGAGCTAAGCGCCTAACGTAGGGCGCCGACCCTGGACGAAACGGCATACGCAGAGTCAGATCCTGGGCTTGGGATCGTCATGATAGGGAGACGGTTGCTTAAGGTCAAACCCCATGACCACAGCGCACCGATAGCATGCTCCCATAGACTGGAAAATTTATGCAAATCGCACCTATCGACTGGTTTAGACTGTACCTAACGGTATGATGTCTTGTGTACACATTACAACCAACCTTGTCCGTGATAGATGCGGAGTAGTGTAATGAGGTTCCAACAAACACGATATACGCATAGATTATGGTCAGGCCTTGACTTTTCTGTCTGCCCCACCATTGTTTTCTTTCTTTGTCCTTGCCTTCACCTAGTACTTGTCTCGTGCAATGTTCTGGTCTGATACTTTAGTGCAGTACCAGTACGCTGCCGGCTATAGAGAGTGGATAGTCCCAGCTCCATATATAACATGTCGTTATTCGGAATGCTGGATGTCCAGTAGATCCCACCCAATTGCTTCGCCGCCATGTAGTATTGCATGACCCCAAGGCTATCAATCAATACCGTCACTAGATCGGAAACCTCAGGGTTCGGGGTCAAGGTGTTTGAAGGTTGACGTGGGCATAGAGTGGGCGCTCGTTATCATTTGAGACAGACAGACATTAAGACTGAATGTGAGCAAGGAGTCTACGTGAGGGTTTACCAACAGTTACTATCCTGAAACATTCATCTAAAGAAACTTGGCTTTTCTTTGCATTAACCGCTGGTTTATGTTGAAACTAGAGGACCGATAAAGAAAAAGATCGCCTCTTTTAACCGCGCGCATTTGGATATGTATTAGTCAGAGGGGGGCCAGCGGCAACTCTATCACGACCACCGCGCTTAATTCACCAGGAGTCATGACTGGGGATTCCATGAAATCAAGGGGTGATTCCCACAACCATCTTTGCAAATGAAACATGCTTCTCAGCTAATCTGGGGGCCCATAAATAGATCCTGTCCACCCGTTCAGATATCATAGAAAAGTAAGTTACACTGGCTGTGAGTTTACCCGGTCTGGATAAGCAACCCCGTCTATGCTTATAGTCGTTCCAGCTAGGTTGAACAAGCAGCTGCACTGACTTAACACATCCTATTCCCAATGATCCACATATCAACATGGCCTACGAACTCTCTGTGGGGATTTTTGGCCCGGGTACGGACGAGCCTGCCCACTGGGGGTTCATCATCCACCAGATTGGTGAAGACATTGGTGAGCTTCTACATACCAGGGTGATCGACCACCGCCTCAACATGTTTCAATTCGAGCATCGGGCTCCACATGATCTGGAATCCCAAAGCGCGTGGGGTCTATGCAAAATACGAGTACTCGACAATGTAGAGCGCTTAACGGTGTTCTCCGTACTCAAGAACGTGCCGGCACCAAAGGGTGGGAACAAAAACTGCCAAAATTGGGTAGTAGATGGGTTCATCGACCTCGAGGTAGATGGACTTGTTCCGGAAGGGACGGCTGAAACTTGGGGAAAGCGGGTTGGCGTGCCGACATTGAAGATCAAGGTCGATGTTGGCAATGCGTGGACGTCTTTGAATGGGAGATAAATACTATACAGGGGAATACCGCCTCATCGATCGGTCGACTTCATCCCAAATCTCATATTCTTTCTGGAAGCAAGGGATAGCAGAGTCGATCATTTCAATCCAGATCGGATCCATAGCAATCCGCTTAGCAGCGAAATACTCTCTCTCTGGAAGACTGTACCCAGCATCACCCCAGTCAACTATTCCCTCAATTTGCCCGTCCTTGATAATGATATTTCCTGGATGTAAGTCTCCGTGAGTCATAAGTCCCAGACTACTAGAACACTCTTTCGTAAAGGATAGGACCCTGTCCTTGAGCTCTTCCTCTTCTTCATACCAGATTCCGGGAGGCCTTGACAAACGGAGTGCCTCCACAACACCATGCCGGTATTGTTCGAAGGAATAGAAAGGTCCGTACTGTTTCGTAGACGTATAATCCCAGGGGTGCCTGAAGATGATGTCGCGGCACGGCCCGCCATTTACAGAGCCCAAGAACGAACTGGACAACTCACGCCATTCACAAATATAGGATTTGAGTTGGTACGCAATCCTCTGAAGCACTTCGCGAGGCATATCGTCCAAGCAAGATCCAAGGGATTTCCCCTCGATTTTGCCCATAAGGATAAACCCTATCTCGCCTATTGTGTAGGCAGTATAGACCTTCGGCACCGGCACCTTTGTTTTTGCGGCGACTAAGAGCAATGCTTCTGCTTCATCCATCTTGACCGCTCGGCCAACTTTCAGAACTGTGGATGCTGATATTTGTAAAATCTTGGTGCTGCGTATGCGACCGGGGGCTATATTTATCGCAGATTTGAGTTGCTCTATGGGAACTATGGTTCTGTTTTGTTCGCTGAGAGAATCCGTGAACACAATATCCGATCCATCGGTCATGATCTTGGCCAAAGACTGGACAAATGATTCCTGTGATTCATGTTAGACCAAGAACTCTGTATAGGCAACACTCACGAGCAACTGTGTTACTATAGGTGCATACCATGGTCGTAGATTTCTATAGAGGGACATGTGTTTCTAAAACTACGTATCCAAGAGGAAAAAAGGAAATGCAGAACCGGGGAAGACAGCAGGAAACAACATGTTAATACCACTACTGTATTGTTTTTCTGCGGAAACAGAATTTTTCTTTCCCGGAACAGAACTAGCTCAGGATCGCTTTCTTCTTAGTAATTAATTCCGGAGTAACTAGTTAACTATAGAACAAGATAGTAATATATATATTGAGTACTCCCTAAATATTAAATCAGTATACCGGAGTAGGTAGTCCGGGATTAATTTCAAAGTAATATATAATTACTCAGCTGCTCTTATAAAAGCGGCGGTATCTGTGTCGGGTAATCGGGCAGAACTCGCAGAAAAACAATCCAGTTATGTACATGTACTACTACTCGTACTAAGATACTTGTCGCATACTAGCGTATCAAGGAACACAGTTGAAGTATTTTTCCGTGGCAGCCCAACAGGACCAGCACCACGTGAGAGGAATCAACAAGTGCTTGTCGCCTTGGAAGTTCTTACTATTACCAGGAGAGCCGGCGAATACTTCTACACTCAGAATGCAATTTTAGTAAGTGATTCGATGCCTTGGCTTTACGAATGCTATGAGCATGGCGCCAACCCAATAGGACATCCACATAGTCCTACGTTTCCGGATATTCTTGGGTATATACCCCTCAACAGACTGTCGGATGTCATAACGTTTCCCGCGAAAGCCTTCGGGGCATAGAAATGCGCACAAAAGTCCTACTGTAAGGGCGTGTCTTCTCTGTTCGGAAACATCACGAGCGTCTTTTCCAGCGCCTGCAGTCCTTGCAAGCAGTGGTTCAGACCGTTTGTCAGCGTGTACACACTGCCTGTCTCCATCTTAGCCATCAAACGCTGGATCTCGTCCGCAAGTGTTTTGGCAGCCAGTGTATAGGCCTTAACAACAAGGGCCGGTTGCTGTGCAGCCAGGTCAGCTTCAGGGGTACGATGGTCACAAAAAGGTCGCACTCACCGGATGCGCAGCTATATCCTGGACGTTCGCCTTCAAGCCATGGTCCCCTTGGAGTCCGGGACTCGGCACTCTAATACTGAATGATGCTAGATAGGATATATTCATGGCACTTGCAAGCCTCTCCTCTTGGCGATACGCACTCGTTGATCGGAGAACCGTGTGAAGGCTATCTCCAGCTGGTAACGATTCCATGAGGTTTACCTCCAGTTCGCGGATAAGCTCATCGAACAGGAGAATCGCCAGGTCGCCATCGGTAGCACAGAAGAGAACCCTGCGTTGGACATCCGCTCGGGACGCTTGTAAGCTCATGATGGTTGTAGAGGTAATGGGACCAAAGGCTTCTCTCCATGAGTCAATGAGCACAGTTGTCGCATTATAGTGGCGCTGGAAGCTTTTTCCATCCCCCAAGCCCGTCAGTAGATCTTGTGATGCGATTGTCAGCAGCGCTAATGATCGCCACAGCAGCACAATAAGTGAGCCTGCACTGGTGACAGCGCGATCCACAACATCGCACGATGCGTTCTTAGACCACAGAGTAGATACATTGTGCTTTTTAGGTCGAGCACGCGTAAGAATAGAATCTTCAATCTCTTGCTCATGCCGTCTTGTCTTCAGTTCGTCCAAATTGCCCGGCTGCGCTGGGCCCCGCAAAGGTAATTTATTAATACTAGTGTCTTGAAGGTCGAGACTCGTTGGGTCCGTTCGCTCACGAGACATGACGACGGTGACCGAGTGAGACATCCAGAAGAACCACTCAATGGCACCAACCACCTCTAGGATGTATTGTCGAACTTCGGGCGAGAACGCTTGGACTATGTGTGACTTTCTCCTTCCAGTGCCGGCGCCTATCGCATTTGAAGACGAGAGGGGAGGACTCCTTTGCCTATTATTTTCCTGGAGATACACCCGCGCATTAGAACAGAGTGCTCGAAGACGCCGAGCCCCCTCGCGGTGTGCGTAAGCGATATCCTCCGCACACATTTCGCTCTGCTCCAGCCCGGTTGGTGGCAAAACTCCGCCAAAGAGAATGAGGGAGAGTGCCAGGCGAAAAGACCTAGTTGCTCCGATGTTCTTGAAGAGCATCTCTCTGGCTTTTTGCCATGTTGCAAAAGCAATATCTCTGGCCCACGAATGTGACTTGGCTGTTTCTCTCTGGTTGTTTTCTTGCACTGTGAATTGGGTGGCTATTGCGATAGCAACCCATTTGTATGTTTCATCAATAGCTTCATCTCGCATATTGCGAGATGTAGGGCCCTGCGAGAGCCCCGGGCGCTGGAAGAGTGCGTCCAGTAGTGATACAGCGAGGTAAAGATTAGGTGTCGCAGATGTTGAGTTCCATGTTGTCAGATTCATGTACCAGCAGTTGTTGATGCTCGATCGGGCGCGCTCCAGGTACGGAGATACATCGGCGCTGTTGCTCAACGGCGCCAGGGCGTCTATCCCTAGAGAATAGCAAGGAGGCATGCATCTCTCGGAGAGGCAGGTTGCGATCTGCATATCAACGACATCGATATATAAATACAAATGCTGCACGCATCGTTCCCGTGCTTCCAGCTGCTTCGCTTGGTCCCATTCAGCTCGGGGTAGCAACGTTAAACCTTGCACATGGGACACGTCCTCAGTTGGCCTCCATTGGGAATTGAGGGCTCTATTGGGTGCTGGAGACCTAGGGGGAGTCTCTGCTCGCCTCTGGGTGTGGCGGGAGGGTTTCCGGCTAGCTAACCAGGCTACCGTACATTCCATACTACGGAGGGAGCACATAGTACACGCAACTGTGGGCTTGTTGCCAGAGATTGCTACCCCCCTTGGAAGGTCGCATCCCCGTTTTGCCAGACGACATGGATCACACGAGTGGTTCTGTCGACGTATCCGCCGCCCTGTGCTCTGTTTTTGTGTAGTGGCGGAGTCTGGGTAGGGCTCCTGATGGTCAGGAACGGCAGGTGCCGTAGAGGTTCGATCATTGATTTGAAAATTTGAGTATGGATGGGTGGTACTGTCAGTATCAGTCTTTTGGTTTTGGTAGGAAGACTCCAGACTGTCTAACCAGCCTGGCTCTGGCTCTGTCCATCGTGGTAGCTGTTCCTTTTCACCTACATGGACGACAGAGCTCACGGATTGGCCTAGGTCTGAATCAGGGGGAGTCAGGCAAAACGGCAGTGAAAATTGGAGCTCATTGATCGGAGTCCAATTGCAGTCGTTGTTTGGGCCATGCGGTATTTGTGGGAATTGCATGTAGTCGTCTGGTGGAGAGAATGTCATTTTCTTGCTGTTGCGATTCCGACTGGACGAAGCTACATGACGGGACTATCGGTAGTGAGAAATCCTGAGATCCGTTCATTCCCTTCGAATGTACGAGTGGAGGAGAATGCGGAGGCCCATTAATATGCGACAAGAGAATCCGGGGGATAAATGGAGATCATCCGCAGGGGGCCCGCGGGTCCCGACCAACTCCTCCATCCATTTGAGTTTGGGATACGATATAGTTTTATGGATATTCCCTACGAGCTGACCATAAGGAATAGGACGAAAGTATGACTTTCATGTCCCAGCGACAATATACTGGTGTATCTGCAAGTTATGCTGGTAAACGCAGACCCCTTGGGGGCGTGACGTTTTTTATATCTTCTGGAACATGAGGCGAGATGATGTGAGAAAGGGACGCGCTCTGCACCGTGGATCATTGGTTATACTATCTTATCCAAGGCTAGATATAATCAATATATCCCAGTGGGGGGGGGGGGGATGTAAGTTTTCTATATCCTCTATTCCTCTGACGTAACGTACGAATTGCACATCATCTCGCGGCCCTGAGGCACCGAAGATCCGGAGACTCGATTCTCTTTGGATTTACTACTATGTCCCCCCCATGAGAAACAAGGTTGATTTGATGTCGATCAATCGAGGAACCGCGGGTCCGCTTCCATCCCGCATTGACCCATACTCTACCGGCATTTGCATAGCGAATAGCGCTGCAACGTGAACGAAAGGTAGGGCTCGATTTCGGTAGCCGCGGACACCGAGGCTCATTATTTGAGACTGGCCCTTGATACTGGGTGACATCAGAGCTATCGCCAATAATTATCCAAATCTGGTACTTCGCATTTGCTTTTGAAGGCATCAACTCACCCCAGCAATCAGACAAAGATCATGCCACACCGTCCATCTTCCAAGCGACATGCATTCTTCGAACCGAACTTGGAGATTTCCCCGCAGGACGTCGAGTGTTTTGCTTCCCTCCCATTTGCTGCACCCTATCTGAGCAGCCCACTGTACGAACCGGTTCCATTCGTCACCCGATATGATACAGAAGGCACCTCCAACAAGTTCTTCAGTAAGGTGATAAATACCGCTGATACAATCCTACACTTGCTGGCTCTGGCTCGAGTGCCAGACTCAAAGCCAAACCAGACTCCAGATCAACATGACGATAGTGCCCCAGATTTCGTGGTTTTCGTTTCTCTCGGCCCCGATCTGTGTGGATTCCAGGGTACAGTCCACGGTGGAGTCTTGGCTGCCCTGCTTGACGAAGCTTTAGGTTTGTGTGCTGAATCCACAGAGTTGGTTTCAAAGGGTCATACGCGGCTGTACACCGCTGGCCTTGAGATTTCGTATCGCTCTCCTGTGCATGCGCCGAGCGTCGCTATGATCAAAACATGGGTCACCAAGAGGCACGGCAGAAAGTGGTTCTTGGAAGCACAGATTCTTGACCAAGACGGCATGGTAAAGGCAGAGGCTAAGACGTTATATATCAGCTCGAGAATTGATGCTGGATTGTAGTTCCTTGGGCGCCACTTAGTGAAGGCTTGTGAGCTCATAGCAAGGAAGTATATTTCTGTTTGTGTTGAGTTTCGATTTGGGAAACAATAAGCCCGCTTCCTACCTGTATAATCTTAACAGCATCAGGCATTGTTGTTTAGCTTAGGTGCCTTGTAGCCAGCGTTGTCATTGTAGTCATACATGTGTTTAGTGGTCAAAATACCATTGTGAAAGAATCTCAAAAGTGCTAGTTTTCCATCCCCGAGAGTTGAAGGAATCTGTCTTTTTTAATTCTATACCAATCGCCTCTTGAACAACGTCCAGCTTGACACCTCGGCGCAAAGACATTCATGATATACAACAAGTCCCCGACCTGCAACATCATGTCTTCACAAATAAAATTAAATGTCAAAATTCGTGTTGAGAATATCTATATAACGGGAAATATATGTTTTGAATATAATTATACAACATCGTTATTCCTCCTAGGACAGATACAGGCATGTTTTACTATGACCTGAAGGAAAAATACATCTAAACGTAAAATGCACATAGGAAATGATCAACTTCATGAAATTTAAAGGCAAAGAACAGTCTGTATTCCTTACTTGAAGGGATACTAGCTTTGCTAATTCACCACCATGATCCTCTCCGTTAGCCTACGCAAAGCACGCCGAATCTACAGCCCAGTCACTAACCAAGCTACCCCTCAACTGACTCAACAATCTGATCCCGAGGGCAGCCAAGCCTCTCCATAGACTTGATGAACGTGTCCAGCTCAGCCCAGTCTTCTGGACATTGGACACCGGGCCGCTGCTGGGCCCCCAAATCCAGCACCATCAAGGCAAAAGCGGCACAAGATGCGCCAATGGAAGTCGCCATGCTCTCTCCCATGAATGAGTCTTTTGGGGCGACGGGCGTGCGTCTGGTGGCGACAGCAGGGTGTCCATTGCGGGTGCCAATGCCTCGAACGAGGATCCCTGAACGACGTGGCACTTGCTTGCCCCGTGCGGAATTTATCAAGAAGCTTAGAACCTCCCTTGATGTGCATTGCCCCTTGCGTACCTGATCAATCATCCCCCAGAGGACAAGGTTCCACGGTTTGAGGGCTGACATGCCGTGGGCAGCTAGCTGGTATAGCTGATTGAGTGTAATGTCACCGCCCCGAAACTGAGCGGTGATGGCACCGACTGTCTCCCCCAAGCTGATAGAGGACTTTTGCTGCATACCCTCGAGAAAGTCGACAGCTGCATCCATAGAAAGAGCTCCAGAGTGAACAGCGGCGCCCAGACCTCGTGCAAGGCCGTTGAATGGCGCGGGGCTGAGAGCGCCCAGGGTCCGAATTCGAGTCACGGCTGGGAGTCGGCGCGGCAAGGTAACCGGCTCGGGGTGGACGCTTTCATGGAAAAGAATGTTAGATCCAGCAATAACGGGGGCATAGGCTGTCTCGACCCAGTTCTCATGAACTGCGGCCTTTCCGTCGGCCCAGGTTAAACAAGGTCCCCCCGTGATATGCATCAGGTGCTCCAGGACCTCTCTGCCCAATTGACCGCCCTCTTCGCTTACGAGCCAGCAAATATCCAGACTCTCGACAGTATCAAGTTCTTTGGCGATATCAAGGGCGATAAGGTTGGTCATACCCGGGGATGAGCCGCAATTGATGTAGCATGGGACGCCCTCCCTCTTTGCCTGCTCGTGCACATCGAGTGACGCTTGCGTGCTGCTCACATCGTCGGAATAGTCCAGATAGGGGACCTTTGCGTCGATACAAGCCGTGAGGACAGGTTTTGAGGTTCGATAGTATGGCTGTGCCCCTTGAATCACGAGCGCAGCACCGGCAACGGTGCTTCGTAACTCATCCGGGTCAAAGAGGTTCACCTTTCGTATGGTGACATTCCTATCCGGAAGCTTGGCAGCAAATGTGCTTAGTGCAACCTCATCGGCGTCTGCGAGGACAACAGGCACGTCACTTGCTTGCACAAAAAGCCTGATGGCCTCTCTGCATATTGCGTCCGCTGCACCAATGAAGACGACTGGCTTAGAGCCGGTAGTATTGATTTGCATGCTGTGATAGGTTGGGTTTAATCTGGCGGATGTTTTACGTTCGAAGCATGCAATATGAATGACCAGTTATACTGGCTTGGTAGTGGAATGGTAGAGGCTGGCCTTTACCTTTATTCTTTCTACTTTACTTACGGAGATGATAATCTATATTGGGGCTTCTGTACCTGATTATGCCCTCAGGGCGGGCTTGTACCTGATTTGAAAAGACCTTGAAGACCTACCCGCGGCTCCGAGCTAACAGCATGGCAAAGATCTGGAGGATCATCCAGGATCGGCGAAGGCAAGATTCGGATCCGGGGGGGTCCGCGGGTTCCCGACGATAGAACTTAGGGTTTAATCCGTCGATCGAACGCTAGAGCTTCAATACATCAACTCCCACCCTTACTGGAAATCGGACGCAAATAGTTACCACAACAACTGTGAGAAGCTCATGGGTCGGCAATATAAAAGCAAGGCATATCGCTTTGCCTTGATTTCATAATGAGCTATCCATTGCAACACAGTATAACACAAATCACTTGCGCCTTATAACGAGGTCGCTCTCATACAAGATGGCAACAAATCAAATCCCACACGAACTCTTAGCTAAGTTGGCTGGTCAAATCGTCCAGGATCCCGGCATTCCAGTCGCAGCGCCAACTGTTTCAGCATGGCAAGAGCCAGCACATCCCATCGCGACTATCCAGTCCGACGATCTGCCGCAGCGCACTGACTTTGCCATCATCGGTTCTGGTATCACTGGTACCAGCGTTGCTAAAACAGTCCTTGAACATGGACTAGCACACGATAAGACGGTCACTATGTTTGAAGCTCGGTCTCTGACTACCGGGGCAACTAGTCGCAATGGGGGCTTCCTGCTAAGCCATGCTCCGCCGTTCTTCAAACGTTATGCCGAGACTTTTGGGACCGATGCTGCCAGACAAATTGCCCTATTCTGTGACCGCACACTGGAAAGCATCGTGGACATGGCTAAGGCTGAGAATCTTGATAAGGCAAGCCAGATCAGAGACGTCACGACTGTTGCTAGCTTCGAAGATGAGGAAGGGTTCGCCGATGTGACCGAATCTATTCGCATGTATGAAGAGGCTATTCCTGAAGCCAAAGGAAAATATACAATCATCAATAAGGAAACAGCAGAGAAGGTATATGCGCCCTGTGATGGATAACCAGGACCTACTTGCCGCAGGCGGTATGCTGATTGTTTTCAACAGGAGTATCATCTCAAGAAGTCTAGCGGTGCTCTTGTCGTTCATTCTCGGGTTTTCTGGCCATACAGACTGGTCACAAACCTTCTGCAGCGCCTTCTCCAACTTTACCCAGAGCGTTTTGCAATCGAGACCCAGACACCAGCAATCTCAATCATCATCGATGGGTCCGACAACGAATACCCCTACATATTGACAACTCCCAGGGGGACTGTGAGAGCCGCAAAGGTCTTCCACTGCACCAGTGGTTTTACAGGCCACCTTCTACCCAAGCTCAGGGGAGCGATCTTCCCTTGCCGACTCTCCATGACAACTCAGAAGCCGGGACCCCAGTGGGGGAATCGCCCCAACTCATGGCTCTTTCATTCAAAGCAATCATACGATGCCAGCACCACCTTAGTCGAGCAAGGCCTATACTGGATGCAGCAAAATGCAGAAACTGGTGATCTATTTGTTGGAGGCGACCTACAGAGGCTGGATGATTTTCTGTCCTCGGACGATTCTGTCATCAGCGCGGACTCCGCGAGAAACCTTACTGATTTGCTCCCTAAGAGGCTCTTCAAGGAAGGCTGGACCAACCCCATCACGAATACGATAATGACCTCCGCCACTGCCCTTCATAGAATCTGGTCTGGAATCCTCAGCATGACCGCTGATCAAGTCCCGATTGTGGGGAGTGTGCCGACAAGTGTCAGCGGTAGAAAGGTTGAAGGAGGAGAGTGGATTGCGGCCGGCTTCAATGGATACGGCATGTCGCAGTGTTGGTTATGTGGCGAGGCTATTGCTCGTATGGCGATGGGAGAGCCAAAACCAGAGTGGCTCCCGGATGTCTACTTGAGTACTGAGAAGCGTCTTGGAGACGAGGTGTCCATGGGCCCAGACGCGGCTTTGGCGTCCTTCTTTGCGAGGTAATCCAAGATCATAGATGCTGGCATGCAGGTCCCAGCCTAGTGGACTTGTATTTAGAACCGAGTCGTGAGTACTACATTAGCTATATCCATAGTACCAATTTGAACGTAACTTCCACTGCCACTTTTACTGAGTATTTGAGGTCCTCCTTGCTACGTAGCCAAACCAGTATGGGCAATTCTATGCACGGCAGCTGGCATTTTCGAAGCATAACAACCTGACATTGTGCAATTAGTTTTCACATAGACCATCTCTATTACCATTTTCCTGGTTTCGACAAGTTAAAATGAGTATCAAGACCTTAGGTGATCGAACAATGACCAAGATGCATATCTCAGATCACGGTGCATCTCCTGCTCAGATATACACAGAATGATATGGCACAACAGGTTCTACACATCAAGCATACTAGTCTACAACAAATGAATTCCCAGACTTGGACAAATTCCAGTTCTCTTCCCTGACACATGCTCTACTCTGACCATTCCAATCCCGTACGTATATCTCCCCACCACGCCCGCACAAGGTCCTTCCAATAGTACGACCGAGGAGCCCACTGAGGCCTGTCACCAACTTTCGGAAACGCCGAATGCCCCCTCCTGACATACGTAGCGTTCAGGTTCAGAAACGGCAGTTCCTGCATCTCGTTCCGTTCTTCATCACTACAGCGAGGAGACACGATGTTCAACCGCTCCTCCCGCATTTGCGTCAATATCCGACAGCTAAGCTGCGCAGTTGCATCAGCACCCAACGTCCAGCTAGCATCGACATATCCCAGAGCAAACATCACGTTCGGCAGCCTATCGACCATACTGCATTTCCACATGTAATGGTCCGGAACCGAAAACGGGACTCCGTCCACCATGATCTGGATCCCTCCCGCAATCTTCATCTTCAGTCCGGTGGCCGTGACGATGATATCGGCTTTCAATTCGGCGCCGGATTGCAGCTGAACGCTCCTCGCCGTCACCGACTCGATCACACCCGTTGCCACGCTACCGTTCCCATTCCGGAGGCATTCGAAAAAGTCACCGTCGGGGCACATGCACATCCGTTGTTCCCAGGGATTGTATCTAGGTGTGAAATGAGGGTCCAAAGGAACCTCCCGGGGGAGTTCCCTGCGGGTGATGTCCAGACATAGCCGCTTCGCGAGGCTAGGGAACCAACGACAAAAAGTCACCAGGACGAGCGGCACAATAATCCATTTGAATCGGATCAGGCTGGCTGCTACCTGTGCGGAGCAGATCCATCGAATCAGTTTCTCGGTGGTGTCTTCCCTTGGAACAGATAGGACATAACCAGGGGAACGTTGCAACATCGTCACACTGGCCGCTTTCTCAGCCAGTGACGGCAGCAAGGTGATGGCCGTAGCACCGGAGCCGATGATGACGACGTCCTTGTTGGTGTAATCAAGGTCGGAGGGCCAAAACTGCGGGTGAATCACTGTTCCTTGGAATCGCTTGATCCCGGGAATTTCGGTCTCCAGCGGCTCATGATAGTCATAGTAGCCAGTGGCCATCATGATGAACCGCGTGCGTAGAGTCACGGTGGCCGCATCGTCTGTGGATGCATGAACCGTCCAGGCCTTCCTACAAGTCGACCAATCCATTCTATCCACCCGATGCCGGAACTTGATCTTCCGGTCGATTCCTTCCTGCTCGGCTGACTCTTGGAGATACTCACGGATCAACGAGCCGTGCGCGATTGAGTGCTTCTGGGTCCAGGGACGCCATGCAAACCCAAACGTGAACAAATCCGAGTCGGACCGAATCCCTGCATGGTCTTAGACACGATTCACTCCACCAAATGCTTGCTCGATCAGGGAGGCGTGCCTCCTACCTGGATATTGGAACAAACTCCACGTTCCACCAATTTCATGCCGTTCCTCAAGAATGCAATAGGTCAAGTCCGGATGACTTTCCTGCAGTCTGTACGCAAAATTGATTCCAGAGATGCCAGCACCGATAATGATAACATCGTAATCGAGGTGGTCGCTTCGTTCGGGCATGTTTGAGGAAGGAGGGGTGTATACTATGGGCCGTGGCTGAGTTTGGGTAGTAGTGGTAGCGTTTAGCATCAAATTCATCCTGGTAACTGATATATTCATGCAATTTCCCAGGCCTAGTTTTATCCCCACTGGCCTTTGTCCGCGGATTACGGTGTATCATACGTCTTGCCACTACAAATGCCTGTGAACCCTACGTCTCGCTCAGTGCCGCCGGACCCGCGGATCCGACAGCTTAGGGTTTCTTTCTCCAGGCCTGTCTCAAGCCTAACTGCTATGCAAGATCTGCGATTTGTCGTCTGAATTAAGTTGGTGTCGGAACCGCTACGGAGCCGTGTGTCAAAGTACCCACTATAGAACCACCCGTCCGGGGTGTCGGCTTTATAGCTCTTGCTTATTACCTATCCTGCTGCGTTTGAAGTGCGTTAATATGGCCAGCTGAAGACTAGTAGTTTGCATGTGTCCACATAAACCATTACTATATCTAGTATAAAACATTATTGAAGGATCTGTGAATACCCTACCCTGTTTTCCAATTAGCTTTGCCGCTTCAGCAGGGTATCCTGATGTCTTATACTAATCACCACTCACTCGCCTTATGGTTCTAGTAATACCATTGTACTCCGTATACGAATTCTTCCGTTATGATTTTCTTGTAACTTCCTCTTCCTTTTTGAATTCTACAGTCTATATTCTATAGTTCCTCGGCCATAGCTAGACAGCTACCGGGAAACTATGAATCATGATCGTAAAGCGTTGCCCACACTGATACTGAGGATAAGTAACTTGTCCAGTGTGGTAAGTCACCAGAATAGCTAGGTTGCATAGATTCACTTCCCAATTAGTTTCGTGAGTACTATATGGATCTCGGACTGTGCGAGACTACTTGAGCTCTGTATAGCTATACGGGGGCCTGGTATGTTCTGCTGTGGACAGAATGCGCGCAAGGGTCGTCTAAATACATTCAAGTCAAATCAACAGACCTGGATGTGGACTACACCCCTCAACCTTTCTCTCGGTTTATGAGTGTTCGTAAGACCAGAAGCACAGAGGTGCATTTACATCCTGGATTAAAGTGTATCATTATCCACATACGTTAAGCTGGTATCGGTCCAAGACGCTAAAGAAATGTAGAGAATACACGTGGACTCCAACAAGAGCCGAGAAGGTTATCCCAATGCAAGAAAGATTTGAACACCGTCCAACAATGCATAAATGCGTCATGTAAAGAGAAGCAAGGAAAAATGTCGAGGTTAACGAAAGACAATAAAGAATCTCAATCGATCATGTCATGAAATCTAATTTCACGCCCCTCGCCGAGGCCGTTTACTCTCACCTCCCATTCTCATGCCTCCTCGGCCACCGCCGTCGCCATGTCCACTCTCATCGCCCCCGGGTCTTCCACGCTTGCGATGGGAGCCTCCTCCGCTGCCGCCGCCGTCGCGGTTATAGTCTCGGTCGCGCGGACGGTCCCGATTCCGGTCCCGATCTCTATCACGCGGTTCCCGGCCGCCGCCCCAGCGCCGTTCTTCCTCGGCGTTCCCTGGGAGGGGTGGCGGGGGAGGGGGCGGAGGTGGGTGTCCGCCAAGCGAAGATGGAGGCCGAAGGCGCCCTTCATGTTCCTGACTCTGGGCGTCTGATGCATCCTCGCGATCCCGTCGACGACGATTGTCATCGCGTGACCCGGTCCCTCGGCGTGATGCCTCACGGGACTCGTACCGTTCTTCCCGAGTGCTGCCTGCGCCTACATCACTTCTACGGCTGCGCTCCCGTTCAAAGTCTCGCGTCCGATCTCGGTGCTCCTCTCTCCGGCTACTACTCCGTGTTCCCTCCTCCTCGCCTGTCCGACGGTCACGTTCCCGATCTCTATCACGGTCACCACGGTCCCGTTCTCTGTTATGCTCCCTTTCTCGATCCCGGTCATGGCCCGAGTACCGCACAGGCCTCCGTGACTCGGATCCAGTCTCCTCCACAAGTTCCCCACGGGCTCCGCCTGGTCGATTCCGGGGTTGTCCATCATCCTCGGAGAAAGTGGAGGGCCGGCCGGCCATAAGGTCAGGTCGATTCTGTGCTGGTCCCAACCGACCGCCTTCATCAGGAGCCTGAGAAGGAGCACTCATACCAGCGGGCTGACGGTTGGCACCTCGGCCACGAATGGTTGGACCTGGGCCCGCACGCTCCGCGGGTCCTCCAGATTGCTGCAGCATGTTGTTGAGCCCAGCAAACCGCTTATCACCACGACCCCGTTCGCCACCGTAACCGGGGCCTTGGGGCGGTCCACGGTTAAGAGAGGATGGCCCTTGCGGTGGTCCAAGCGCACTACGAGGTCCCGATGGGGGAACAACGGATGCAGGAGATGAAGGATGACTGGAGCGCATGGGTCCTGCAAAGGAGCCATCCGTAGGCTGCGGTTGAAGGTTCTTCAGCCGGTCAGGATGTATTCCAGTGGTATCAAGCCTTTCAGCGCCAGGTGACGATGGGGCTGCGGATGCAGATTGGTCAGGACCGCCACGCATACCCTGGCGACCTGGCCCAGTAGGCGGTTGGCGTTCAGTAGGCGCGTTCGGGCCGTTAGATGGCCCTGGCCCACCTCGTCCACCTCTGCCAGGTGCATTGCGCATCCGGGGCCCAGATGGGATTTCGGCTGGAGGCTCTGGCTGACGCAACCGTCCATGGCTCAGGTCCGGGTCTCTTGATTCGTGGCCTTCCATGGGAGGCCGTCCAACCCGTTCACTGCGAGGTCCGGTCGGTAGATCCTCATGCCGTGAATGTGTTTGTCCGAAGTTACCGGATCGGCGGTCATCGGGGAAGCGTTCCGGGCGGTTTGGAAGTTCCACTCTTGGAGGTGATAACGTTCTCGATGGCAAAGATCGCCTGTCATCCTTTTCTTGTCGCAGTGCCTCCCCACGCCGATAACCTTCCCGGTCAGGGTGATCGTGGATCATTTCTGCGCGATCAGGGTGAGTCGGTGGACCAGAGCGTGCGACAGGTGGTGCGTCCCGAGCGTCCGCAGGGCGCAAACGTCCAGAGCGATCTGGCCACTCCGGTTCTCTTGGGAGACGCCCCTCACGGTAAGGAGGGCCACGGAATGGCTCGTCCATAGATGGCCTTAAAGGATACTCTCTATCGAGACGACCATAGCCCCTGCCATCACCTAGAGGCTGTTCAAACGACCTATTGTAGTCATGCTCGCCGCCATAGCGACCGCCTCGAGGGTAGTCTGGATGTCTATCGCGCCTGTCGTCTAGAAGGTCAGGTCGTGGTGGCAACCTTCCATCCTCCCGGTAAGGACGATTAGGCGTATGCGTCTGCGAGCGCACGTTTTGGTTGCCGGATGGCGCTCGTTCTGAGTCAGGGCGTCGAGGAATGTTTGCTTGCCGGCCCGGTTCAGGGCCCTTTGGAGTGGCATGGGATGCAGCAGGTGCTGGGGAAGCAGGGGTAGGCTGACGAGTGGTTCGAGACTCTACCGCCGGAGCAGCAGGTTTCTCATTAGTTGTTGATTCAGCGCCGCCTGCCTGCTGTGTCTGGGAAGCAGCTGGTTCAGCTGTGGTTGAGGCTGTGGTGTCAGTTTGCTCAGACGACTTCTGGCCCAGTGTATCTGTTTCTGTTGTGTTCCTCGACACAGCATCGGTCATCTTCGCATCCTCAATCTCTCCATCTTCGACTTCCGTCTTTGTAGGTTCTGACTTGGACGTGTGAGGCCTGTGGTTTGGATTGTCAGAAACACGGGCCAGGGTAGTAAGGTTAGCCTTAGGTTGTGTACACTTACTCGGTGGTTGGTTTGAATTCCGTAGCGGAAGCGTTCAAGCCTGGAGTCGAAGATTGAGGCCGCGACGGTAGAGATTTTCCATTTGCATTCTTGTCAGCTGATTCACTCTTTGGAGGATTGCCCTTCCCTGCTGATGGTTGACTAGTTATCATAAAGGCCTGGGGGAGCATCCATTTCTTCTCACGACGGTTGAGATCACCAATCAGAGAGGCTGCGGGAATCTTCACATCATCTCGCTCGTCGTTCTGGCTGAGATTGTTCACACTGGTCAACATATCACGGCCAATCCAGTTCACGGCAGGGAAGTTTTGCACAACTCCCTTGAGGACGCTAATGGCATTGCGAATGTGCATGTATTCGCCGCCATTCAAACAAGTTTTGAGGGCAGCAGCCAAAAGACGGTGCCACTTGTACAAAAGTCGGCGGAAGTCTTCGTACTCCAGGAATGTCGTCGGTTTGCCTTCCGGGTCAACAAGCATGGCAAATCCAGGAAGATCCTTCTTGGTACCGAACGCTTCCTTCTCGTAGACGACCTTGTCGGCATGCCAACGGCCAAGATCTCGGATAATCTCGTTCAGGAAGCGGCCAAGGTTGTCAGCCTCCCTTGAAGTACACTGGAAAATCAATGCCGTAAGTCTCTGCTCTCGGAACAATTGGTCTAGAAGACCGACAGTCCGGAAGTTAGGCGTTCCGGATGTATGGAGGAATTTGAGGAGTTTAAAGCAGTAAAATGCGTCAATCGGTGACAACAGCAGTCGAGGCATGAAGCACTGCTCCAGCAAGGCCACATTCAACGCATCGTGTTTCCCACGCATACCAGCGAACCATCGATCCTTCTCCTTCTGCAGCTTCGTCCTTGTCTGACCATAAGACTTCAGGTGAGCCTTGTTCTCCTCCAGTATGCGGTCTTGAAGCTGGGTTATCTGCTTCTTTTCCCGCTCCTTTCTCTGGCTACCAGCCATGCTAATGTCAGATCGGTCGTTGCCAATAGCAATTACTTTCTTCTTCTGGCGGTCTATTTCATCCTCATATGCTTTTTGAGGTACATGTACGTCGTAAAGAGACAGTTGCCAGAAGGTGACATAGAAATGCAGGCCAACCACACCCCATGTTTCAGAAGGCAGAGCCGACTTTACCTGGTCCTGGAGGTCTTGCATAACGGGATTCAGAGGAGTTTCGGGAGTAACTGAGGCTATGGCGATGGCTTGTTCTGTTGTTTTGTTCACAGCATCGGTCTCAGTAGGCTTTTCAGACTGATCTTTGTCAACATCCATGGCATTCTCAGCAGGCTGCCCGCCATCCTGGGCTGTCGCTTCTCCTTCATCCGTTTCCATCTTGTCCGTCTCATCTTTAGACGGAGACTGTTCCTCGCCCTCACCGCTCTTGGCCACCCCTGCGTCCTCGTCCTGTGTCGTTCTTTCACTCTCGGATATCTTCTTGGCCACACTTGGTCGTCGAATCCAAAAAGCTACTTCAGGCTGGACTCCGAACTCGCCAATCAGGGATGCAAGATCAGGGACGAATGAATCGAACTCCTCCACCGACATGTTACTGCGCAGAAGGTCCAGATACTGAGCTAAAACTCGGTGAATTTCGTCAAATACGTTACCCAGCAGCTTGAGTTCCGAGGAACCCTCCGACTCCTGGAAAATGCAGGTCCAACGTTCCTGGGCGATTGCAATAAGCAACTGACCAGCGAGCTTCGAGACGGTCAACGCTTTCATTAGTCGCCTCGATGTAGTTTTAGATTCGTGTCGTCGGTCCAACAGCTGTAGGATTGTTTGGGCTTGAAGGACGTCACCACCTGCCATGGCCTGTATTTGGTTGTCGTTAAAGTTGGTGTCGGTGATGATACCTGCCATAGAACTGATCATCTGCTCTAGGACAATAAGATCGGTGGAATTGTTGTGTCGCAGCTGTTCCACAACATATTGCAGCACGGGGGTAGGATCCATTACCGAGTACCGCTTGAAGGTTCTGCCCGCAAAGGTTGACAGCGCATTCAGCCAGCGACTGGTCAGTAATCCACCCTCTTGAACACGGCTTCTTCCTTTCTGACCAAGCGAGTTGATCAACGCCCATGTCAAGATGTCGTACCCGAGGTTGGTAAAGTAACGTGCACATTCCACGACAACTTCGATGAGATTTTCATAAGATTCGATTTGGCTGATGGCGACGTTGATAACAATACCAGGATTTGCATACGCAATTTTGGCCAATGCACGAGCCATCGGTCGTATATTCGTCTTACTCAGCCTCTTGAGTACGTCCTTCGTTTCCGCCCTCGCTTGGTCAAACGCCGACTTGACGTCCGGAAGGCGAGACGTTTGTCCGGAGTACCACTCGGCGTACATATTGTATCGAGTTTCCCGGGGGAAGAAGCTCACTAAGTCGAATACTTCGTTGACAACACCGGGGTTTGCTTTGGTCAAGCTAATGGCAGGCACCAAGAGGCGTTTGCAGAGGTCCTTCCACCTGGCCCTGTTGCCAGGCGAATCATCCTTACTTAGACTATCTTTTCCAATTCTTGCAAGTTTGGTCAGTAGACTGGCGTCCTGCCCAATTTTGTGTCCAGAAAGGTTTAGGAACGACGAGCAGAGGGCAAAGACATCGTCAACATTCTGGCAGAGAGGAACGCTATCGGCCCAGTCGTCCCAGTAGAATCTATAATCAGTCCCATCGTTCGTATCCTCCTTGTCAAGTTGAGCCCATCGAAGCACCCGCCTTGGGGGTGCTTGGCTTAGCCGAATCTGGCCCTTCGGTATGCCAGACTGGTCTGAACTCAGGATTTGCTTCTGCCCTCTAAGCTCCTCCACAGATGGGAGGGGGCGCAATGAAGCATATACCTTGCTCAAACAGTGGTGGAGAATACGATGAATAAACTCGGGAAGTTCCGGGTAGCCGTCCATAAGCCAGGGAAATTTGCTGAGTATGAATAGGGATTCGGGAAGCGCACCAATTGCCAGTAAGCTCTTAAGAAGCATCACTTTCTGGTCTGACGGCTCAGGAAGTTCATCTTCCTCGGTCTTGGCTGGAGTTGACTTTTCCGTCTCTTGGTCTTTCCCAGGTGTTGCTGATCGTGTCTCTGATTCCCGAATGCGAGGAGTAGGGGTAGGTAGAGTATCGTCCGACAAAGCACCGGCCATCATTAACGCATTCACACCCCCACCAGGTCGCGCTGCCCTCTCCCTTTCCGCTTTTTCTTTCATTTTTTCCTCCTTCAAAAGATCCATAGAATCATCGGGTCTCCAAAGGTGAGGGTACAAATCACGTAGGGAAATGAACCCTACCTTAATCAGCAATGCCGCCAAGTAGATAAGATTGTCCGGGAGAATGTCCGACTTATTACGGGCCCGAGACGAGTAGAAACGAAGCTTGAATCCGAGAAGCTGTGCCGCCACTCGGTTCCCTTTAGGTGGCAATGTCCCTGTCTCCACGATCCATTTACGTGTTCCCGCCTCCTCTTCCGAAAGATTGTTGCTTTCAGGGAGTACACGTTTCAGTTCCTCCTCAGATACTGGTTTGCGGCCAATCTCGAAGAAGGCCCGGATTCCAATCTCGTTGACTCGCTTCCAGAATTCTGCATCTCGATGCTGGTTTGTGTGCACCAATTCGGCCCGTTCTTCGTCTGTCGTTACCCATCCCGCAGAGCCTGGTAGTGCCCAGTTTGGAAGCCCGGAATCACGGTTGTCACTGTCAGAACCGCGGAAAGCATCCTCCTTGGGCCACCATGAGCTCGCTCTTAATAGCTTCACAAAGAATCGATACTGCTTAACGAGTACGGCAGCGAAAACATCCAACGTGACGTCAAGCACACGGCCGACATCCATATCGAACGCGCCGATCATTGCCTTGACCCTCTCGAAGGTATCCTCAACTACCTCACTCGACGGAGGTTCATTGTTGCTGGTCGTGAAAAGTTCGGTGAGTAGTTTTGAGTAACCCTCAGATTCTTCACGCAGTAGGTTATAGTTAGATTGTCGGTAAAGCAGATTGGTCTGCTTCCGAATTCCCATACGGGCAAATGTATCACGGACAAGGCCCAGAGACTGGAGAAGCGGTGTATCGAGTTGAAGGCGCATGAGCGCGGAGCTAATCCCAGTCGAGAATACCAATGGCTTCAGGGCAGGGTTCGTCGTGTCGGAATCGGTAACAATAGATAGCGTGTCCAAGAACAGAGAACGGGTATCAAGGAGGGTTGCCATCTGTCCTTCACTATCCATATCAATATCTTCTGCAGCAACATCTTCTCCTATGATATCTTTAACTACCGCCCCAGCATCCGTCGGCGACAGCCGTCCGTAAAAAGCGGCCCGGATCACTTCCTGGTATATCGCGGCCAAATTTGCGATATCCTGCTCATTCTTTGCATGCACTCCATCCTCAACAAGTTTTTGTTTCCCTGTAGAGGACCATGCTTCAACCACTGTGTCACTCACGTACTCATAATCGAATGGGGGAGGTGGAACGGCAGGTTGGACGGGAGGAACATGCGATATCTGGAGTTGTGGCGGGGGCGGTGGGTGTGGCTGTGATTGCGAAGGAGCCGGTGAAGGCGAGGGGGGAGGTTGGGGCTGATTCATCGCTGAGGAGGCGCCGTTTGTTTGATTCTGATCCGGAGCTTCTTTCGCCGGTGTTGTGTTGGGCGGAGACATAGCAGTATCCTTCCGACCGCCAGCCTGGTTCTGGTTGTCGCTGCTAGGCCTCCGTCCAAGGTTGTTCCTTCCCCCTCGATTATTCTGTCGGCGCCCTCTTCCGCGACCATCGGAGTGATCGCGAGGTAGGTTGTGTTGCGCCATGTTTAGGTTACTCGGTCGATGAGGAGAGGGTCGTGAGCCGTCGTTTACTGAATCACTAGACCAAGTTCTGTCACCTCTCTTTCTTTTCCCTCCGCCACCTGGAGCCATGACAGCTTCACCAAAGCTACCGTGGATTGCTCAGGCAGAGAACCAGAATATTTCCGACAAGTCGCAAGTCATGAGCGGAGCCTAGGTTTGACTTGTCAGCGTGCACCACAATTAAGATGAGGGTTGAAGCAATTAGGTATGGAAGGAAAACGCCGTGGGGATGGAACAACCTGCCGTGGAAATGACATGTGACGGAATCTCGAGAGTAAGATTGCCCTGTTCTGAGACAAAGGTGTCTTGGGTTATGGACTCGGTGATCGACGATAATAAAGAGGATTGCACCGCGAATGTCGCGCTTGGGTCGCTTGTGTTACCCGCGCTCGGCGCTAAGCTTTTTGCGGTCTCCGCTCAGCGTTCTTTCAGTATCCCATCAATGCCGGTTATTCAGGCTTAAGAAAAGAAAGATGATGAAGTGAAATAGATGATACTTTCTACGAGGCGCTGCAATCTAACTACCTGAAGAATTTGGGTTTTTGACTCACCCATAACTACTAGAGTATATCAAAGCGTTGTAGGTGATATATTCGATGGTTATATAAAAGCCAGAGTAATGCTTCCTAGCAAGATAGTCAGCCACAGCAATAGCCGTGAGTAACCAACGAATGAGGGCTCTACAAGCTCTAAGCTCTAAATAATGCCAGGAGTCTTTCTATCTGACTCCTAGTAGAGTTGATTTACAATGGCTAAAATACTAATATGCACTCCCATGGCCGACTACGCATTCCGTACTACATAGTGTACACCAGGGAATCGTCATTGAATTCGTTCCATCATTATACGCTAGTAGCGCTGCAATATTGTGCCGTTCTCTACAGCAAACCCAAGGCCTTAGCTTCGACGTCCACAATCTCAGGAATAAGCTCCTTCAGGCTAGGCTTGCTCGGGGACCATCCAAACAATTTCCTGGCTCGAAGAGCATGGCCTCTAGAGCTACTTCCCCAAGCATACAGCCCAAACTCGTTCAACTCCGTGACCTGCGCATCCGACAGGGATTCAACATCAGGAGAGGGAATCAGCTTCTTCTCATAGGCGACTTTAGCCACTTCGCGCTGGATATCGCCCCAAACAAATGGCCCGTTCTCAGCAAGATAGTAGCCCTTATCGTTCCACGTGGCCTTTCCACCACCGGCGGCGGCAGCGTCTGCCAAAGCACCATATACGTCACTGAGGTCCTGGACGTGGACCTGATGCCAAATGTTCTTGCCTTCACCCACCAAGAATCCCTTCTTTCTCTTCAGCACAGCAGCGGAGAGCCAGTATGCCTGAACGCTCTTCTGGTTACCAGGTCCACGGCCCGGACCGTAGATAGTGGGAGGGCAGACGATCGCCGTCTTGACACTTTCCGGGTTCCGCTGGCTGGCCTCGATGATGATCTTGTCGACATTGCGGTGAAAGGAGTCGTCGGGGAGGTTAAGGAGCTCATCGACGCCATCCCAGTCGTTGTGCTCCTTCGAACGGTAAAAGCCCCAGGTGTTGCTGCGGAAATCCTCAACGGTGAGAATGCCAGTGCCGGAGGTGTGGATCACCCACACCGGCTTTTCAGGAGTGTGGTGGGCGGCACCCTTTGCGATTGCCTCTGCAGATGCGACATGGTCGCAGTTGGCACAATCTAAGTGGCGCTGTTAGTTACACAAAGTCGTTCCCAGCGCATTGATTGCCAAAGACTGTATATAGATAGTTACTCACGGAGTACAATGTCGGCGTTCTTGACCTCTTCCTCAATAACGTCGGACGAGTCGAGATCTCCAAGCACGGTCCTCACATTAGGGTACTTGCTAGTAACCGGGGCTGCTTTGTCCTTGCTTCGAACCAAAAGGGAGTACTGCCAATCGGGATGTGCCTGGTGCACGGCATAAAGGACATCTCCGCCAATGTAACCAGTGGCACCGGTGCTGGGGACCCATTAGAGATAGATTAGCAATCGATTCGATGCCAGTCACTAGAGATAAAGTTACCTACAGGAAGACCTTAAGAGGAGCCATTCTTCCAGAGGTAAGTATCTTTCACCCACAAGCTTTCAATCAGGGATTACAGGGAGAGGGGTAGCAAGGAGGGGCATCTTGATGTTTTTATAGTTGTCTGGAGAATACGTAATGGCCACAGCTCAAGCTGTCGGGGGTGCTTTGAAATCAAAAAGTGGAATGATGGATCCGCAGGGTTCAAGACATGCAATCAGAGTTAAGCGCAGGGTGGGGTTGAGATGGGGATTTGAGATCATGGACCCAAACTTGAACGACGACCGAATACATTAAGTTCCACATGGAACTCGGGGAAAAGAAAGGAAGGCCGATTCGGCATTCGTGACTACTTTGGGAATCGTGCATCGATCTACACGATATTCCAGCAACACTGTATACCCCCGTCTTCATGATGTTAATAAATAGGCTACCGCACCAAACCAGATCAAATTAATTGAGTTATAAGAAGAGAGCGGTTCTCCGATAACTGAAACCAGATGGTGATCTTCTACATCGGAGGACCCGGGTAAAAAAATAAGAGGATCAAGAGAACGTTGTCCCCTACCTTCTCCACCACGAGATGGTCAGTCATTATAGGTTATTCTATGCAGCCTAGAGGCTTCAGTTTACTATGAAACATATTCCATAACCATAGGCTTTTAGCGTCAAGGCTAATACAGTATCGTTAGAGGCTTATTCTTATTATTAATAGGTTGGCGATCAGGGATTATCGCTGAGATGAGGTGTTTGTTGTAGCTTGTATTAAGCCTCGCTTTCTTGCCAATCCGTTAAAAAGCTGTCATAATTCCCCCGCCCTAGGGCCTAGGGCTTCATATCACAAGGTGACAATTACGAGTGACTTGCTCAGGGTCCTTTCGAAAGTATAGGCTAGCAACTAAGTAGAAGTTGCGAGAGTCCTATGCAAGTGGGTTCTTAATAGGCTCGAGTTCCCGAGTGTGCAGTTCGTTCTGCAGCCCTAAGGGAGCCGTAGTCAATGATGACACCCTTTTTTTTGAAAAAAAAAAAAAAATCACTAGGACATTTCTTTCAAGTCACTTAGAGTTTAGTCACGAATTCCAATCCCAGGCCAGGAAAATTAGTGCCCATCAGATATTCGACAGCACTGCCGAAGCTGGGCTATGCTTACCAGGCTCTAGTCGCCATCAGGGTGTAGAGATTAAACGGATAATTGCAAGTCAATTCTCAAGGACGTCTCGTCTAGTCTAGTCCATTTCATCGCCACAGGAGTCGAACTTGGGGATATGCTATTCACCTCTCACCAATCCACTACCTTAGACACCAACGGCAAATCGGAGGTAGCGAGAGCGATCAAGAATGCTACTGCTGCATTACCATCCCCTAACTCTGCACAAAAGCACATCCTTATGACAAGCCGCACGGAGGAAATACCCTCCTTTGCCACAACGACTCTACAAACCTTGACCAAGATTCGCCTTTGTCTGCATTGCGCCCATGTGCAGCCCTAGCGGATGGCATCCTACCATCGGTCCTTTCCAGAATTGGAGGGTCATCAGAGTACATTTGAAGTTTCCTACCTCCCCTTTGAGGATCGCATCTTAGCATGCCTGGTTTAACTATTGTCTATAGCAAGAGAGTATAGTTTCCCTTGGCGGCGCCTTCAATACTTAGTAACAAGATACCGGGTTACGGGTAGGTGCGGACACTCTTTGATGACTGCGCGGATGCGACAGCGAAGAGTGGGCTCTTGCTGAAGAAGGGCCTACCTGATCCTGTTACTTCTCAGTGGGGGTTCGTGCCGTGTTTCTTTGTCCTTCTCAGGATACTATACTATACTTAGATAATGTCTGAGTCCTGATCCGATCAGTCTTGAATATAGTTTCGCGGTGCCAAGCCCTAATGCTTTACCCAAAACTTACTATTCACTACTTCATAGATCAACCCGTAGCAGCCAATCAAGAGAAGCAAGATGAGTATGGAACCCTCCAAGATGCGCCCGAAACCTCAATATATCTCATTCCAACCTCTTACTATTGTCATCAGCAGAGACTCCTTTACAACAATGGACTCTCAACCCAAAAACCCAGGACAATAGCCTAGCAAGCCCTTCAGCACAAAGAATGTATACGAGCCACCCACTCCCGATCTCATCCTCTCATACGTCCTCACCAAACATGTGTACCGCCATTTAATCCGTCTCAGGCGTTCCAAAAGACAGCAAAAAAGATCAAAAGGGAAAGGAACAAGTTCCAGGGTGGACAACCAGACGTAAAATGGAAGCCACCACCCTAACTGGCACCTACGCCTGCAAGCACATAACCTACACGGCGAGCGTCCTGCCCACGAAACTAACCAACTGCCATTGCATAACCTGCCGCAAACAATCCGGCGGACCCTACCAAACCTGGGCGTTTTTTCTTGCGACGAGCATCACTTGGACCCACGAGGCACCGACACAGCGGCGATCTAGCGATTTCGCTACGCGCGGGTTCTGTCCCCAATGTGGATCGAGCGTCAGTATGGTGTATGACTCGGAGCCGGGGGGACTGTGCATTGCCGCGGGCACCATCGATGATTTCGACAGGGTGGTTCCGAAGCCCTGTGCGCATTTCTTTGTGAAGGAGAAGGCGGCGTGGTTTCAGTTACCGAATGATGGGTTTGTGAGGTTTAGTGATGGAGCTAATCGGGGAAGCCGTTGACATTGCTGGACGCGGAGTTGTTGGATAGTATGGATACGTAAGAGTTCAGGCTGATGAGGGCATGTTTTGAGTGTATATACCTATTTGCTTTATCACATGGTTCATCCACTACGCAGGTCACAGAGACGGTAGAACATCATAATCAGATCCGAGAGGAATCTCGAGCGCAATACAATGACAGTAAGGGAGAAAACACATCGAACATCATCGAACACAATTTGAGACTGAAACAATCTTCGTCCCGGACTCAAGAGGTTGATCATTGGAAAAAGGTACGGCGGTCACAGGGGAATCTCACAGTCATGAATATCCGTAATTTACAGGAGAGGTTCAGAAGGTGCTAGTAGCTAGCCGACTCGCCGCGTTGCGGGCATCCAGTCGGTCCTCATCATCTTCCTCGACAACAGAGCTGACGCCACTGGGAGAGCGCACCCTTCCCTTGCCCTGCCCATTCACCTCTTCATCAGCCTCCGAAGTAGGCGAGATCATGCTGCCACTCATGCTGCGTCCAAGGCCTTCGCTGCGACGAGGGATACCGCTCCACGCGTCGCCCTTGGGTCCCTGGCTTGAACCAAGGTTTGGCCGCCGCACAGTCGGGTGTGATTCACGGCCCAGTCGGCTCAGTCCACCAGACGAATCAATCGCCCGGATATCCGGACGAACACTCTCCAGGGTTGCAAGGGTACGACGTTCGGCATCAATCTGACGCAGCGTGTACTCACGAAGGCTGGCCAAGAGGTCGCTCGTGGTCCGGTCGAACCAGCGGCGCTTCTCCTGAAGTAGGTTCGATGTCACCCGGTGTGTCCTCTTTGTGAGGTAGTCTTCATGGCTCTGAGCTTCATCTAGAGCATTGATTGCCTCATCGACTTTATCTGGACGAACAGAAGAGCTGACTTTCAGCCGATCTGCAGCTGCGCGCTTGCTGCGGGTGACCTGTTGAGCTTGGATCAAATCCCGAAGCAAAATGTGGCGGTTCGTAAGGGTCTCCTTCACGATAAAAGCGTCAGACGAGTGATAGTTCAACGGCTCCCCGATGGTGGTGGCCTCTGCGGTAGCCTGGACTGCGTGATAATCCCCGACTGTTTGAATGACCTTTCCCAATTTCCGGTAAGCATTGGCCAGACCTGGGTGTGTCTCTTGTACATGCATCTGCCCCAGCTTTACGCCAAAGTCTGATTCGGCAAGGCCGAGTCCTAAAACATTTTGTTAGCTGGCATTATTGCACCACAGCGCTCACGCTCACATACCTCGTCGGCCCTTGACCACGCGGTCAACCTTGTGACTAGCATCCATGCTACCTAGATAGAACATCTTCACTACGGGTCGCGCATTCTGTAGCTCGGGTGTATCATCTGGGGGAGGTGCAAACTGCTTCAAGACCTTTCTCCGCATACCCGTCGCAGGTTGCTTCATCCGAACAACCGGACTATAGCCGAAATCACTCTCAACGAATAGAACGACCTCATCATCTTGCATTAGAACTTCGTTACCCAATACGGTGTTCAACCATTTCTGCATGGACGCCTTCACGCGAATCTCATCCTCTTCAGTTCCTGCGCCGGCGGGGGTCAATGGGGGAGGCACCGCAGGAACCATCGCCTCGGGGTTCGCCGACATCAAATGTTCGGCGAGCTTAGTAAACTCTGCATGGGTACGGCGGACGTCGCGATATTGAGTGGTTCTGAATTTGGGGATGTTGGTCTGTGCATAGGGGGGTTAGTTGCGATGACGGTGGATAACCAATGTTACAAGGAGCTTGCTCACGTGAACATCGAAACGCAAAACGGGATCCTTTTTGCCTGTCCTCTCTAAGCTTGTAATCTTCGCCTGAATTTTGTATAGAGGAGCTGGTCTGGCATGCTGTCTGGCCCCGGTTTGATACCTAGCGGGGGGCTGAGACCGAGGTTGCTGGGCATATTGTTGCTGTTGTGCAGCATACTGTGATTGCTCATGATGGTAATCTGGGTCGCCTAGCTGTGCGCTCTGTAGTCGTTCCGAGAGGTCGGGTGACTCGGTCTGCTCCTCCCCGGCAGGCAGAGAACGTTCGGGCTGGGATTCCCTGTCGGCATCGTACGGAGGCTGAGGGGGAGCTAACGGGTCGGAAGGAATATCGTTGGTACTCGAGGTAGGAAACGTAGTTTGGGTAGGTCGGGGAGAAGCCCAAGGCGAGGTACCCGCGGGGTGGTCGGGGTCATGCGATATAGCGGAGTAGTCCATGGCTGTCTGGCTTTTGCTGGGGGTGGATGGAGAGTAAGTAGGTAGTATGGCTCCGACGGACCACGTCTGCATCGCGGGCACACAAATATTAGCAATGCATTCATTTTCATAATGTTCTTGCGGCTAATTGACGACACTTACCTGGATCCCCTCAGAAAAACAATTGAGAGCCGCAGGGTACTGTGAAGGGCAAATTAAGGATGCGGGAGTGTGGAGTGGGAGGCAGAAGGAATGTCAACCCGAAGAGACAGACAAGCCGAAAGGTTACGTCGTTGCTGCCGCCGACACCTGATTGGCCAGGCATCCGCATCAGTGACATCCGACATTTGGAGAACTTCATTTTTCGAGAGCTGGAACTACGCAAACGTCCCCGAAGGGCCCCACTTATTAGCTCCTTGCTTGTAATATAACATGCATACAAGCGGATAAACGGTACCACTCAATCATCAGATGTCATAGGGGCAATTGCGATCATGGTCGCGGCTCCTCTCTTGCGCGCTCACCAAGCAGCGCGACTCCAATCAGTGTCTATGAGCCGGCTCGGGCTCAATCCACATGTAATCAAAACCGCCGCAAGGTTACACCTGCTTCGGGGTAGTGGGTTCTCAACATCTGCTTCCAAATGGCAAGCGGAAGTCCTCGACCGAACCAGGAACATCGGTATCATCGCCCACATCGATGCTGGCAAGACTACCACGACGGAACGTATGCTCTATTACAGCGGGTTTACAAGAAGGATAGGAGACGTGGATGAAGGCTCCACAGTCACCGACTTCCTTCCTGCCGAGCGTGCTCGAGGAATTACGATTCAATCTGCCGCTATTACTTTCCATTGGCCACCTCAAACTGCCGGCGATGGAAATACAACTCCGCAGGAGCCACAGACGCCAAGGTCTGCCTCATCTCATACCGTGAATCTCATTGACACCCCTGGACACGCGGACTTCACTTTCGAAGTCATGCGATCCCTGCGCATTCTAGATGGCGCGGTATGCATTCTAGACGGTGTGGCCGGTGTCGAGGCTCAAACAGAGAAAGTCTGGCACCAAGCAAGTACCTATCGGATTCCCCGGATTGTTTACGTGAACAAGCTTGACAGAGATGGGGCTGCCTTTGGCCGGACAGTCCGAGAGGTAGCCTCCCGGCTGGGCGGTTGGCCTGCTGTCTGTCAGATTCCCTGGTTCGAAGGAGGAAACGGACGTTTTATCGGCATTGCCGACGCTATCAATCTCCAAGGCCTTCGCTGGGAGGAAGGAGACGGCAAGTCTGTCAAGATGTTCAATCTTGAACAGCTGGCTAGCGAAGAGCCCCAGCTTGCACAGGAGCTCAAACGCGCGAGGATTGCCCTCATTGAGCTGCTGAGTGAGCATGATGAAGCCATGGTGGAGAAGTTCTTCGACTGTGAAGAGGACCATTTGGCAGTCCCCGCGAATGACATTCTCGAGAGTCTGCGTAGATGCCTCCTGGAGGAGCAGGGAAGGAAAATCATCCCCATCTTCGCTGGTGCTAGCTTTCGAAACATCGGTGTCCAACCTCTCCTCGATGCTGTGACGAATCTTCTCCCTAGCCCTCCTGAGACTCCTGAACCAGAGGTCAGCATTGGCGGAGTTAAGGGTGGCCTCCGACACCTGCTTTCCGGTGATCTCCTAGTCGAACAAGGCGAGAAGGCAGCTTCTGCCAAGGGGAAGCAAAAGAAGAAATCGGCCATTCAAGCAGAGTCCCGCCACGCCATTGAAAAGCTCCAAGCTGCGCCTTAGCCTTCAAGGTCGTCAATGACCCCAAGCGTGGTGTTCTAGTATACGTCCGCGTCTATTCCGGCTCTCTCGACCGAAACAGCGTCCTGTACAACACCAACCTGAATGTGTCAGAGAGGGCGCCTCGTCTGCTGAAGATGTATGCGAATGACGCCGTCGAGGTCGACTCCATCCCCGAAGGCCACATCGGAGTTGTAGCTGGCCTCAAACACACCCGAACGGGAGACACCCTAGTCACCTACTCCGGCAACAAAGCCACACCCCCCGAACCTCTCACCACCCTCCAACTCCGTCCGATCAACGTTCCGCCCCCCGTCTTCTTTGCCAGCGTCGAACCCCACAGCCTAAGCGAGGAGAAGCGACTCCAGGAATCTCTCGCGATGCTCCTCCGCGAGGATCCCAGCCTGCACGTCACCGTCGATGAAGACTCAGGCCAAACCCTCCTCAGCGGCATGGGCGAACTACACCTCGAAATCGCCCGAGACCGCCTCCTCAACGACCTCAAAGCCAAAGCATCCATGGGCCGCATCGAAATCGGCTACCGGGAATGCCCCCTCGGCGCCTCAGGTCCCATCACCAAGATCTTCGACAAAGAAATCGCCGGCCGCAAAGGCAAAGCCGGCTGCACCGCAACCGTCGAGCCCTTCGACCCCGAAGACACCACCACAGAACCCGACCCATCGGCACTCTCCATCCAAACCGCCAACGGCAACCAAATCATCATCCAAGCCCCGGGCCTCGAAGTCGAAGTGAACAAAAAGGGCATTGAGGAGAGTCCGCTCCTGCCCCCAGGCCTGGACGCCCACGCCCTTCGCACATCTCTCCAGAACGGCTGTCTCGCGGCACTAGCCCGCGGCCCTCAATTCACCTTCCCCATGCACGGCACCCGCGTCACCCTCACCTTCGATCCAGCCGAACACCTCTTCGGCAACGACTCCACCCCCTCCGCCCTCTCCGCCGCAGCCCGGCTCGCAACCTCCTCCGCCCTCCGGGACCTCCCCTCGGCAGCGGGCACATCCCTAATGGAACCAGTCATGAATGTGATCATCAGCGTAGACGAAGCCAGTCTCGGCGCCGTCGTCCACGACATCTCTTCATCCCGCGGCGGCCACATCATCTCGCTGGACGAGGAAACACCCCTCCCAACGACGGACATCGCCTCAAACCCAACAGACGACCTCCTTCCCCCCATCGACCCGAACAAGGTCTACGCCCCGCCTGATCCCTTCCAGTCGTCCACTGTGGGAATCGATCTCCCCTCCTCAGTTAACAGAGCCCGAACTATCACGGCAAAGGTACCCCTCAAGGAAATGGTCGGGTATCTCAAACACCTGCGCAGTTTAAGCGCAGGACGCGGCACGTTCGTCATGAGCGTCGATCGGTTCGAGAAGATGAGTGCGCCGAGACAGAAGGCTGTGCTTGCCGAGCTGAGAGGTGGCTTTCTCTAAGTAGTTATTTGGGCTTTTACAGCATAGCACAGTACCGTTCTATGCTGTTTCTGTACTCTGGATTGCGTTCAGGGAGTTATTTATGTAAGAATAAAATATAATAGGATACATGTATAGTAGTACTAGATCAATTTGCAATCTGGTGTCCGAGCGTCATGCATGGTATGGGTAGTGGATCCAGCCTGCTGAACTAGGTTCCTCGCTAGCATCTATGTGGCAATCTAAGCAACGATCTAAATGAGACATGGTAATAACCAGACCTTGTCAAACAAGAATATAAACCAGCTCACCTAGAACTATGTCCAAATGAACGGCAAGTGAACACTGTCATCGCATCTAAAACATGCAAAAGCACAGGGGGCCCGGGCGATCCAAAAGAAAAGATATATATAACCATTGCCCGGCAGTCAAAGAAGAAACGCGACAAAACACTAAATGTACTACGCTTCAGTCATGTATTCTACAACTTCAAAAGTAAATCACCAATCATTGTCCCAGTCATCCTTTTCCTTCGCGGTCGTTGATGATGTATTGCCCGTCGTGGCGCTGGCACCAGAGGTAGGGCCGGGTTTCATGGCTGCAGTTCCGATGGCGCTGGACCGGGAGGCATTTCTGCGGTGACTGTCCTCTTGCCCGAGGGCGGAGAAGTCGTCCCAGAAATCCTTACGTTCGGGTTCGGCGCGACGACGACCGGCGCTGTTCTCGTCTGGGCCTTCTACGAATCGCTGGAAGTGACCAGCCGCACCGCGGGCGCCGACTTGGACAGTTTGACCAAGTTGGGTGGCATGCTGGCGGGCTTGGGCTGCGAAGTCGGATTCCGCTATCTGGAAAAGGATGCATGTTAGTTTGGAGCAAGAGAAAAACGGGGAAATCTTGGAGGATAGGCGCATACCGACTTAGCGGTAGGCTGAATGTATGAGTCGTTCACAGTCTTCGCACTCTTTCCAACGGTAGACGTAAACCAGCCGAACCCTTTGGTCAATGCAGCCATAGGATCTTTCTGAAAATCGTCAAACCCGGGAATATTTCCTCCGGATGGATTTCTCGACGGTCCCGATGAAACGGGCATGCCACCACCAAACCCAGTGAACTTTCCACCCTGCGATGGTGGAACGGAATCCGATCGCGTGGCATTTTCCAAGCCCATTTTCGCAAAGTATGCCTCGTTACGCTCTTTCCGCCCACCATCCATACCTCCGAATCCATCATGCGACGCAGGAGACGCACGACCCAACGGTGTGCTTGATCGCGAAGATGCGGGTTCAACGGTGGCTTTCTTCTTTGGTTGGGCTGGTTTCTGTCCCGGAACGTATTCTCGCCCCTCGACTTTGGCGGAGAGTCTCTCTTTCCACTCCTCGCCTACTTCGCCTTCGTAGCGCTCTTTGATGGTGGAGTCTTCGAATGTACGGCCTTCGGACTGAGTGACGATGTGGTCATCGAAGAATGACTTCCATGGTTCGTTACCACCGAGCTCCATACGTTGGATCTCGGCGATCTTGAAGGCGTCCATGGTGATCGATCGCACGAAAGAGATGTGGACGCCCAGGCCGCGGTGGGTGCCTGCGCAATTGAGACAGATGAATATTCCGAATTTAGGGGAGGCCTGGTAGAAGCAAGAAAAAATGGCCGAGACATATTAGTGAAGGTTATGACAAGAGGTGGCCGTTTTGAGGCGCAGGTATAGGTATAGACGGAAATAAGTTGTAGGAGACGAACCCATTGAGGCGATGGCGCGCCGCAGTCGCAGCATTTATCGTTTCCGTTAGTTTTGGAAATTTGGAGGAGCTGGACACATTATCACACAGGTTAGACAGATCTAGTTCCCTGGCCGTTGACAGGGTCATGATTGAGTGGGCATACCTTCGCCTTCGTCTCCGGGTCTACCTCCCACAGTTTCGACATGATGGATGATAAAATGGGTTGATCGAGTCAAACAGGAAAATAAGAGATATAGCGAAGAAGGATAATTGATGTCAACCCCAAGTGCCTAAGGGGTGTTGTGGTGGCGCGAGGGTTAGGCAGTGTGGAGGTGGAATCGGCTGGAGCGCCCCTCTCTGCCGTTAGTATGCCGGTCTTTCTTTCTCCGCACCGCGTACAGACAAGTATGCGAGTTCGCAGTCGGTTCGATACTAGCAGTAGGGTTCTTCGTCACTCCCTCTCGCTAAGGTTAAAGCACGCAGAAAGGTCCAAGGTACCGCAAGGTCAAGTGTCCAGGTGGTGATGTGGTGTTGGCAGTTAATTGAGACGCCAAGAGGGGGAAATCAGGCTTAATTGGCCTCAATTAGGGAGATCACTGCAGAGTTCCACTTTCGCGCGCTGTTCCGATGGCACCTGTGGAGTCCAATGGAAGCCCAAGTATGACTGCATTCGTCTTGCAGCCTGGTGCTGATACGCTTAACTTAAAAGGACATACGACTATATCTCCAGGCTCATATGAACTCTTACATCGTCTACGCGGGTCAGATTCTCAGTCACGGAGGGCGCCGGGAAACAATCACTACAAGGCCAGCCTTGCGGCTAATCAATCATAAACTAAATGGTTGCTAAGATACAGGATAGCAGAAGGGCAATAGTCGTTAGCAAAAGGTCACGTCTCCGTGAAAACCACACATTACGGTGTCTCTCGTCGCTCCAGTCGCACGAATGCCTCGCGGCAGTTCGTGCGCAAAAAAACATAGGAAATAATGAATGCCTCATCCTCATGGTAAATTCGTCCCCTATGACCGCTTCGAACGGGAATGATATTTTGATAACTTTTGCGTTTTGTAGTTGGCCTCGTTGTCTTTTTTACCTTTTTTGACTTTTGTAAAAACGCTCCTCGACGGCAGAGTATGAAGTTATCATCCGCACGAAGGTCATTTCTCTTCCTCCAACAAATCCCGACTATACAGTGCGCATGTCGAGATCTTTGATTCGTTCTGGTTGAGAACGACTTGTCATTTAAGCAGCAGCCGGGGCAGCATTCTCCTGCGCCGGGGCTTCGGTTGCCTGCTCAGTCTTCTCAGCGCCGGTAGCGGGAGCGGCAACAACATCGTCTTCCTTGCCGGGGCTGTCGATGGCGACCTTGACGGCAATCTCACGACCCTCGATCTCCTTGCCATTCATCTCCTTCACAGCCTTCTCCTGGAGCTCCTCAGAGCCGAGGGTGACGAAACCAAAACCACGGCCCTTGCGGCGCTCGTTGCGGGCCTGGAGCTTCTTGATCATAAAGCGGGGAATGGGACGCAGAGCGATCTTAGCGGAAACGGGCGAGTAGGCGGCGAAGATCTCCTTGAGCTGTAGGAAGGATTAGCTACCAAAATTCAAACGCCAACAGAAAGTATACACACCTTGTCCTCACTCAGATCGTAAGGAAGGTTGGCAACCATGACCTTGGTCTTGGAAGGGATTCCATCCTCAGGGGGACCGCGCTGCTTCTGGGGGCGGGCACGAGGCTTAGCAGCCTGCTTACCAGAGTCGGAGGTAGCAGCAGCTTCAGTCTGGTTGGTGGTCTCAGTCAGAGGAGCGGCCTGATCTGGCACGTTGGTAGGCTCAGCGGGAGCACCAGCCTGGCCATTTTGGGGCTGGTTCTGCTATGGAAAGAGGTTAGTATCTCAGGAGTTTAGCGTTCATCTAATACTGGAGAACTTACAGCACGGCCGCCACGACCGAGGCGACCTCCACGACCGCGACCGCGGCCACGGCCACGGCCACGACCTCCAGTCCTCCTGCGGCCCTCATTGCCACTGGCACCCTCACCGCCACTTACGGCACCCTCGGCCTTGGCCTCGGCAGGCTCAGGCTTGTGGGCCAGCTGAACAGAAACCTTGCGCTGGAGAATCTCCTTTCCAGAGAGTTCACCAATAGCAGAGGTAGCCTCGTGGGCAGTAGCAAGATCCACGAAGGCGTATCCAACAGGGCGGTTGGTACGAGGGTTCACAGGGATGGAGACACTTTCACTGTAGCAAATGTTTGTTAGCATCTAGCTTATGCCATTGTTGGAAATGCGAAGCACGGGCTGGACGGCGCTTCTTCATTGGGCCTGCAATTGAGGCATGGCCGGCCCTTCACAGAAGAACCTGGGAGCACTCCTGTAGTAGCCGGGAACTACGGAAGCGGGATAGATCGCCTTGGCCTGCAACTAACACTGGCAAGCCAAGAAACCTTATGACCAAACAAGGGAACACCTTGACAAACAAGGCGATGGGTAACTCGACGTGCAAGACTTACACCTTGTAGTTCTTGAAGAACTCCTTGAGCTCCCCCTCAGTGGTCGCATAAGCGAGATTCCCAATGTACAGCCGACGTCCCTCATCAGCACTGGCCGCAGCAGCATCGGTGGACTGCGCCGGGGCGGCAGGAGCAGTGCCGTTGGTAGTAGCCTCAGTGGTGGTGGTGGCGGCGGCGGCGGCGGGAGTGGTAGCGGCCTGGTTGTCGGCGTGGTTTTCGACGGCAGTAGACATCTTGATGGCTGAGATCACAAGGTCGAGAGTTGAAGATACTTGGTGTAATTCGCGAGGAAACCTGACCGGTTGTGTGTTGTCAAGGACTCAGGGTAGCTAAAGGCTGCCTGTACTTGAAACTCCTTGGAATGGATGGGTGGGAGTAACTTGAAGAGGGGGGAGGAGGAAAAGGGTAGCTTGGTGCCCTAGATACGTGTGGTTGACGGGGGAAATCCTAAGTTGAACACGATGGAGATTTGCCTTGAGAGGAAGGATGAAGTCGACGGGGCAGAAAGGAGAAGGAGAGAGAAAAAGGGCAGGCAGCGACGGTGGCACGCTAAGCCGGGACGGGTATGTGGTGGCCTCAGGTTGACGATGCTAGTGGTAATCACGACGTGTCGTTAGTCACTTCGACACCCAACGGAGCTACGGGATTGGAAGGCGGCGGTCTGGCCAGTCTTCAGGCACCTTTGCCCACTACGGGTTAGGGTCGCGGTTAGCGCTCACATCTGACATCACCGCCCGTTGTTTAGCAGATTTCCTGCAACAAAAACAAAAAAAGAAAAAACAACACATCTGACTCATTGATCTCATGATGGGCACATGACCTGGAATTCACCCTCCAACCCCATCTTTTCTTCTCCCATCCCCCCTACTACACATGAGATGAATGGGAATTCTCTTATTGTTCCCTCCCATTCTGCTGGTGGGATAATTCCGACCGCCCCATTCAACACCCTGGACTCTACCCCTCCTTGGGGGGGGGGGAACATTCCAGATCACCAAAAACACATCGTATCTTCCAGCACCGGGTGCTCCACTTGCCACCATATATCTGGTCAGATCCCGTCATAGGTTCTCCACGCTCTCTCTCATCGGTCATCTTGAGTGGATAAGGGATCTTTTCTCGTACTCCATCACGCAGTGGAGCACACAACAATCCTGGATTTTGGGATGTGGTTCAATTTGGTCCAATTGAGAGCTTACTAAACGCAGTGTCATGTGAGATCAACCAAAATCCCCCTCACACATCTTGCATATCGGCAACTCAATTGCATGGGAAAATTCAAAGAACTAATATACATATTATTTATGAAAAGGATGAATCACCAGTGACTCTTCTGTATGATCCAAAACAATAATATTAAATAAAAAAGATCAAGCTGAACGCCTGCAAGACACAACGTAACCCATTCGTCAATCGACATCAGTCGTATGTACCGCAGATCAAGAGGCCCGCAGCTACGTCAATCCTGACGCTACGGCGCCGTTCCCGTTTAATTGGCAAACAACAACAATAAGCAAGAAAGCAAGAAAGAAAAATGCATAAATAAAAACAAAGAAGAAGAAGAAGGACCTAGGGTCGTCATTGTACAGAATGAAAGCTATACCACATATTCCAGGTCGTCAAAACCGGAAAGGACCTCTAGGTCGAATACATTATACGTTGGCTCAAGTAGCCCTTTGCTTGCCCGTATTTCTTCCCGCATTTCTTCCCGCAATTTTTTCCGCTCCTTCTCCTTGATCTCCTCTGGTGTCGGGACCGGGACATAGTTGCCATAGTCGTCCTTGTACACCTTCTCGCGGACGACCGGCGAGAGGGGAGGGGCCCATCTCACCCTCTTGGCCGGTCGACCCGCTGCCTTCTGTGACTGTGTGCTGAGACAACTCTTTGATAGACCCGGTGCCTCGCTATCCGGGAACTCAACTTCATCTTCGGACGACGTTTCTCCAAGCAGTTCTTTATGGAAGCTTTCTGACAGGACACTTCCATCTTCCGAGGGTGATTCAACTCCTGAAGATCCCGTGGAGCCTGTCGGGGTTGTGAGATCGATAGTTGGCTTTGTCGTATCAGTGTTTCGAAGCTTGCGCTCGTAATGCTCATTCCAGATACCGATCATGCCTTGTCCATATTCGGCGATAGATATCTCACTATCACTGTGCCAGATGAAGGATGGGTCGGACAGGGGAGCAACAACCATGGCACTGATCGCTTGTGAAACGTCACCGACCGTACAGCCATGGGCTTTAGCAAACGCTTTAAAAGGAAAGAGATTCGCAATGGTATTGGCCATATCTGCAAAGAACTCAACGGTATAAGGAGACGATGTGACTGAGTCCGTGCTGGAGGATTCAGACAGGGCTTCCGCATCGGCAGAGCTATCGTTGGTATCGCTGGGAGACAGTGGCGAAGACGGGGTGGTAGGGATGTCTTCCTCGTCGAGGATCCAGTCTTGATTCTCATTCATGACCTTTACTTTTTTTGTGGGCTGGTCGGAGTGCACATCCGGCGAGGCAGGTCGCTTTTTAGCCATTTCCCAAGATGTTCGCGTTGACGGGAGAGAACAGTTTCGCAACATGCAAGGATGGTCAGTAAGTCTCGCTAGTAAAATAGTAACTCGGTCAGCATCAACTATGTTGCAGAAGAGCCGGCATCCCAAATACCCTTGGTGCCGTCCAACCAGTGACTTTCCCAACAGTGATTGTACTCTCACCTTTATCGGTCCCACCTGTTTACGTTGTTGAGGATTGGTAATCTTAGCGTCCTGGTCAGAAGTCTTGTTTCTGAAAATATAGTGAGAGCTCTCTGGCTGAATATTACGATTTAAGATGATAATTGAAGACGGGATCATAGACGAGTCGTAGTGAGGGTAGAACACGAGAGCCAGTTAGGGTTGTAAGATTGTAAGATGCGCTGGATAGCAGTGAATGTTGATTTCTGATGACATTGTTATTGTTCTCTGACCAAAGTGATTGGCCATGTCGATCGATGACAGCTCAGTCTAGAATCGTGGAGGCACTTAAGATCTAATCCAATACTCGATTCTAACACCTTCAGGTGGGTGTTGTGTTCGGTTCGGTTGGTCTGAATGCCTATGGGCCAGGCAGACGAGAGGGATCAGGTAACCCGGGTGTACCTGGCGCTTTGTCGGATGCCTGGTCTACGACAAAGTAACATTCTTTATTGATGTATGGTTGTTTGTGTATTGAGAGATCTGTGATTGAGGTCTTTGTTGAAGGACGGTGTTATTTATCCCGGTGGCTCTCCTGTTGGGTTCGGCGTCCGTCTCCACCTTTTTTGATAGTGTACGGCGGTCCAGAACTGCCTTATCGTATTCCTGCCAAAGAAGTCGGGGTTGGCCTGAGGGTTGAGCCAACCAAGACGCCGAGCAGAATAAGGTTAGTCAGTCCCACGGCTTGGCGCGCTTACTCAAGCAAATGGCAATAGAGTTCACATTTGAACCCTTCTTTCTCCTCCTCTTCCCCTTCGTTTTCCACTTTTTCTCTCCGGATACTAACTTAACGGACCGGTGCAATTTTCACTCGTTTGGCTGATCTCACTCCCCCACCCCAGCTGAGAGTGGGTTCTTCTCGCAATGGATCATATCGAGCCTGTCGATGGTTCTAATGGTCCTTCTGCAGAAGCTCCGAGGCCAGCGTCCACGACTCAACCGACGTCATTGCAGCGGCGACAACGTGCGACCTCGCTCCGCTCTCGCCGCCCGACCATCCGCCTTCAGCGCCTACCTTCTTTGGACAACGCCATCCCCCAAATCCAGCCGGCTGTCTCTCCGGACGCTCGTAATGCTTCAACCATCAATGTCGCATCGCCCCCTCCTGCCAAAGGCACAGATGAAGACGCATGGCAGGGAAATCGTCGCCGCAGCAGTTCCGAGCCCCGGCCGGCAGGTGGTCTGCTCCCAATCCATCCACCCTTCCCCGGCTCCCGCCAGACCAAATGCATACCGTGATGGAAGAGCCGACAAATTTAAGTCCAATCCATTTAGCTCCTGCGAGTCGGCCGTTTGCCGAAGTACACCCCTCGGAGTCCCCGCCAACCAGGGTGCAAAGGCGGGGAAGTCTGGGTCTTCTGCGTTGGACGAGTGAAGCAGCTATGAATCGATTCTCACGCAATCGCGCGTCTGTGAGCGGGGCTGCTCCTCCATCACAGGCTGACGCCGCGGACAATGAATACCATCCCCACGTGGTGGATGTCTTAGATGTTATTGGTATGCTTCGAGTCAGGCATCTGTGGTAACATGCCCTAACATTAGCCAGACCCGGAGGTTTCAGCACTGTCGACCCTGACAAACGTCCAAAACTCCTTGTTTGTGCCTAATCTAGGCCCGCTAATCAATCGCAACCAGACCTATGCACTTTCACCACCGAGAGAGTCCTCGGAGTCGACTGGGGAGGAATCGACAGAAACGGAAGAAGGCGAGGAGACATTCGAGAAATCCCCCGACGGCCGTCCGTCACTAGAACGACCTCTAACAAGTCTATCGGCAGTGTTGGGGAAACAAGATCCACAATTTGCCGTGTTACCTGAAGGAAGCAATCTCGAGGGCTGGACTGCGAGAGACATAGAAGAATTGAACGATCATGTTAGGCACATGTTGCATTCCCGTCGTTCGAAGTTCAAGCGGGCAATGAAGGGCTTTGGGAAATATGTTTCTAAACGTATGTACTGACTACCTGCAGCCCTGAACCGCTCACTGACCGTTAGCCCTGTAGCACTCGGGTTTCTCATCACTCTATACGCAACCCTCATTACTCTTTTCGGTCTTGCTTGGGTGTTGTTCCTGATCGGTATGACCCTAGTTCTCATTCCTGGCATGCATAACACTAACCAAATGGCCAGGTTGGATTAATGTCGGTGGGCAGCAACTGTACATCATCAACGTGATTGACAACGTTCTTGTCGCTTTGTTCGCTATTATGGGTGACGGGCTAGCACCATTCCGTGCGATTGACACATACCACATGTGCTTCATTGCTCACTACACATTTCGAACATGGAAAGTCCGTCAAAAGCGTCAACTGCCAGATCTCAAAGATAAAAATGATCTACCCACTCGTCGCGAGATCGATGTCGACGTTGAATTCGGGGATATACCTAAAGATGAGGAGTATGAGTTCACCGTGCTGAACCGTCTGCAGCAGCAAAAGCTAGTTCACCATCAGACCAAATTGTCCAAGTCTCATACCTTCTATAAACCTCACGAAACACTGACGCACCACGCCTTTCCTCTTCGCATGCTCGTCGCCATTGTCGTCCTGCTAGACTGCCACTCCATGCTTCAAATTGCGCTTGGCGCCTGCACGTGGGGCATCAGTTATCACCACCGTCCCTTCGCCCTAACTACTGTCATTCTCTGTTGTTCAATTACTTGCAATATCACCGGCGGCGTCCTAATCATGGTTGGCGACCGAAGGACCCGGAAGAAGGATGTGGTGGAACGGCTGTTCCGTGAGCAACTCACTAAGGAAGCAATGAAGAAGGTCAATAAAAAGAAACAGAAACGGCAACAAAAAATTGAAGAACAGGACGAACCACGATTTTCGGTTTCCTCGCGCCCTCAGCCCTATGAGGGAACATAGAAAAGGCCTCGCCTTCTGTGACCATCCCATAAACCTTTTACGACCGCATGAGCTCTTCGTCCTCAATCGTACACGAATATACATACAAACCATGACTTTGATTTTGCTCTATTATACCTCACTAGTTTGGTTCCTTTCTCCGATGTTCATATATTTATCATGTACGCTTTTTTGTGTTGCTTTTGCTTTTGCTTTTCATGCTATTAATGTGCGATCTAGCTTTGGCATTTTGTATACGAATGTAATGCTGTCTTGTGCACTGTTGAGTTGTACTGTACTATACACAAGACTTGATAATCGTTTGAGAACTTTTTCAATGGCCATGAGCTATTGCTTTTGCTAGACATATCCTGTCCTACTATATTCTCTAACCTACCATAAACTACCAGATGACATAAACAATGCTCTGTCCATATATTACTGAAATCATACATACTGCACCTTGATTTTCTCATGACAATAACCACTGGGATAATCAGGAGAAAGTTTACTCAGCAGCCATCCTAAAATCTTATTTCGTTGTTAGGAGCATTGGTAAGCTACGCTCAAGACCAAACAGCATAGTGGACCATGTGTACAAGTCTAGATAGATACGAGGAGACGTTAGAAGAGCAGAGAGAGCCTAAGTGGAACAAAAGGAAAAGTTATTTTGAGATTGTTGTATGGACAGAGAGTGAGCGTACATGTACAAAGAAACTCTCCCGAGAGCTAGTCAGAACAAATCCAAAGCCAATATAGAAACACAAAGAAAGGAAAGATAATGCTCCGCCCAGCAGTATGCAAATCGATCGCTGATTCTTGTCGGAAATGACCTGATATTTGGATGTGGGAGGGCAAAGTAATATGGAAATCCAAACACCAAGCACCCGCTGGAGAAAAAAAGACGATAAATCCCAACATCTAGAAAGGAAATGTAAAGTGAGTGATGCTGAACTCAACTGTACAAGAGTTCAGGATAGAATGTTCTTCTGTCGTTGCCCCCTACGTCTTGGCTGCATCTTCCAAAGCAGGCCCGGCAGACAACACACCTTCTTACAACTCCGAATGTATTGTGTCCTCCCCTGTCGCCGCCCGCATTTGCCGATTGGCCAAGATCTTTTCAAGAGTGTCGAGCTTTTCCCGAGTGGTGCGTATAGCGTAGTCCATCTCGCGCACTGACATCTTCTCTTCGTCTAGCTTGTTAATGAAATCACGCCCGCTCTGGAGTTTTCGAGCTCTTTCATGCGCCCGTGACTCGCCTGGTCTGTTGACAGTTGGGAAGACCATGCCGTCCATCCCCACACGGTCCTCCAACCAACTCCACAGCTCGCTCTCCTCTCTTCTCCACATCTCCTCATAAGCGGCCAGTCGCTGGGGTAATGAATAGCCAGGGCATCCAATGTCGTGTGACAATATTGATGGCTGCGAGGGCGCCCGGAAAAAGATCAGGAAGAGCAATATACCAATGACTAGGACTGCCAAGTTTCCGTTCCACAGAGGCTTGAGAATACCAGCTACAGGTTCCAAAACTGCGCGTATTGGTTCCAGAGGTCCCCAAGTCTGTACCTGTTGCTTGGTCGCATCGCTTGCTGCTTTGGCAGCAGCAGCTGCCGCTTCCTCGTTGGCAACATCTCCCTTCTTGCGGCGTCCTTTCCCTTTACCTCCTACCTTAGAGGTGGCGCGAGCACGAGGCGCAACAGCAGCTCTCAGCGCACCGATGAGGTCGTTCCCAAATGTCCCCTGACCATCAATAGCACCCTTTTCGATAGGGCCTAAATCACATCAGTGCTTTGGCCTTAAAAGTCGAGAATATAAGCGAACTTACCTTTCAGCCAGCTTTTGCCTGACCATTCAATGGTACACGTCATTAAGAAACGGGTTTGGTTGTTTGCGGCCCAGGTGAACAGGTACTTCGTCTTGGTGCAGAAAACATTACCACTTGGTACGTCGGGAGTCTGAGTACTTAGTGTAACGAGAACTGCCTTCTCCAAATCTAAGAAATCCAGAGTTTCAGTACTGATGCATTTGGTTTGTTTAGGTCCGATGGACCCATTAAGCGGCTTGATGTACGAGTATTGTCTCGTCCTGCTTTCGTTGGTTAGACCACCGCTTTCAATATCGAACTGGAGCTCGCCGGATTTCTGATTGTCTACAAGAAACTTGGGCATAAAGTTTGTCGATGCTGGTCCAAACACATAAGAGTAAACCTTCCCAAGAGGAGCAGGAATAATCTCATCCTTAATCACTTTATCATACTGGCCTGCGGGATCGGTGTATGTTGTGGGACCATGGGTAGCAGGGCCAGGGAAGTCTCCATCTTTGTTTTCGTTTGATGTTTTTCCGCCTCGAGGGTCACCATTCGTGTTAGACGTTGTTGGGCTGTTGCCATTGACTGGAAGGTTCCCAGAAGCTTGTCGGCTGAGACCCTTGAGTGGCAGTGACTTATCACTTCCATTGACGCTGGCATCGCCAGGTTCAAAGAAACTATCAGCGTTATCACCGTCTTCGTCCTCATCATAAATCTCGTCTTCATCTTCACTCCCACCATCGCTCTCTTCTCCAGCCTTCTCAGTTTTGTCCCCTGTGCCCTGGTCGACCCTGGTGCCATTTACAGAGCTCTTGAGAGCCGGATGGTTGATCTTCCAAATGTTGACCATCAAATCGTAGGTAGACTCTCTGCTGAGCAAGCTTCGAAAAGTGTGACGAGCATGCAAAGTTTGAATGGCAATTGCGTTAGGGAATACCATCGCTGTTGACTCTTTCTCTATCGCAACGATCTCGTCAAAGCTGATAACCAGGGTTGTCACCCAGCCCAAGATATTGCTCGAAAAGCAAATGTGGCCCTCCGATACGTAGATCCGTCCGGCCAGGATGATCTCTCGTTGCAAGGCACAGCTATAATCCTCGATCAAATAATCATCCTCAGGAACGCTACGGAACAGTTGATGGAAGTCCCTGTTCCGCTTCTTACTGGCAACTGCAAACCCAGTCAGCCGTGGCACACTTGAATTACCACCTGGTATCCCTAGTGGCATCGTACTAGCCCCAGCAGCAGCAGCAGCTGTCGATGCCGTTGCTGCAGATGAGCCTCGATGACGCCGTCGAGTTAGGCGGCTGCGTACGCTTCCACTACGAGAAGGTCGGACGTTAATTTCACCATCTAATACGCTGCCGCTTGGAGAGGTATGGTCGCCGGTGGCGTCTCTCGGAAGTGAGCTTGTAGATTGTAGTTCTAGGCTCTCATCCGATGGCGGGAGCACCGAAACCTCTGATGGCTTCTCGTAGGCCATGGTGACCGCACGCTTGGCATGTTGATCTTCAAGCCTTGCAGCCTCTTCATCTCGCTGATGAACTGCGGTGTTCTTGCGCTTCTCGGATGATATGTCCGGCTTGGTAATGACAACACCGTCGGGTGTTGAGACGGATCCACCAGGCGGCACAGCAATATCCAAGTGGCTGAAGTCAAGATCCCCAGATCCTAGTGTCTCAATTGCCAATGGCTTTTTCTGTTCGGGTTTGCTAGATTCCTGCGCCTCGTTCGGGACACTTCCTCCTTCCTTAGTCGAGACATTTTCAGACTCCGTGGACACCTGTTGAGAGGGGCTGCGGGTCTTTGACTGAGTATTGAGGCTGCTGCTCAGCGTTGAGGCAGCGTTTTGTGCCGCACTAAAGACAGAAGAGAAAAACCCACTTTGTTGGCTGCCAGGGTTGGTCTTCGAGGCCGCCTTCGCTTCTTCAACAGTTGGGCCCAGAGCGGATATTGAGTTAGACAGCTTACTGGGCTTGTGGCTAACGGATGAAGCAGACCGTACACGCCGGTGTGAGATCATGTTCCCTGACGGGCTTACGACAACTCCCGGCGGCAGCGGGTCTTTCCCTTTCAAAGAGTCAGGCGAGTCGGTGACACTCGGAGACGAGAAGAGATTAGCGGCAGCTTCAATTCGAGGGGTAGGTGGAGTCACTGTAGTGTGGGGTGCTGGGATAGTACGACCGGGGGGCGTGGTTGGAGCAACGTGATCGGAGGGCTGCATAGGCTTCTCTTCCTTGATGTCGGTGCGAATTAGAGGTGGCAGAGGAGGAGGAGACTCGGCGACAATAGTTGGGCCTTTCTTTGACGATGTGCTGCTTCTCCTACTGCTTCCGAATAGACCTCCGCCTTTCTTGCCCTCACTTGTGGTTGAAGATGACCGATCGCGATTGGAATCTTTTTTATCCTGGCTCGAGCCGAATGCGCCTTTCCACCGTCTCCCTGGTGAGACGCTTCTTTTCTTGCCACCACGATCTTCTGGGACACCCAATGTCGAGTTTGGTTGAGACGGAGGCCTTGAGAGCTCTGTATCCGCGTTGGACTCAGAGTGGGCAGCGGCACTTGGCCCACTAACAGCAGATTCTACATCTGCCTGGGCACTATCAGTGTCATTCGCATCCGTGGACGTGGTCTTTATTAATGGTGAGGAAGTCGTGTAAAAACCAGCGTGGGACCTTTGAGTAGTGAGAGGGGGGTCCTGGAGAAATAGTGGCTAATCAGTATTCTGCTACTTCTCGGCGATACAGCGCCCGATGAAACGGGTACGACTCACCGCTCAGGTTCAGAGTCATCAGTCAATAGATTAACAGCATCATCTTGGGGCTTTTGGCTGTCGTTGTTGGCTGCGGATGAAGGCCTATCCTCAGAAGGTCCATCTGGCCTATCTTGTGTATCTTTCTCCCCTTCCAATTCGAATTGTGTCGGCAGCTCTTCTGTCGCCTTTTGGCTTTCCTTCTTCTTACGCTTTTTCCTAGCGGCAAGGAGTTTTGAAAATCCGCTGGGGCCAGCCTTTGCGGAATCTGTTCCTTCGCCCGCTTGAGATTTGGGTCTGTCGGAGGTAGAGTCGATCGACGACGAGCGGCCATTGCTCCTGCCAGAGCTTCCTAATGTATCATCAATGGAAGTTTTCGAGCGGTTAAGTTTGCCGATACTCTGCATGTCTAAGGAAGCCGGGTGGGCTTCGGGGTTTAGGGAATTGTCGTCCATGAGGAGTCGGTGAGGATCGAATCCGATTCAGATGTAACGTAATAAAGGTATTTCGAGCAACAGGATCACAAAATTGTAAGAGGGGCAAAAGACGAGAGATATGTGAAATGTCGAAGGCAAATGTACATGGTAGAGTACAGCGTGTCCCGCGTCGAAATAGTTCCTGATAGGAGCAGCGTATGAAGCTAGACGGAGGGGAAAGATACCGCCGGTCGGGAAGCCATCAGATTAGTCCTCTCTCCTCTTTTGGTGAATAATTTATGGGCAAGAGAGAAAGTACAAGAGTACTAATAAAGTAAAACGAGAAAAAAAGTGGTGATGAAGGGGAAAGTCGAGCGGGAGAAATGGGGGGGGAGAGAATGGGAATGACGAAGCGATCAGTTAACATCACCTCCGCCGTCGAGGTGACGGACGTAACTCGTTTTGGAGTAGTAATGGTGGACAAACTGCTGACTTACTACTTCAGGACTAGCGTCTAAGCCTTATGGGCTGACTCAGCCATCAGGGGGTAACATGACGATCATTAACCCTATTTTTATCAGCCCATGGCTAAATCTGGGTGGAGGTACTAAAATCGCCCATTTTTCTGAAGAGAATATGTAGACACTAAGTTTGAACTACACTATTCGCACACCTCACATTCATACTCACCTACAGATAAGCGCCAAGACGGAGCTATTAATAGACCCGTCATATTCCTATACTATTTAAATCAGTGAAAAGAACACGATATTCTCATCTGTTTAGATCACACGGCTCAGGAAGGACAAACATGATTGAGATTGACGGATCCTACCTAGCATCGGACTATCAGGGGCAACTCTGCTGCGAGAGAACCCCACTCGGAGGTATCCAGTCTCCGACCCGCCCAACAGTGCTGTTGCGAGTATATAGTACTCCGTATGCTCAACCCCTTAGCTATCTCGTGCCAAATTGTGGCTGTACGTAATTAGACTCGTATTCGTAACTAAGATGAGGTCGATGAATGGGTGGTGCTCGGACTCGTTTCCTAGCCGGCCTGCTGAGGATTGTCTCATTAAAAGACCGGTGCATTTATCAGATCCAGCTATAACAGACGGCCGTTTTGTTGAAAATTTCCTGCCACTAGAACGCTTCAATTTAATGTGATGTGCTTGATGCATTTCTACATGGCTATTCTTTTCAATAGGCCTCTCTGCTTTGGGTCATTAGTACGAGTCAGTGGGCAGGAGTCTGGACCAGGGTCTGAATATAAATACCCCGTACAATCACACTATCGCCCATGCAGGCATGATGCAGGGATCTGCAAGATTTGGTTGACCCAAGTTCTAGTATATCTCCAACCTTAATTAAGTAGAAAAACAACTCCTTATCATGTATCAGGCGTAACTAGTTACTAAATAACTTTCTTCCAAATATCAGATGTGAATTCAGCTGTTCTCTGTCATATTCTTCGTTGTCTCATGAGATATTTATATTATACTGCGTGCCTTAATACCCCGTACACCCACCTCATCTTCTAATATGGTGCTTTATTTAGGCCATGGTCGAGACTGAAAAAAGGGGGAGGTCTCCAGGACGATACCCTTTGGAAGTCCCTAGAACTAGTATCGTGTCGGTATAATATAATGTATTCAGGCCGTACAGTTCGACTTATATTATGTCATTATATTTATGGAAGGTTTATAGGGAGTGTTCTACGGAGTACTAATGGGGAAGTTGGGGATCATTTCGCGGTCTCAACATCGACACCAGCAGGGTCTTCGCTGAGTGGTAGGAGGTACTGATTTCTAAGCCAAACCAATGTACTGAGTAGAGCAAGTCAGACAAGGAAGGCAACTTTCGTACAAGTTACAGGTCAGTCAGAATGCAATCATCTCAGGCAAAAAGCTGCGTGGCAAGCCCTGCCCCTCATTAATATGAGACTATCGAATAGAGGTATCACATATGAGAGTACTCACGCTGACGCCGAGGCCGGATGGTTTTCCAACGAATGCTCAAGGATTGAAGGCCGTAAGCTTGCTCTTTGTGCTAAAGAATAAAACTTCGGTGTCATTGCTCAGGCTATTTATTGAAGCTAACTTAATATTCGCCCCTTTGGGGGGTGCAGATCTATGAGTTGGAAGTAAGAACCGTATGGGACACCCTACCGATAAAGCTACAATTTATACAATTACCAAAATAGTAAAACATCTTTTCAACAAATCCTCGATGGTCTAACGGTCATGATTTCCGCTTGTCATCTCATACGAGAACAAGCGCGGGAGACCTGGGTTCGACTCCCAGTCGGGGAGATATTTTTTGTTCTGTCCTCAAGTTCCGCAAGTGGACCTGAGGCTATTACTTCGTCTATTTAGTATTTTCCTTTTCTTTTTTTTTTTACCAATGAAAATATGGTCTTCTACATAACACTTCTTATAGGACATGTATTCTACATCTTATTTTAGGAAGCTGTCTCTGGAAACGCAATATTCTCAATGAAGCTTCCTCATTAGCATAAATATATGTTCCTTACGGCTTCTTGAAGTATCGCTCACGCAAGAACTCAAAACAGCATGCTGAGGATTTTCCAAGTCACTGGGATAACCAACAGCTCTACTTGAATTAAGGACAACATTATTAGCTCTTTCATGATTACCATTGGTATCTATCACTCATGGGCCCACTGGTTCGGAGACAGATTATTCACGGCGAGATGCTGAATCTGCGCCTGGCCCATCATATACTAGAAGTAGCATTCGTTGAGGGATACCCTAGCCCTACCACGTTCCTATGATAAATGACAGGACTAACGTACAAAGCCACGTCCCTGCTACTAATTCTTGCTTCTCAGGTCTGGAAGAAGGCGATCCAGGATTTGTCTAGCCTTCTGTCCGACAAGAGCCATTTTTTATCAAGATATAGTTTGTGGGCACAGATGCCATCAGAGCATGACTGAAATTGAAGCGTGTTACTATAGTAACTTCTACACCATCCAGGCTATATGTTCAGTTGGTGACCAAGTGAATAATGCTCCAAGAGTGATTAGTGCCAGACTCTCACCATGGACGCATTCTGACACAAACCATGAGGGCTGTACTAATCCTTCAACCACCAAGCTACACTCAAATCTCTCAAATAACTGTAGCTCCCCATACTCGAGGAACCCGGCAGTAAGCACGAACACCGGATCGGGAGAATATCGCCGCTTGCAACGCACTGGTTAACTGCGGTTGCGACGCTACACAGGCTGGAAAGGCGGGAAAAGTCCAAGAATAGCAACCCGGGAGAAGATTGCAACAGGGGGTTGCCTTCAATGCAAGTATGGCAGGGCGCACACGGTGTAACTAACGATGTAGTAAGAAGTAAGATGTACATTCTTGAGGGTCTAGAGTATGCGATCTAGACCTGGATGACTAAGATCGGTAACGGTACTGGTAAATTACCGTATAGGCTCGTGATCCAGGTAATGGCGTCACTCGTGTGGTGCGACACCAAGTTGCTTGTCACTCTTTCATTCCACAGTCACCATCAAGGCTGTTAGCTAAACAGTCGCTCCTGGGGAGAGCGATAGGTGATTCTTGCAGCTATGGAGACGGCACCGCTTACCTTGGTATGTCATTACCCAACACTGGGAGCTTTTTTGTGTCGTATACCCAGCCTGACAGATCTCCCCGCACAAGGCTCATACCCATGCACGGAATGCAGTTCTGGAAACCCGGAAGTCAAACCCAGTTGCCGCAAGCGAGGAACATGATCTGGCTGCGGGCGAGTTTGCTGCAGCGGCCCAAAAAAGCTCAGACCGTGAAGTATGCTCATCCGCTATCCCTTCAGGGTTTTCCAGACGCTCACATGTATATATCACACAGGCCCTGAGGACGCTACAGCTACTCGAGCAGCATCATAAAAGGCTCGCCCAGATCTTGCGATTTCAGCATGAGAACCCGCCCGCCGCTGCCTCGAGTACACAACAAGCGACTGTAGAATCAGGGGGAGCGAAGACAGATACACAACAACACCCACCAAAGCTACTAGGCCATGCTCGCCTACCGGCAAGGGAGACTTCCTCAATCGCTAGTAATTTGGCATCGGCTCGAGGCATCCCGTCACAACCACGCCGTGGCTCCCCAGTGTCACCTACAGTTTCCTCGCAGCAGGCTGGGGCGAAGATGACAGAGGGACCGGCGAAGATTAGGACCAGTGAGGCTAGATTACGAGAAAGACAGGCCTATGCGACTAAGGAACGTCCCAATCGGACACCATCTAAGCAGTCATGGAACCCACCTGCAGCCAGCCCTACCGACATCACCTCGCAACAGTTCGTACCTCCGGACGTCGAGTCATCCCATCACAAGGACAGACAAGCCACGTCCGAGGAGCCATTTCAACGGTTCTATTCCACCTTTGAAGGACTTATTTCCAAGCTGTCCGCACCCTTGGCTTTCGCAGGCCTCCCTTTGGGGTCAGACACGTCGGAAAAGGCTGAATCTATCCGCAAAACGTCAGCAGAGACGAAGGTGGATCGGCAACCTGCAGTTTCCGATCGCCAGGGCCAATTCGGGGACACCGATATCAACAAAATATTCTCACGCGCTGCATTACAAGCTGTCCGAGATTCAACGGGTGGCGGAACAGGAAGCGCGGCGGAATCGTTCTACGTCGTGCCCACAACAGGCGGAACTGTTTCCTATGCTGGAATCTTGAGCAGGGCCGAGAAGGAAGCCCGAAGAAGTAGTTTCGACGAGGGCGACGAGGACTTCGTGGACGCCCGTGAGACACCGCCATCACCCGAAATGCGTCAGAGCATGACGGGGAGCAAGGGCCGGGGCACTCGAGGCAAAGACAAACTTACCAGTATGCAGAGCCCTAAGACTCTAGAGGAACTGCAGATGGAAAACCAAGCTCTGAAACATCTGACTGATACACTGTCCAAACGTCTGCACATGTGGGAGGTCAACGCGCAATCATCTTCCATCGCTCTGCAGCAATCCCTGAGGGCAATGCATCATCAAAATGGCCCATCCCCAGAGCACTACCCTCAGCCTTCTCCTGCCGTCGCTTCACCTATCGCTCCCCTCTCCACGCCAGCCGCAACAGATCAAGAGCAACGCATCAGAGAGCTCGAGGAACTAATCCAGCAGAGCGAGAAAGAACTCGACAAGGTAGGTCGTGAGAACGACAAGCTACGAAACGTCCTGGGAAAGTACAGAGATCGGTGGGAGAAGCTGAAGGAGGGTGCAAAAAGTCGGCGAGAGGGCAGGCCAACTGGAGATAGGAACAGCTATGCAGAGCCTAGCACGCCGGTCCGTACTGGCAGTACCAGCTCACAGAAAGCGAATGAAACCACGCAAGTACAAGCCGAGGCTGGAACCGAAAATGATACCAACTCCAGCAATGAACCTGAAAACAAAACCGACTCTTCTAACTGAGCCTTATTCTTCATCCTTGATTCCCATCGAATCTAAAGGACGTGTTGAGTTCGCCAACTTAGGGTCCTGCACGGAGCATGGGACGACGATTACTTTCGCTGAGAGATGTACGATACGTAGCATCACGCATATTCTTCTTCTCTTATATTTGTCCGTTTTGCGTTTGTGAACTGTTTTTCGGGTTTATTATGAAGGAACTGCATGATCAACACCAACTCGATCACTGCACATTCGGGGAGCAAAAGGGCATGCAAATACGCATCAGCCTATGAATCACGGTAATTTACGAGTCATGTCCAACAAAAAGTGCCATATCAATGATAACTGAGCAAATATATGTATAATTCAAAAGTTCTGGGTCAGAATCCACCTTAGACTCCACCAACCCACAACCCCAAGGCTAAGCCCCCCTAATCACTGCACATAGAAAGTAGCGTTACCCCGAATATCCTCAGAGCTACTGCCCACAAGCACCCCAAAAGCCCCCGGCTCCACAACATACTTCATGCGTAGATTCCACAGGCCCAAATCCTGCACCTGCAACGGAATCTCCACGGTCTTGCTCTGCCCAGCCGGAACAACCACCTTCTTGAAACCCTTCAGCAACCGATTCGGCACCACCACCGACGCCAGCTCATCAACAACATACACCTGCACGACCTCCGTGCCATCCCGCGCCGCATCCGTATTCTTCACCTCCACACTCACCGTCACGGTATCCGCCGCCGTCACATTCGTCTTATCAAGCGTCACAGCCCCATACTGGAAGCTCGAGTAACTCTTCCCATACCCGAAGGGATACCACGCCTTGGGGTTCCCAAGAGCATACTGGTGCCCGAACTCCAGCGTCCCGTTCGAATACACGTACCCTGCATCGCCGATATCGCGCGCCGAGTTCAGATAGTCATAGTAGATGGGCAGATCGCCGACGGAGCGCGGGAAGCTGACGGACAGTTTCCCGGAGGGATTGTAGTCGCCGAACAGCACGTCCGCGAGGGCATTGCCGCCCTGCTCGGAGGGGTAGAATTGCTGGACGAGCGCGGCCGTGCTGTTCGAGAGCCAGGGTTCCGTGACGGGCTTGCCGCTCGAGAGGACGACCACGGTGGGCACACCCGTGTCGACGATCGCTTTGATGAGGGGCGCTTGGGCGCGACGAGGTTGAGACTGTTTACGTCGACGTGCTCGCCGGTTCTGGGGTGTGATGTTAGTTTCTTCGTTCCAAGTTGGTTTGGGAAGGGTAGTTTACGTTGCGTTGAGGCCGGCCCAGAGCTCCTTCTGGTCGCGAGACCAGGTGCCCACGACTACGACGGCTACGTCGGATTTCTGGGCTGCTTCAACGGCTTCGGCGAAGCCCGACTGGTCGTTGCTCCAGCGTTCGCAGCCCTGCGCGTAGTTGACGGTCGCCTTGTCGCCCACGGCGGCTTTGATGCCGTCTAGTGGGGTCACGCCACGGTACTGGCTTTCGTAGACGACGTAGTCTCCGTACTATATGTGTGTGCGTGCGTCAGTTAGCATTATTCCTGGGATAGTATGCATGTCCAGATGAACCCCGAGAAGACCAGCAAGAACTCACGTTCATGAAGCCATGCGCCATGGGTCCGATAACAGCAATGCTGCCGCTCTTCTTCAGGGGGAGCGCGTTATCATGGTTCTCCAGCAGAACGATCGACTCCCGATCTAGCTCGCGGGCAAGATCAACAGCCTCCTGAGTATGGATGAGCTTGTGCCACTCAGACGCTGGAGCACCGTTATAGGGGTTCTCGAAGAGGCCCATTTCGAACTTCGCACGGAGCAAACGTGATACGGCCGTATTGACGATTTCAATATCGAGCTTGCCGGCATTGACCAGGTCGACGATCGTTTCGAAGTTGCTATCTCGTGTTAGGCATGCATCAGCTAGTAGGCAGAATGACACTCACTATGAGCCGCCGCCCATCTCGACATCGTTTCCGGCTGGGAGCACGGCGAGTGTCACAGCTTCCTTGTCGATGGGGTCGGCGCGGCAGAGCTTGAAGGCTGTGCAGAGTCTGTCGGTTGCGCCGGCGTCGCTGGTTACCCAGTATTTGAAACCCCATTCTTCGCGCAGGATTTCGGTGAGGGTGTGGTAGTCGGCTACGGCGGGGATGCCGTCGTATCTATATATGGTTAGGAATAGAGTGAACGAAGATGATAAGCGCAACCAGAATGTATACTTACGAGTGGTACGCACTCATGATACTCCATGCTCCGGCATCCATAATCGCGCGCTTGAACGATGGCAGCCAACTATATCGAATTGGTTAGCCACTGCTACGTAGAACCCTAGTTGATTAGAGCGGAGTACATACGTTGTGCGCAGATATCTCTCTCCACCGTGAACAGGTGCAGTGTTCAGGCCCTGTTCGGGCTGGGAGAATCCCACAAAGTGCTTAACGTTGGCGGAGACATTGTGACTTTGGACTCCCTTGGTATAGTGGTATCCGATTTCTCCTGCGAGATACGGGTCTTCGCCGTATGTCTCTTCCACCTGTAAACGACTGTTAGGTCTGTCCTGTTAAGAAAGCGTAGGGTCAAGACCTACTCTTCCGAATCGCAGTTCACGGGCAAGATCAACCACCGGTCCCATCAGGTGGTTGACTCCAAGGGCCGTGGCCTCCTGGCTGATGAGACGTGCCATTTTTTCGATCAGCTGGGATTGTGTGTTAGCTTCGCTGGTCTGGGGGTCTGAGCTGTGGGAGGGAGGGCTCACTTCCGGATTGAACGAGCATGCGAATCCGATGGGGGAGTTATAAATCGTTGCGTTACCGATTAAGAATCCGTGGAGAGCTATGGCATCCAAGGCTGTCAGTGCAGGTCTCAGCGAATCAAACATGACTAGAACATACACTCGGTTTGAACAATGGCGGGAATTCCCAGAGTGGTGTTCTGGAGAATATAGTCCTGAGCTCTCTTGACGTTATCTGCGATGAAATCCCACGGCACAGGATATCCAACTGGACAACCATCGCTCGTTAGCTGCTGTGAGTATAATGGGCGAGGTCAATTGCCTACCGTAGAACATTCCACCCCTCATTTCCGTACTCCATTCCAAACCCGTGAGGTTAAATTCTCCAGTAGTCTCATTCATCCAGTTGGTGATATCGCCTGCAATAATCAATTAGTACGTCACGTCCACCGTACAGCTGCTGGTAAAAGCGGGCCAGTTCCAATCGCACCCTGAATCAATTGAGACATCTTCTCCTCGAGCGTCATGCGGCCTAGCAAGTCGCTGACGCGCTCCTCCACCGGAGCGCTGGGATCCTTGTAGAGAGGCTTCTCATCTTGACCAAGCGACAGGCCGGACAAGAGGCCCAGGAGCAGAAGCCCCTTCGTAAAGACACCGGAAACCATTTTTCTCGATGAAGACGAGTTTCCTGGAGTAATTGTGTCGGCCTCCACGCAGAAACGGAAGAATCGCAAAGAACCCCCCCTCGACGAGGGGAAATGCGACGACTTTAAATTTCAGGGCATTTTCTCAGCATGGGTTAGCCCGCCGGAGAAATGAAATGAGCTCATGGAAAAAAAGTATTAAACCCCACACAGGCCGAATAGCAGGCCAAGGCTAGCTCTCTCCACACCCAGGTCGGCTTCAGTTTAGGAGCTGGCTCCGGGTCGAATCCATGCGTCGTATAGCTCGCATGATGTCAGGCGCCGATGATTCTCCGGAGGAGGAGAGCAAAAGGCATTTCAGCATCTCGAGTGGATCAAATGGATCGCGTTGAACAAATAAAGGACCAAGAATGGGAGATTGGGAGACAGGCAACAGGCTTTCGGTGAATCACGATGCATACCGTCAGCACTGTCAGTCCGGCTAAAGAGCACGGCTGAAATGCGAGGGAGGTAAATTAATGAATGATCCACGAATGGCCTGAGGATGTTTTGTCTCCGCAATTTAATGAATGCTTGCATTGGGGCGTCTTGGCTGCCGATTCCCTTTCGCACGGCTTTCACGGCTAAAATGCATTGCTCGATCCCCGTTTGGCCCAAACTTTGGAAGATTCCTTTCGGAATAATCGGAATATGGTGATAGTTCGCCATCCCTGGAAGTCTGAGGTTATGCTTCAGCGGCTTATCAATCAGGGTCCTAGGTTAAATATCCGTGGGTGGTATATGATCAGATCGTGGTCCACTTGTGCTCGGAATGCTTGTCGGTATCCACTTCTCCATCGTGAACAGACACTAAAACCACTAGAGCCGGTCTCTCGAATGGCAAAAAAGTGGATAATTGCACCATAGTCATGATCCTCAATTTCATTAACATTTGTCTATCATAGATACCTATTCTAACGCAGTCATGCCGTTTCCCTCCGCCAGATCTTCATCGGCATCTCGCCCATGATCAGGTTAAACGCCTCGAACCGCCCGAGCTTCCAATTCGCCGGCAGCGCAAAGTCATACCGATGCACCAGTGTCGCAAGTACAACAGTCTGCTCCAGATACGTGATATTCCGTCCGAGACATCCCCGGGCCCCCGTCGAGAACGGGACAAAGTACGGCTCCATGCGCTTCCGGTTGTCCAAGTCCATCCATCGGTCCGGGTTGTATTCCTCGGGATCAGGGAAAATGTCAGGGTCCCGATGAGCCGAATAACTTGTCATCGACACGCTGGTGTCACCCGGGATCCATTCGTTCAAGATCTGAGCCCCTTCCGGCGGGGTCCGTCGGGGCAGGCCAGCTGATGTAGGGGGGATCAGGCGCAATGCTTCATCTAAACACGCGCGTAGGAACGGAAGGTTCTTCACTTTATCGTATGGTGCGACCACTTCCTCTTCGTCCAGAGCGCTGTCCACCTCTTCCCGCAATCTCTGCAGGTACTTCGGATGTCTGATCAACATATCCAAGACTTGGGTTAGGGCAATCGCGGTGGTGTCGGCCCCGGCGTTGATGATAGCGCCTACTTCGGCGACGATCTCGCCCCATTCGAGGTTGTTGGGGTGGCCTGCCTTATCCTCCATGAGCGAGGAGAAGAAATCATCCAGTTTCTCTCCGCTCTGGTACCGCTGTAGCCGAGTAACGGCTTGGTGGTAGATCACGTCGCCCCACGGCTCCCCATCTTTCCACATCTGGCGGTATTTGGGAACCAACTTTGATAATGTAGAAAGCCAATGAAAGTACTTGTAATCCCAAACGAAGAGTGACTGCGCGTGTGCGGTGCTATCCTGAGATTTGCGATACCGAGCTGGGTACGTTGTCCCGTCCTTTCTCTGGGCGGTGACCTCGTCGGATCCCTTCTCCAGCAGCCCTAGGGTGGACGAAAGGGCGATGAGGTTGATCGCCTCGATCGTGAACAGGTTGATCCATTTATTGTAGTCCAACGTGAGATCTGCCGCTTGGGGTTCTGTCTGGCCTGGAAGCAACGGGAGTGTACAGTGCGCATCCAACGCTTTGACAAGGCGACCGGTCACGTTGGCCACCTTGTGTTCCCACCTCTCCAGGTTCTTGATGGCGAAAGCGGAAGACATTCGCTTCCGCTTCTTGGCATGATCCGCTTTATCGATGACGTCGAAGAGGTGTGTGTGAGAGCCCCATGTCATAGCATATTTGATGTCTTTAACGCACGGCGTGTTGTGGCCGTACATATCCTTGACCGCACTGGTACGGCCGAAGGAGAGCGAGTTGGGTCCAATGCGCAATATTGGTGCATTTTTGTGAGCTTCGTATAGGTCTTTGGAACGATAGCCACACGAGCTGAGGTAACAGTAAGGAAGGTCGGTGATACCCGCGAGGGGGGCGAAGTTTGGGTATTTGCGAAACCCTTTAGGGTCGTAGAAGTAGTATATGATAGGGAGAATGAACACGTACCCTACCCCAAGGACAAGGGCACCAGCAGCAGCCAGAACATAGATTCCCGGCATCTTGGGGACGATGTTTTGGATCTTGTAAGCTGACTGACTGAGAGTTCAGTTCCCAAGTCCCGCCCACTTCCTCAGTCTATATATACCATTTCAGAATATCGGTATATGAATGTCATTTCCCGAGCGTGACCTCATCTTGAACAAGTAAGACTGCAGAGAGCAAGGTCCGAGCTTCCCCAAAAGGCTATTGAGGGCCTCGCCGTTCGCTCATGCAGAAAGATTTGCCAGATAGACTCGACCCCGATGTTGATCTCATGCAGATGAAGCGATTGACCGGGGAAGCCCTAACCCTCCCAATGGGGAAATGCTTCCTGTTCTAGAAGTGGGAGGTTAGCCTTGTCGGCCTCTGATTTGCCCAAAAGCATTTGGCCGGCAACCAAGCGGGGAAATTTTACCCCAAGTTTCCCCACAGTTTTCCCCCCGCAACTCATGTTCAACTACCATTTCCATGACCATGTGGTTATCGCCAGCCCTCAACCAGACATAGGAAATGAGCAGTTCTGGGAAGCACAGGCCGGCTGCGTGTAGGAGATGCAAAGGTCAGTACTACCACCCGTAAAGGTAGAATTCCACGCCGCTAACGTCAGAACATCCAGATCGGCATTTGCGATGTGAGTCTTCCAGCCAGGGTACTCGTGCGAACAGATCACCCTGTGGTACTGACTGACTGCTGCCAATAGGCGACGGAGGTAACCCCTGCAAAAGCTGCAGACAGGCCAGCTCAAAGTGTGACCGTGGCGCCAAGAACTTCAAGTTTCGACACGAGCCAATACCGAAGCGCAGGTTCCATTTCTCTTCGGATCAGAAATGGGTTGGCCTGCCTCGGAAAGGTAATTCATCCCGCCCATTGCACTTACATGGGAGAAACGTACACCTACTTCTCGCGATTCTGACTATACGAAGGCCGCCTCCATTATGTCCATATGAACCCGGATGGTCGTCAGGAAAGCGACGACGACGACGACGATGATGATGACACTGAAGCGAGCCAACCTGATGCCGCCGGCTCTAATGCTTCTCCATCGCCCAGCTCCATGATATGGAGAAAGGGCCAGAAACCACATTCACTTCCAGCATCTACCTCCGTGAACACTAGCCTTGACCACCATGGGGAAGGGCTTGGGCAGAGCCATCGAGACTCGAGGCACTACAGCATTTCCAGTTTCAGTGCAGTCGCGGGCTCTAATGAGCCGTCTCCACAGTCAGCTTCTTACTATGCCCAGACTTCTGCATATGACCGCTTGTCTCAACCTACCGACCAACCCCTGAATGCTTTCCCAACACAGCGAGATCATTACCGCCTGGGGCCTTTGAAAGGCGTTCCCCAAACCTTCTCGGAGGCCTCCTACACCAGTGACCTCCAGGAAGCATGCTTGATACGCTACTTCGTGGAGAGACTAGCTCATTGGGTACTCTCTCCCCTCCATTCCCATTAAAACGATACATGATCAACCGCCGTAAACGAGACAAAACAGCTAACCACCCCCAGTTCGACGCAACCGACCGGGACCGGCACTTCGCACTGACAGTCCCCGGCCGAGCAATGTTCTGCCCGGTACTCCGATACGCCCTCTTCACAGCATCAGCGGGCCACATGCGACAAGCCCTAAAATGCCGCAACAACGCCAACGGCACCGTGATCTACGACGGCATCCCGCTGCCGGGTCTCAGCGAAGACTCGGCGATCCGCTACCACAACATCTGCATCTCATACCTGATCGAGATCTCCAAAGACCCAAACGAAGACTACAACGAAGACGTGCTAACAGCCGCGACGATCCTCCGCTTCTACGAGCAACTAGACGGTACCCCCCCCTCCCCCATAATATCGTAACCCCTTCCACACACACAAACTAAACCAAACCAAACCCCAGCCCCCTCAATCGGCACCGACACCGAAGCCTACCTCAAAGCGGTGCAATTCATCGTGCACACGCAAAACAACGACTCCTTCTACGCGGCGCAAACCATCCACGGCCCAACCCACGACAACAACATCCACTCGTCGCCGGCCATCTCGCTGCGCCACTCGGCCTGCCTCATCGCGCTCCGGCAAGAGATCTGGAGCGCGTTCCTGCACCAACGACCCGTGCGGCTCCCCATCTCCCCGCAGAACGATTACAACGCCTTCCCCACCACCTGCGACTTCATCTGGGCCAACCGCATCCTCGTCTGGTGCGCCGACCTGCTCAACTTCACCTTCGACAGCCACACAAGCACCAAGTACCCGACGCACGCATCCCGTCTCGCAAAATGGACTTCCCTCAAGGCCGTCGAGACACACTGGAATACCCACAAACCCCTCTCCTACAAACCGATCTACTATGCCGCCCCGGAGCCGGACAAGGCGTCCTATTTCCCGACCATCTGGCTCATGAATGATAGCCAGGTCGTGGCCGAGCAGCATGTGGAGCTGGCCCGGATTCTGCTCGCCGTGTCGAATCCCGGGATGCAGCGATTGGGGGCCGGGGCCGGAGCGCTGAATCGGGGCCTGGAGGCCGAGTTAAGGGCCATTACAAGGAGGGTCATTGGATTGGGGCTGGGGAATCGGGCGGGCCCCCCGGCGTTGGTAACCAGTGCGGTGGGGATCTCGATTTGTGGGGAGTATTTTGATGATCCCGGGGAGAGGGAGGCGTTGGTGGGGTTTTTGGTGGACTTGGAGTTTGAGTATGCTTGGCCTACTAGTGGTATTGTGGCGGCGTTGAGAAGTGCTTGGGCGGCGTAGGAGTTGTTTTGATAAATAAGGATTTCAATAGATATATATAGATGTGTCTTGGGCGCTTTTGGATATGTGGGAGCGGTGTAATGTGTATGAGCAATGTTCGACTAGTAGATACTGCACCATGCTATGAGTATATACTGCTAATAAGTATGAACGGACCGCAGTGGAACCTCTAAACGTTTGTATTAAACACTATAACCTACAAAATGCCAACAAGTTATTGGCTGGTAGACTCAAGTCTACCCAAGAAGCTTCTCAACGCAGATGCAATATGTACTAACAATGCCAGTGAGCCAGCCACCCAGAAGAGTGTTTTTACGCCTGCGTATTTGCGCCTGTTTCCTCCTCATTGCCCTGTGACTCGGCGATCTGCTCATGCCCATTGCCGTGGCCATTCACTTTGCGTAAAGTACCACCCAGCCATGCTAGGCCTCCACTCCAAGAGTCACTTAGACTTCGAATCCGGGAGACAGAAGTAGAGGCATCGGGCTGCACGCTTTGTGGAGCATTCTCTGTATCTAAGGTAGTGGTTGATTGCCCGGCAGTAACAGGAGCGGTGGCAATGTCGCCGGTAGAGTTAAACCTCGCAGTCGGCAGCACACCGCGGGGGTCCAGGCCCTCTTCGATATTGGCGGTTTCGCCGTCACGGCTGCGAAGGAAGCCATCTACAACGGTTGTACTGAGTTGCTTGCCCCGATGCCTCCGCACGAACTTGCGATCTTTTACCGGGCTCGTTTCACCACGGCGCAGGGATTCTGCTACCACTGCACTGAACCCGGCGGAAATAGTCGGAAGCAGCGGGCCTGGCGAGAATCGTGATGATATCGAATTCCGTAGTCGGCGTGCCGGTGGCGTCTGTGGAACAGTATTGCTTCGGGACCCTGGCGGTGCGGTTTCCGTTCCCGATGCGGTAGGAACTTTGAGGCTACTGTCTTCGATGCCAGGTGCAGGTGGGAAACGAAGAAGAACCGGCGAGCCAGATGTTGTCGGCCTCGACTGTTCAGGAGTGGCTGGGCGGTCAATTTGGGGTATTTGGGGTTCGGACTTGGGGGTTTCAATGGCCGACTCATGAAATTCAGCCCAAGGATTGGTTAAGAGAGAGTTAGGGTGCATGGGAGGAGAAGGCTCCGGAGAATGCTCGGTGAGAGAGTCGGCAGTCAAGGAACCGACAGGAGAAGATACAGCAGCAGACAGAATGCCGCAGGGCGTATGCTGGCCCTCGTCAACACCCGCAATACCGTGACTCAGGAGCGACCCAGAGGGGGACCGCAGGCGCTCTCTCCGGGGTTCCAAAGGCGTCCGGGAAGGTTTCTGCACTCTTATATGGCGCGCAGGTGGTGACATGTCGACACTATCACGATATCTCTCTCCCGTCAGCAGACCAATAGCTTCCTCTTCGTCATCAGGCGAGTATGAAGACTCGTCGTCACTGCGGACCCGGCCACTGGTGATGAAATAGACGCCTAGAAAGGTCAGGAGACAACCGCCCACGAACTTTCCAGCACGATCGAGGGTGTAACTCTCAAAATCCCGATACAACACGGCGCTTCCGATGATCACAGAAAGTGTGAAAAGCACAAACTGGGTTGGGATCACCTGGGTGGAATCAAAACGCTGGAGAGCACGGTTGATGTAGCGAATCTGTAATATTGCACTGGAAACCAGGACAAAAACCAGAAGGTAAGTGATTGGGAATGTTATCACATGCCATAGGGTGAAAGACAATAATGACGAAACACCCTTTGTTGATAGAGCAGTATATCCACCTAAACATGAGAATAAGCAGTCGTCCAAACAGGTACAAGCGGATGGAAGCTTATGTTCACATACCAAAAAGTGCCACAAGCCCAACATCAATCAAGACCGTCCGAGACCCGTACTTTCCACTTGCCCATAAGAGCCCAATGATCAATACGGCGGAGATGCCTACATACGTTTCAAACTCCCAGCGGGTAATCATCACCCAGATGTCATGCGGTCCGATCTTCTCCTCGGAGGAACTAGCGCTGAGAACGACCACCACTGCACCGGTGACCGCCACGACCACACCCCAGAAGTCGCGCCCACGGAATTTCTCCTTCAGCATAATCGGAGCAATGACGCAATTTGAGATCAAGGCTACAACGCCCAATGGGGAAACAATCGACGCTGGAGCAAAACCATATGCCATGAAGTTCCCAATCTCGCCGACGCACATCAACACGATTCCGACCCACCAGTACGGAGAGCGAAGGTATGATTTCCGGCGCAGATCCCCCGGTCGCACAGTTCGATCCGACATGAACGATTCGTTCATTTCATTCTGATGCGCATCCGTGTCCATGTCGTCATCGTCCTCGGGTCCGAGATCAATATCGGGCTGGTCGTGATGGACAAACCTCACCTCTGGGGACTCGTCCCGATAACGACCGAAGCTGCGGGACTGGTTTCTACCCCGTGTTTCGTAGTCGCTGTATTCATGCTCCGCAACCGAACCATAATGGTCTGCTGAGCCCCGGCCCGCATTTGCGCGTTTCCATTCGGCCTCCTTTTGCAGTTTTTGATGCTCCCATTCTCGCTCGATCCTGATATGAGCATAGCGCTGAATGTTTAGGGCCAAGGAAATCAGGACGTTGCCAATTAGCGCAGTCACGATACCGATGAGAGAAGACCATTCATGCATTCCTCCCCCACCTCCGCCGCCGTCGTCATATCCGGGATCTGAAGCTAACGTCGGAGATGGCTGGGAAGAAGGGGAAACATATGACGGCGAGAGGGTCGACGTGGGAACGGCGGACGAAACGAAGGTCGTGAGCAGACCCGCTGCTAGAGGCACCTCGTGGAGGCGATCCATCCGGGATTTTCGAAGGCTAAACGTAAGGGGAATGAAGGGGGAGGGTATAGGGACGGGGAGGAGGGCGTTCCGACAGGTCCGCTGTCACCGTCGAAGGGAATCGTTACAAAGTTTGAGCCCCAGATTATTGATTATCCACCACCCCCTGTGATTTAAGGAGAGAAAGCAGGCAACGGCGCGGTTCGCCTCCGATACTTCAGCGGGTAGAATTCTTCAGGGTTCAGTTCCGCTTCGACCCTGGACGATTGTTCATGCTTTTGTTAAGGAGAACCACATTGCCGTACTTCCGACACTACTAAATCTCCGAAGTGAGACACCACCCTTTACCAGGAAACGTGAACTACCACGCTGCGCCTTTCACCGAATTCAAGGAGAAGGAATAACCAAGTCTATGAATATCCACCTTGTGCGAAATCGAACGACTGTTTGTGTCAAGCACGATTTGCGATGTGGAGTCAGTTGGCGGAAGGTAGCCGAAAGACACCGGCGGCGACGTCAGGAGTCAGATTCGTAGTTCACTGGGCGTGGTAAGCTAACACCCGATCGGTCGCACGTGCAATACCGCTAGTTAAAGATGGTGAGCATAAGCCCAAGCGCAGCATCGTGAAAGGAAAACCGGAAAGAAGTTTTGGGGGGGGGGGGGAGGGAGGATTGGAAATTCCAAGCTAATGTATTTTCCAAACTAGTAGAAGAAGGCAGAACAGCACTATTGAAAGAACTAGCGGAGTGATTGGCTCAACCCTGACTAATGACCCTTCCGGTAACAACTAAGTTAGCAGTTATGGATTTACCCCAAACGTCATCGGGCAGCTGAGATACTAGTGTCCATACTAGTCAATCATCTGAGTACTTCTATGCATCTGTGCGCTCAGGCAGCGGTGAAGTTTAATTATATATCGGTACAATCCCTATCACTACACGACGTGACAAGTAAGGCTTATACTATCAGAGGCACCGTCGCATATACTGTACAAAAATAATCATCGCCTGGCTCTTTTTTTATCCGGTTCTGGCTCGCCTTCATCGTCACTAAGCTCCCGATATATCGTCTTCGGCTGAGTTTCCTTCCATGCCTTAGTGAAAACTGGGTCCTTCTCGGCCTTCTCGGCGTACTTCAGCAACGCTTCTCGGGGATCCTCATCGCGCATCGAACTGAGAGGAATATTCTCTCGGATATGTTTCTCATCCGGCTGTGACTTGGCGAAGGGAGTCGTTGCCGGCAGATGAGGTCTCCGTGGATCCCTGGGCCGCCCCGAGGCTGTGAGCCCAACGGTTGGGTGTCGGGAAGACCAGGTTGCCGAGCTATAATGGGGCACACCGTTCGATCCGACGACAACGTTGTCGCCCGAGATACCTTGCGAAAGATCCATGGTAAGGTTCGGGTCATCATCGATGTGCCGGCGTTTGGGTGCTTTGGACATAACCAAAGCGGCACCCTTGGACGACATATCAGGGTTGTAGAGTACATGTGTCTCAGCATTGGCGGAGCCCGTGAGGATCTGATTGAGTTTCTCATGCCATTGAACTGTAATCAAAGGCGAACCCGGTGTGACCGGTGTGACCAATTCCGGTTTCAATGTAGCGGGGTTCAAGATGTGTAAATGGCCAGTTTCCGAGCCCGTGAGGACATTCGCGGACGTGGGTGAGAATACGATGTTCGAAGTCGGGTATCGGGAGGAGCTTGATGGGTGTGTCACTGTTGTAATCGGTTGCTTGAACTTCCTAGTATCCCAGAGCTTGATGGTGTCGTCTCCGCCCTTGGTGACAACCAGTCTTCCGTCAGAGCTGATATCCAGCCCGCTAGTCCATGTGTCACGCGTATGGGCATCCCGAATCTCACCACTAGGCCGAGTAAATGGTCCATTGCCACTCCACATCATTAAACTTCCGTCAAGGGCAGCAGCAACAAGTATATTAGGTCCACCTTGCTTTGGGGAACCCCATGCAACAGCAGTCATCTTGCTCCGACCAGCGGATCCAGCCGCTCTTGACTTATGCATAATGACTTCTTTCTGTGACCGCCCAATATTGGCGTCCCATATACGTACCGTACTATCTGATCCGGCAGTAGCACACAAGTTCTCGTCAGTGGGACTCCATGCAGCGCTGGTAACCTCCGATATATGCCCCTTGGTATTATGAAGATCTCTCAAGTACATGTCTCCTTTCACAAACTCAGTAACTGTCTCGCCGTCGCGATCAAGGATTCTCGGCTGGGGTGTAGCAGAAACGACCATAACATAGCTTGGCGACAGGGGATTGAACGCAGCATAATGCACGGAATGCGCCTCCTGTGCAGCAGACTGTTTTTTCGCGGTAGGATCAACGGACTTGAAGGCGCGCACCGTCGAAGGTGTCATCGAAGCGAAATCATGTAGTTTAATCGTACAATCTGTTGACCCTGTGATTAAACGCGAGCCTGATGGGTCCACGGTGAGAGTTGTCACGGCGCGCTCATGAGTTTTAAGGACGAGCTCATGCGAGACAGGGAACTCATCCTCATCGTCATCGTCCGAGTCAGAATCATCAGAATCATTATCGCTGTCGCTCTCACTCTTGTCTTTTCGATCTTCAGCCCCAGTATGAACGTTAGCTTGCTCGTCGCTAATCAAGTCCGCCTTGTCATCATCGGCGGTAGCTTGGCAGACACATTTGTCCGCTTGGTGCGGTCTATCTGCGTGTTGACATCGGTCTTTTTTTCTTGTTTCCCGAAACTTCCCGGGAAGAACTTCTTGAAAGCTTCTTCGTCGAACCCGTCCATTATGAGATGTACTGTATGGGGTTACTCGGATTTCGCAAAATCAATGACTTGACGGCGGCGATATCGAGTTTAGTTTGCATTAATTGCAACGTTTGTATTGTTTGCAAACTAAGCTCTCGGTGCCGTCATTGATACAGCCTTCGCTTGTCATGTTATAATTTTGCTATGTAGTGGAATCGTACTGTATATATAAGATATGCTAATATATGACTGTAGACTCTCTACGTCATATAATGCGTTTGTGTCATTGAAACTAAACTAGGTACACCGCCAACAGATCGCCTACAGGTATAAGCCTTCCACAGGACCTCCGTCTTGCTTCGTCTTCATGATACGCTCTCTAGCGGAGCGGAAATCCTCCATTTGCACTCTCATGCGGCGTTCTCTCAAAGCCATCAAGCCGGCTTCGGTACAGATCGCTCGGATGTCCGCACCTGAAAGATCGTCTTTCTGGTTGATAAACTCGTCAAGATCGACGTCATCACCGAGTGACATCTTGGATGTATGCAGGGTGAAGATCTTCTTCTTGGTATTTTCTGGAGGCTGTTAGTAAACAGATCATCCGTTGTCTAGAGGGTAGTACGTACGGTCAGGGTTCTCGAAGAGAATCTTTCGATCAATACGACCAGGACGAATCAAAGCAGGGTCAAGTGTTTCAATCTTGTTAGTGGCCATGATAACCTTGACATCTCCACGGTCATCGAAACCGTCCAACTGGTTAAGAAGCTCAAGCATCGTACGCTGAATTTCTCGCTCACCACCCGATGTAGAGTCGTAACGCTTCGTACCGATGGCATCAATTTCATCAATGAAGACAATGGAAGGAGCGTGTTCCGCAGCAACCTGGAAAATCTGTCGCACCAAACGAGGTCCGTCACCGAGGTATTTCTGGATAAGTTCACTACCGACAATCCGGAGGAAAGTGGCACTCGTTTGATTGGCAACTGCCTTGGCAAGCAGTGTTTTTCCGGTTCCCGGGGCACCGTAGAGAATGACACCCTTGGGGGGCTTGATACCCATCTCTTCATACAGCTCAGGGTGGAGAAGCGGAAGTTCGACGGATTCTCGAACCTCTTGAATCTGAGTCTCAAGACCACCGATGTCCGCATAAGACTCCGTCGGTGCCTTGTCAAGTTTCATCACCGACACCAATGGGTCGGACTCCTCGGTGAGCACACCCACAACGGAGACAGACTTGTGGTGTAGCAGAATGCTAGCACCAGGCTCCAGCAAGTCCTTATCAACAAAGGACATAATGGAAACGTAGTACTCTGGCCCGGTAGCGCTGGAAACAATGGCATGGTCGTCGTCGATCAACTCTTCCAAGTTACCGACTCCCATGGGAGTGCCTCTCATGTCATCGACGCGACCCCTCTCGTCTGCATTTCGGTCCATGATATCGAACTCGCTTCTGCTGACGGAATCTTGTGCTGCCTGTGCCTTGGTCTTGCGTAAACGTTCCATATTCTCGACGTATTCTTCTTCTAGCAACAAGTGGTCGTGGACTCGTTGCATTCGCAAGTATCGTAGTTTGCATCGTGATGTTGGGAAGATGTCGGGGAGCTTGGAAGCTGTACTTGGGCCGGCAGCCTTACGCTTCTTACGCCCAAGACGAGTCGTGGGAGGGGGAGGTGGTTCGTATCTGGGCTTGTCCTTCTATAAGGGACGCTTTGTAAGCGGATAGAGCTGTCTGGATGATGCAATCGGATTCACCTTTTTATCCTTATCATCCCTTCCATCGCCCCCGGGGCCTCCGCCGATGTTGGACTGTTGGTTACCCTGTTGTAAATAACATATTAGAGAGACCGTAATATGACTAGGTGAGACTGTGACGGGAGGAGAGTTGGGAGCCAACCATAGTCCAAGTGTGCGCCGCGGAATCAACAAGACGTTGTTTACAGTCTAATTAGTCGAGAAGAAATACTATAATGAAAGCGACTGTAATACTCTGTGGAAGGGTTGGAAGTTGGGAGGGTAATGTAGAATGATGATGAGCTTTCGGCGAGCTTGGAAGCTGTTGTCGTTGTCGCCATCCGTCGGGCTTGGCCACCGCTGTGACCCCCACACGTGACCCCGAGCTATCATGGCACTGGATGCCTCGTGAATCAGGCGCCTATCAAACAAATCAATGTCAATAGCCGCTGCGTCAGATTTACTCGAAACTATTTTTGATTTTTCGGGCATAGCTGCAATTACGTACTACGCATTACTTGGACTGGATAGAAACCCCATATCTCAATCTCCAATGAACCTTGGAAAGTGTCTTTGACTTCCTCAGAGCTTGTCTCACCTGTCGATCTCGTCCCATTTGAACTAGTAGTATATCCGCAGCGGACGAGCCCTCATTCCCCCGCGGCGCATCCCCCTCGTCCCACGATACAAGCTACTCTCTGACCGGTAAGGCTTTCTTCCTACCTTTGAGTCCCAGACACTATATCTACCCTTTAACCTTCCTTCTGCCATCCCACTCTTACATTATACGCTCAACCGCCCGTATGTGATCGTAGCTAACAAGGCGGACCTGTAGCTCGGTTTTGCGCAGTGTTCCTGGGCTGCGAGCCCACCTTTGACGCCTAACCACACATCCGTAAACTTCTCACCACTGTTTATTTTATATCCCATTTCTTTCCCTCACACAACTTGGACCCTAAACCCAGAACCATGGCCTCCAACCGATCCCGGCGTATCGCAAAGGAAATAGCCGATATTCACGCAGATGCGCAGTCGGGGATCACAGCCGAACCAGTAGGCGGCGATGAAGACCTCACACATCTACGGGGTACATTTCCGGGGCCCCCAGGTACCCCATATGAGGGTGGTACCTACGCTGTGGATATAAAAATACCAACGGACTATCCATTTCGGCCGCCAGTAATGAAATTCCAGACCAAGGTCTGGCATCCAAACATCAGTAGCCAAACGGTAAGTTTTTCTTTTATATATGCAGCTAAGAGATAGTGGATCAGATATATAACCGCTTGCATAGGGAGCTATTTGCCTTGATACTCTGTCGTCCGCTTGGTCCCCCGTTCTCACCATCAAGTCCGCTCTGTTGTCACTACAGTCTCTGCTTAGCACACCCGAGCCTAAGGACCCTCAAGACGCCGAGGTCGCTACGATGCTGCTACGGAAACCAAAGGAATTTGAGAGAGTCGCACAAACCTGGGCTGCCCTGTATGCTGGGGCTCCTAGCAAGACTGCGGGAGAGGGCAGTGGTGGCGCCACTAACGAGTCGCTGCGACAACAAGAGCTTAAGTCAAAGGAAGAAGAGGATAAGGAAGACTTGACTAAGTATGTCTCTCAATTATTTCCCCTGTACTCGGAGGATCCTCTTTCTAACGTCCTTCTCTAGATACGATGGGTACAATAAGGACTTGATCGACCGCTTCTGCAGCATGGGCTTCGATGTGGACCGTGTAGTGGCTGCCTTCAAGTACTACGGCGTTGATCGGATGAACGGAGAAGACTACGAGCTGGAGGAGGCTTACATGGGTGACATTACCGCACGGCTACTGGGTGAGCCGTGAGCAGTGTGACGCTGAATACCTACGGCTGATCATTTGTTATGACTATGCATGCTGGATGGAGCTGTTGAAGCATGATGCCTAGCGAGATTTACCTTACTTTCTTTGCTTGTTTTTCAGCCCAGATTATTACCCATCACCAGTTAACTTGCTCGTTTTGAGATCAATCTCATGCAATGATGACTCAATACCGAAATATATTTTGCCGGCTCTCCAACCTCTGTTCTATATATTGTTTTGGCAACACGTCACCTTCTCAGGTCGATTTGTTAAACAACCATATTTAGTCTGGATTCTAATAGTTGTAGATGGAGATAGTCCAAATAGAACTTGAGACAGAGTACTCCGTACCATTTCCGTGCTATCGATAAGCACGTGGCGGGCCTTTTAAGCTCCTCTCCGCCTTGAGATCTTTAATGCTTAACTCTAGCAAATCACTTTTCTCCAAGTATGGGTCAATGACTAGCCACAAATCCACAACTCGAGTGAACTTATGATAAATCGTGACCTTTTCAATCTGAGTATCGATAAATTAACTCGCCATATAATACACAGAAGAAGCTCGCTTGAGGGCACATCCCTTCACCCACCATGATTGAAGACGATTTCTACCGCTCCTCATCCCAGTTCCGACTTTGGTCCTACACAGAGACATCCTTACAATCCCTACGCGCAACGACAAACGCAAACGCCAGTGAGCGCGTACGGTCTGCGCTCCGGAAATCGCGAGAAGCGCAACGATCAGCCACCTCATCCGCAGCCGGAACACCAGCAGCAAACCAGAATGGAAGCGACGCAGACAGTAAAGCCGGCGGCGATGAGACGGAGATCGAGTGCCTAACACCCGAAGAAGAGCACCAGCTGGTGCGATACTTCTGCGAACAGATCATAGAGCTGGGGGAGATGTACAAACCCCCACTTCCAACAATAGTCCGGGTACGTCACACCGTCCCTCCTCTACCATCTATATACACAAATCACCCAAAGAAGTAACCAATAACCACCAACTAACCACCAAACCCCGTCCAATAGGCCACAGCAATCCAATACCTCCGACGCTTCTACCTAACCAACTCCCCAATGACCTACCACCCGAAATCCATCATGCTCTGCGCGCTCTTCCTCGCCACAAAAACAGACAACTACTACCTCTCCCTCCGCCAATTCGCAGAAGTCATCCCCGGCGGCACAACACCGGAAGACTTAATCCAGCCCGAATTCTTGGTTATGCAAAGCCTCCGCTTCACCTTCGACGTCCGTCACCCCTTCCGCGGCCTCGAAGGCGGCATCATGGAACTCCAAGCCATAGCCCAAGGCATGGGCCAACCAGCCCCCCACTTCCCAACCCAGACACCAGACGACCTCAAACGCAGACTCCATTCCCTGCCCCCATCGCCAACAACATCCTCATCCTCCACCACAGACCGACTCGCCCGCGCGCACCACAGCACCCGCGAGACCCTCAAATCCGCGGCCCAAATGACAGATGCTTATTTCCTCTACACGCCGTCCCAGATCTGGCTCGCTGCACTCATGATTGCGGACAAGCCGTTGGCGGAATTTTACCTCGAGACTAAGCTGGGCGGACCCCAGGAGCAGCAACAAGGATCCCCGCTTTACGAGCTGCGGACGAAGCTCCTCCGCATCTTGACCAACTGTTCTGACCTCCTCCAGGCGTATAAACCCCTCGCCTCAGATCCAGACCAGAAGAAAAACCTACGACGCATCCGGAAGAAACTCTCCCACTGCCAGAACCCGGAGAAGGCTGGCGTAGCGGGTCAGAAGCGTATCCCTGCGGCGGCGGCTGCAGCAGTCGCAGCGGCTGGGGATCCGGCGACCTCTGAGAGTGAAATGGAGCGTCTGTCAAAGAAGCGGAAATTGGACGGGGGGCGGCCGAACGATATATTTGGAGGTGAATTAGTGACGCAACGAACGAAGGAGGCATAAAAGCCTCAATGACAGGTTACACTACAGCGGTAGATTATAGAAGATAAGTTGTGGTCTTTGGAGCCCATGTATAAGTAGAATATTTTTTAGCTAAACTGCTACACGGTGGTATCATGCCGTCATTATTACACAAAGCCCTACCATGAGTGCAGGCCAAAGGGCCCAAGGACCATCGAAAGAGCCCTACATGATGTCTATAACAAACGTTGAAATCATAGAAGCGTAGAAAAATATAAGAATATAAAATTGAACCCTGAAACGTGAGGGGTCTAGCAGGGGATGAGGTATGAAACAAAGACAACGGACGGACCATCTAATAAAAATAAAGCAACCCAAACAAGCAAGAGCAGATATCTCCGGATATGTATGTAAGAAAGAAAACCGTCACCCGCCCATGTCACTATATCACTCAGGATGGATCATTTCTCCTGTAAGAAACTTTTCTTTAAGTTCAACTCCCCTGCAGCTTTTGAGTTTTCATTGTCGTCTCTGACATTCCAATCATAACAAGAAGCGTTCGTTTTCCTTCATCTTTTCGTGCCTTTTCTTAGACGGCACCGGCGTCAATCATCTTCTTGCGCAGGTGGTTCTTGTACTGGCCGATAGTACCATCCCACCGGGTGACGGTCTTGTTCTCACAGACCATGATGTCCTTGGCGATCTTGTCGAGAAGACGGAAGTCGTGGGACACGACGACGACACCACCGCTGTAGGCGTTGATGGCATCAGCCAAACTGTCGATAGTGGGGATATCGAGACCGTTGGTAGGTTCGTCGAGAAGGATCATGTTAGGGGATTCGATGGCCAACAGAGCGAACACGATACGGCTCTTCTGACCCTCAGACAGAGTGCCCATCAGGGCAGTCTGGGACTCACCGCTCAGACCATAACGGCCGAGCTGCTGGCGCCAGTACTGGTAGTCCTGACTCTTGTCGGGGAACCTGTCGCGGACAAAGTCAAGGGACGACTTAGTCAGGTCGAGCTGCTCGGCAGAGTGCTGACTGTACATGCCCAGCTTCAAGTGAGTGTGACGACTGACACGGCCACCAATGGGTTGCAGCTTTCCGGTCATGATGCGCAGCAGAGTAGACTTGCCGACACCGTTGGGGCCGACCAGAGCAGTTCTGGAATCCATATCAACACCGAAGTCAAGGTGCTCATACAGAGTGTCGTCCCAGTTGCCGGAGTAGGAGAAGCTGACATCATCGAAGGACAGGACGGGAGGGGGAAGCTTCTCAACTTCGGCAAAGCGGAAGCTGAAGATTCTGTCGGGAATAACGGGCTGGATGAAACCATCGGCCTCCATCTTGTCGAGGATCTTCTGGCGGGACTTGGCCTGTCTGACCAAGTTGGCATATGTACCGGCGGAAGCGATGAACTTCTTGATGTGGGCAATTTCTTCCTGCTGCTTGTTGTATGCCTTCATCTGGTTCGTCTCCTGTTCGCTACGGGTCTTGTGGTAAGAATCGTAGTTACCACCGTAGTACAGGAGCTGCTTCATGCGCATATCAATCATGGTGGTGCAGACACCGTTCAAGAAGTCCATGGAGTGGGAAACCAGGACGAGGGTGCGCTCCCACTTCTTCAGGTATTCTTCCAACCACACACAGGCCTCAAGATCCAAGTGAGCAGTAGGGTCGTCCAGCAGAAGAAGGGAAGGCTTGACGAACAGAGCCTTGGCAAGAGCCACACGCATACGCCAACCACCGGACATATCCTTGGTCTTCTTGTGGATGGTGACCTTGTTGAATCCAAGACCAGTCAAGATCAAGGAAGCACGAGTGTGGAAAGTGGAGGGATCCATTTTGTCCATACGCTGGATGCAAGTTAGTGTAATCCCGACGACCTGGGGGCGAAAAGATAACTTACATCATACAGATCCTCGAGGATAGGGCTGTCGGGACCTTGCTCTTCCAGAATATCTTCGGCCTGCTTCTCCATGCGGTCAAGCTGGTTCTGAGCCTCAGTGACGACCCACTCGAGGGCACCCAGTTCACTAGGAGGAGCACCTTCGTTCAGGAGGTAGATATCGATATGCTCGGGGATAGGGTATTCACGCTGGGCGATAGACTTCAGCAAAGTGGACTTGCCACAGCCGTTCTCACCCAGAAGACCGTAACGACGACCGAAGTTCAGTTCGAGAGTGGAGTCGGTGATAAGGACCTTGCCGTGGAACACCAGGGAAGCGGAGGTGACCTTGACGTCGCGAGAGGCTTCCATGGAAGAGAGCACACCGGTGGTGACACGATCCGAAAGGCCATGCTTGTCCAACTGTGCTGTAAGCTTCTCAACCTCCTTCATCTTCTCGGACGTGGTGGCGGGCTGATCATCGGTTGGGACGTCACTGTCGACCTGGGGGGACTCAGCACCGTCCTTCTTTCCCTTGCCGAGCTTCTTCTTGGAGTCGCCATCGGCGGCACGCTTTGCCAAACGAGCGGCTTTGGAAGCAGACACCATTTTGCCGGATGTATGTGTTGGTAGAATGGGGGAAGAGGGGGAGTGGAGGAAAGCGTCAAGAGGCGGGAAGGAGGAAAGATCAAAAGCCTGTCGGAAAGAAAAGAGAAAAAAGAACTTCAAGTGAGTGGATCAAAATAATAGCGGGGTCAAAGGGGGTCGACCAAAAGCCTTTTTTCCTCTGAGTGGGTGGGGTGAAGTTTTCTTGGAAGCCCTTATCGATAGAGAGCACGCGGAATAGTAATCGATAGTAGTAGGTGAGACGAACCCCAAAAAATTGGTCCGAGACAAAAAGAAGACAAGAGAAAGGAGACGATATAATATATAGACCAGGGACTCAACAGGTAAACGGTCTAGTGGCGATAACCGAAGATGATAACGCCCCAACAAGATGGATGAGAGGGCAAGGAAAGAAAACAGAGATTTGAGCACACTTCAATGAGAAACGTGATTTTCTTGGACGCCTTCAAAAATTCCTTCAGTGGGTCCCGCCAAATCGCCCCTCTGATTGGCTTTCCAACGTCACCGCACGGGTTGTGGCGCAGTCTAGTCTCCTTTGGGCACCAACAACACACGTGATTTACAGCCTTACGCCCAAGGCACCCGTCCAGACCAGTTCGCAAAGAGGGTAATAGCACATCACCCTTACTCATGTACTAGTGGCAGATGTGTCTCCATGGGACATTCAGCCACTGCATACAACCATGTGAGATACAGCAGGATCCTATTCTGGCGGGTACTTTATGCATCAAGAGGGGTTCCCGTATTTGCCTAGCGGTGGAAATTCCGAAACTGATTGATCTCTAGCTATTATCTGTAAAGTTACCGGATTGATATCTTTTGCGATACTACCTCTTATTGCAAGGTGTGGTGCTAACAACAGTGTGAGTATTGTGAACATTCTGAGGTACGCCGTGAAGCTAGTTTCGGGACACTATTAGGATCATAGATTCTGTAAGGATAGACTAGATAGCTCTCCGCTCAGACTTCACCCTCCTCATACTGCGCCTGGAGTCCGGCTACTGCAGTGCGCAGGATGAGAGGTGGCTGGTTTAACCGCACTGTTTGAAGAAAGTCCTGGCCTTGTAATTCCTTGCCGAAGTCATATTGGACCAAACCACCATGTCCACCACGACACGAGCTTACTACAACGTCACCGAGACGGATGTCCTGCTTCATTGGTATACCCCCGCCAATCCCAACCATCAAGCCGAATCGGATGTTTGGAAAGCTGTGTAGCATATCCCTAGCAGCACATGCCGCGGTTGACACCCCATATTCTCCATCTGGAAGAACAGCAATAACGACCTGGTGGCTTCCAATTTCTCCCAGGGTATAATGATCATTGTCATTTGTCGAAAGCGTCTCTGTCCGGCTATGTTTTCTGTCAAGCAAGGCTCGAGCAGCTACATATTCCGGCACCTGGGTACATATCTAACCAACGGTATACTGATCCGGATCAGACATTGTGATAGTAGTTGTGGTAGGTTGAGTTTTCCAGATTTTTATTTGATCAAGATGGGGTCATGTGATTTTATTTCTTTGGGGAAGCGAGAGTTTGGCACCAGAAAGCGAAAATTGGAATGCGATAATACGGTACTCAAGTTCAGCCTTCTACTTTGTCAAGAAGAGGGGTAATGAGAATAATGAGGCCGCGCCTAACATATAATTCGACGGCTAAGACATCAATTAGTTCCATGTATACATCTGATGCCAAGCCACATGTTATGTAATATTAAAAACATGTAGGGCGCTTCATTTCTACCTGCGTAAAAGGGTTGAGCAATTAGATGGGGAAATATGTACATAGGTCGCTTTCTAGAGCGGGTATATGGGCCAAACGTCTGTATTAGGCAACAAGATGGTGCATATTAACGTATGCGCTGACTGATTTTTTCCAAAAATTCCTTTTCCTCTGCCGTGATCCAAACGTTATCCGGTATTGACACCTTCCCTTCCTGAATCACAATCTGTGCTGGAACGGCAGCTTCAGTGTCATCGTCTGACGCACTAGGGGCCAGGCTCTCTTGCTTGCCTTCTCGGGCGCTTTCAGTGTCCTCAACAACAAATTTGGGACGAAGAGTATCAGGAGTCCACCAATATACCGGAAATCGTCGTTGAATGTTATTGATCACCAGTGCCACCGCTTGCATCATGATACACCCAAGGAACATGATCAGGATCAGAAACCAGCCAATTTTGTACCCTTCGGTGACCGCGAGGAGAGCCGTTGCGCCAGCGGGCGGGTGAACGGTCTTCGTCAGGACCATCACAGCAGTGGTGATTGCACAGGCCAGGGCTCCCCCTACCTGGGGTAGTGCATTAGCATGAGGATTTAAGGCGAAGAGCCTTCCGATGCCGATGCCGATAGCGCTCGCCATGACCTGGCTCAGGACGGCATTGCGCGGTTGCGCAAATGGTGACTCAATGGCGCTAAACTCCAGCACAGCTGCGGCACCCTGTCCGAACATTAGTCTGTTGAGCAGTGCAGGGGTCTATGTGACATAGGCCAGGTACATACGAAACTAGCCACAATAATTGGCGCATGATGGTGCTGGAAAGAGGGGACATGCAAGGATACTTCGGCGACGACTAATACACCACAGAAGACGCCGATCAGGGACCAAAAGGCGATCACGAGGTTGCCCAGGTTCTTTGGAGGCTTGTCCCCTCTATACCCCAGGAAATGAGAGATGGGACGAGGTAGCCAGCGCCATGGCGGATGTGGAATCAACGGATTTAGGTATCTGTCGATATCCACATGCCAGCGGGAAAAGTCCACGTTCCCTAACATCGAGGTTGGCTGGGGTCTGTTCTACGCGCGAAATGAGTTGCTGTGTTAGGTCACAAACACATCCTCTGGGTTTATGTATCTGGTGAGGTTAGAACTAGTGGCCACTTGTTGGAGGTGAAAAATGAAAATGTCGATACAACGCTAGGTACAAAACAGAAAATATTCCCCAGCACTAAGGGTATATAAAAAATATGAAAGAAATAGAAGAAACAGGAACGGCTGAACAGGGAAAGAAGGGGTCCAGGCTGAGCCGAGAAATTACCGGCCATCGATAGAAGATGAGGACCTTGACTAATACACTGTCCTCTTAACATATATTGATCATCTGATGCTCGCAGACAGTAAACGAGATGTGGACACTCACCAACCCTTGACCGTTCGAAAAAGAATAGGAGATTTAACCCGCGGCGCGTTCATGAAAGCGCCACTGAAGGTTGGGACCATGGGGATACTTCAATACTTTCAGTCCCCGAGGAATGACCTTAATTGCCAAGGGAACTGGCAGACGGTGAACAGTCTGTACCGTATCTCCGCGGAAAGGCGAGAGAATAGCCGTCTGGAATTGACGCAAGAGACATTGTGTCGCCTGAAAGGGATGACGATGACGGTGCTCGTCTGCTTGGGTCTGCCATTGAGCGCATTTCAATTAAGTAACAGATTGCCGCCTTGGGTTTAGCGGCATGGGGACCTGAGGATTTTCGTCGACCCCACAATTTCGTAACGTAATTTACGGCGTGCCCTACGCGATGGAAATTCTCCCCGATTCGTGGATTACCCCGGCCCCTTCAGGTTAGTTTTATGTCACGGGTTCAATCATCAATCCAATCCATGACGGTCTGCTGGACCTTTTATTGCTCTTCTTCCTTTCGCGAGTCTTGCAGAGAATAAGCCGAGCTTGTCAGCAACGCCATTGCTGACCACCGTGCAGTCTATGATAATGGCAAAATCCAGAACATCAAGAATGAACGACGTTAACAGCAGGATACCGACTCTGCGTGGACTACAGTCATAACGCGCGACAGATGTGCGCAACTCGGCGCAGTTTGCCAATGAAATCTATCGGTTGTGAACACCACTCGTACTAGCAAACACCTCGGAAAGATCTCTCTCGTTCACGTTGGGTTAGGGGTTTCCTTGCCTAAAAAGGCATGTCGTTATTAATACGAACAGGATACAGCATCATATATAGCAGTGAGTCACAAACAGAGTGTGGAGAAAAAATTGGCATATCATGATCATCAACATATTATCTTTACATATACAAAATTTAGACATCAAGGGTCTTTCCTTGTCGTGAACTCTCCTGTGCCAACTCAATCAACCGGATAACATCACGGGCCTCCGCTCCACTGGCGGGGAGGTCACCCTCTCCGGCAAGAGCGCGGGCAAGCTTCCTGTAGTATTCAGACCAGGTGGGGGGCTCCACGGTCGGCGCAACTTCTCTGACGGGCTTGTCGTTCTTGATAGTGGTCAGGGTACCTGGGAAGAATAACGTTAGTATATGTGCTACTGAAAGAGCCTGGTCTGTTTTTGAGAGAGACAAGCATACCATATCTTTCACTAGGTTCCCTGCCGTATACGCTGTCACCGGGCTTGATTCCGCTCTTGAGTTGCTCCTCCTGAACATCGAGATGGAACTGTTTTGGAATAGCATGTCAGCTTATTGATTCTAGGCTCCAATGTCACCGAAACCAAGCCCTTACCTTCTTGAAGCTGCCCTTCTCCCCGCGGATCCAGAACCTCAGTTGCTCCTCTTCCGGACTTACGACAGCGGCCTTGGCCGTCACCAGAGGACCGTTGTTATAGTGGAACAGGACGGTGAAAGAATCCTCGTAGCCGGACGTGTTTACCGCTCGCTGAGAGCCAATGAATCCAGTGACACGGTTTGGCAGTCCGAACAGATGCACGGCCTGATCTAACAGATGACTTCCGAGATCGTAAATCGCACTACCACCGGGAACGACCTTGTTCTTCCATTTCGAAACATCGGGAGCAGGCTCTTCGGGACGATGACGATCGAAGTGAGTCTCAAATTCGGCGACACGGCCAAGGACACCACTCTTCACGAGCTTGGAGGCGGTCACGTAGTCGGCATCCCAGCGACGGTCTGCACAGATATCATTGTTAGTTACAGTTCTGCAGCTTCCAAGTGCTCGAGTGAAGGTGCTTGGCTGGGTAATCACACATACTTTGGTACACAGCTAACAACTTGTTCTGTTTCTCGGCAAGGGCAACAAGCTCATTGGCTTCCTGAGTGGTGGGGGTGAAGGGCTTCTCGCAGACAACTGTAGTGGCTTTGTTAGCTCGCACGAAAGGAATTGATGTCTTAGATTGCTATTAAGACACTCACCATGCTTTCCATGCTCCAAGGCCAATTTTGTCAACTGATAATGCGAGTCTGGTGCGGTAGTGATAATGACGACATCGACACCGTCATCCTTGACCATGTCCTCGGCAGTCCGATAAGACTTGATGCCAGGGTGGTCCTTCTCGGCATCATCGTCGGGCTTTGGTGTACGCTGAACAACAGCGTACAATTTCAACTGAGGAACATCGGAAATGAAAGGGATGTGGAATGTTTTGGCGCTGAAGCCATATCCGACCACACCAACATTGAAAGTCTTGGAAGCCATCTTGGTTTATATATATATCTATCGAGGGCAATCACAGGGTTGTCACAGTAATAGGGTTTTGAGAGAATGGCCTTCGAAGAGAGACCGACGGGGCCTTGTGGAGCTTTATATACACTTAAGAAATTACTCATGAAGTCACCTTAGTGATGAAGTAGAAACACAGCTAGTGCGGGGGAAGGTCCTCGCGATAGGAACCTTTGGGTCCGGCGGATATGGCGGGGCAAAATTCTACCAATCTGGCAAAAGCCGACCGTTTGTCATTCTTCCGAGCCGACCGATTGAAATGCTCTTCCGCCGGAAATGCTTTTCCCGATCACGCCTTCTCTACACCTACACACCGAGTAATCTCGAGGGCATCCTAGAACAGTTAGAGCCCGTCAATCTTGATGTATTACTGGAAGGGTCATCACTCACCCGAAGTCCCTCCGGTTGGCTCAGCGTGCTCTCATACACCAAATTCGGGTCCCCGAGGATGTCAAACAGGGGCGTCGAGTCCGAGCCAAGAAAGGCCCGCACAGTCGCAGCAGGTATCCCCTCTGTGTTATACATCTGGATTGGTCCCTTCTCGGCTGCCTTTCGCTTCTGCTCCACCGTGCTCCGGACATACTCCAGGTACGGTGGATTGCCCGGATAGATCACGTTATCAGCCACCAGAACCGACACATCAGGAACGATCATGCCAAGCTGCTCGCATAGTTTCAGATCCGTGGTATACGCGGGTTTGTAGTGATCAATGAACATGATTTCTACCTGTGGCACTTCGCCGCTGGTATACAACTTATCCAGGGACTGGTCGCTACGACCCACCAGGATCTGGACAAAATCCCGGAGACCCGCTAGATCAAGCAGTAGGGTCGAGATGGCGGCATATTCAGGGTTCACCTCCAAACTGTAGTACTTTTTGCCGCCGGCCCGACGCACGGCATCGCCGAACAGGATGGCCGAGTAACCCACATAACCTCCGAGTTCGATCATGATCTGGGGCTTGCGCACCGCAATCAGGTCTGCTACGACCTTCCCCTTCTCGGGCCCCACATGGATGAGATGGCGCGATTTTGCGAACTCGTCAATCAGATCCAGTACCTTCTGGGGGTTTCCCTGGATCTCGTCCCGGTTCGGCTGGGCGTAGATGAAGTCTAGAAGGTCGAGTTCCGCTTCGTCATTGCGCTATTCATAAGAGCATGTTAGCACTGTTCTCCAAGGGTAGAGACACATCGGATCAATCTTACCTGACGAGTTGTAGGCTGGTTTTGCGACATTATGAATGATGACAACGAAAGGTACTGGTAACTTAACTCAGATGAACAACGCCACAAACACTCTCGAACAGCCGTAGTATTTATACTTTCATCCCAAGGAAACGATCTTCATCGTTCAAGCCTAAAGAACAAGCTCGGACATAACTATACGACCACCAACGACCCGTGACCCCGAAAACGAAAACGGCACTAATTCCGCATTCCCGAAACTATAGAGACGAAGACAAGATTGGCTTATCTAGCTTGACACACCACTAGTATGTACTAACTATAGCCACACCCCGGTTCTATGCACTGTAACAATGTAAGCTTATCTTTTATTTCACGTGCGAAGCATCGGGCTCGGATACCGGGTTCAGTTTAAGACTCCGTAAACTCCGAGGCCTTGTTCGTTGTCTGATAATCTGGTAAGGGTTTGAGCCCCTCATTTGATATTCCTCCGAAGGGTTTGAAAGATCGTTGGGGTTTAGTATCCCTTTACGTTTCGTTTGAGTCATAGTATGTCTATTTTTGTCAACCTTGTGAGTCATATATAGGTTGGACGGGGCGTACGAGATATTCTATGCAATATTTTCGGTCTAAGCGCTGACATCTATGGTAGTCATCGGTTTCTATTTTGGATAAGTAGCGTTGCTTTGTTGCATTGTTGTGATGTTTCCCCCAGGGATGCTGACAGTGTCCAGTAAAAAGAGGTAGCAAAAACTGGGGTTTTTGTTGAGAGATGAACTATTATACTGGAATTACAAGAGTATGCATTGTGAGAAAACCGCGGGAGCTCTAACAAGGACCTTAGGTGTATTGGCCATTTAACAACGTAGTAATCTCGCGAGTTAAGTCTTACAGCACAGGTAAAACGGTTCTGATGATTTGGAATATCTGGCAATATTCCAGAGAGAGGGCAATTGCCAATCCCGTATGTACAGTATCCCACTAAGCCAAGGAGTATTATAGAAGGAACCACGCCTCACCTTTAGAGAAACGACCGTAACGAAACTAAACATTTACACTTTTCATCTTCTTTTTACAGAATAGGCTGAGCCCTAAATAATGCATTTTATATGCAGTCATGGATCATGAATTCAATGAGAGCCTAGAGCTCTCATTGTTG